TCTTCACATTTAGATCCATAATTTTTTTTTGTGTTCAAATATCTGATTTAATTTTCCCCAGTGGTAGAGGGTGTCAACAAAATATGCCAGATATTATCAGCCAACCAATTATTATGGGATTATATTGGTCTGTAAATTTAATATTGGAAATTATCGTTATCTGGTTTTGCTCTTTTAAAGACAAAAATGTTACAAACCATGCACATATTTTACAATAAACCTTTCGGCTACTTGTCCTCTCTCTCAAAATGTAAAAAAAAAAAAAAGTATCCAAGGTCTAGTATTTGAAAAAAAAATATTTTTTGGGGCCAAATTTAAATTGAGGTAAATTAAATATGCATGGTAGGAGATATGTGACGTTACTTAACGGAAATTATTTAGTTTTTCTTCTTTTGTTATTTGAATTTAAGAGTTAGACTATATCCATATTTTGGTTTATCAGATATATTGAATATTTATTTATGAAGATATTGATACATTGAATATTGATATATGGAATATTGGTACATTAGTGTACCAGATACCTATATATCAAATATTGATATATCAAATATTGGTTTATCAGATATTGACATATCAAATATCGATATATCGATATGTCAGATACTGATATATTGAATATTGATATATCGAATATTTGTATATCGTGTATCGGATATCAGTAAAACAGGTGATCCCTAGTGTCAACACTTCACCTAATTTAGACGATTTAAGAAAGAGCCAGCCAGTGATGCTGTGCTGTTCCTCTCTGCCTTTTGCTCTCTAGGAAGTACACACGTCCTCTTGTGAAAGTGAGTAGGAGGAGTGTTAGTGTTTTCTTTAAGAGAAGAAGAAATGTAGAATTTTAGGCGGTGGCAGGAGATGGGCCACCGCTTGGACACAGCTTAATTAAACCCTCAGAGACCACTGGCTGTACGAGAATGAGGGCCAAATGAGTTGCTGGGTCATGTGCACAAGTTCTGCCACATGAATAATACAAAACACTGCAGGCTTGTTCAAAATAATGTGACAGGATTCTGCTTTCTGTGGGTCTGCTCGTGTGACTTGGAAATCCAGAGTGTTTTGTCTCTGCACCTGTTCAGCTACCACTCACCAGTATAGCGGTCACACTTTATAGCGTGATGACTGCAAATTAATTATGACTAACAAGATGTGATCATTCCATATAAATATGAAATATCAACCTGATTGATCATTTAATGTTTAATCAGAAGAGTCTAGGGTTCTTCGCTTGTTCAGGGACCATAAACACACTTCGTATTAATTCAGACAGAGTCAAGCATATAGTTAAAAAGGAATTTTATTCTTTTCTAAAATAATGATTATACACGACAAGATATGAATAGTGAGATGTGATGGAGTGTATATGCAGTGATGGATAGTGATGTGTGAGGTGGTGTGATGTAAGCTAGATGTTTATCAGAATCTTTGTATCTGAAAAAAATTGTGAAATCTGGGTGTAAAAGAATTTGTTGTCTGCTATAAACTAGAGAGTTGATCATTAATAAAACAGCATCAGACACAATCTGTTGTGTCTACAAACCCTGGCAGAGACCACCAACAGATTCGGACTGTCAGAAGTCGGGTGGACCTCAGGGCACCGGGAATTCGTAGGATAAACTCCGATACGACCCGTCCAGTCTTGGGATGTCTCCAGGTCACAACAGTAACTGGAATGCTTGTCTACGTCCAAGGTGGATGTAGCTTTTAAGGAACCGTCTGGCCATGTCAGCTTGCAGCATGCAAACAGGTTGACTGTATGTCAAAAGAGATGTTTCAAAAGAGGCTTCTTCCCCAATTTGTTGGAATCGGGTTCAGCTGGAAACTGAATTATTCGAGAAGTAAATCCTGTTTTATTAAACCCCAATATTATTATATTATTTCCGGCCGTTCTGGCAAATCAGAATGTGCCATGTCTGGAAGGCTTTACCAAAACATTCCTCAGAAAGCCACTCTTTCCTTCAGAGACAAGCTTCTTAATTCTGTGAATAAAGAATCTTTAAATGTTATGTGAGGTGAACCTTAGTTTATATCTTATGAAGATGTGTATGAGTGTAGATAATGATTAACTTGTTAAATCAAGCACATAGTGATTGGTGATATGAATGGATCATTGTAATAACAACATTCATTTCAAGTTCATTGATTTAAGCACAGGTTATTCAAACACCTGATTCAGACATCCTATTCATTCATCACGTATGATTATTTATATCATGAGATGTAAAACTCTTGTCGGATTCGTGTTGATTCACTTTTATTCAGAGGGATGAATCCAGCAGTCTGACTTTAAGCAAAGAGAGATAAGGCTTTTGCGTCTGGTGAGACCTTGACAGTTTATTTATGTCTGCGTTGAAGAACAATGAGTGAGAAAAAGGTTGATTTGTAGGTCTGGATCCTCTAGCTGGCACAACCCTGACCCTGCAGTTCTGGAGTGCATGAAGGGTTACGCTGTGCCAATTCATTGGTGGAAATTGACCCTTTTTATTCATTACACCAGGAAGCAAAAGAGAAAATGTAAGAAATGTCATGTATGTGATAAAACACATTTTTGATCTTGAATAAATGCCGAATTAGTTTAATCCAAGATTTAGAGTTGAATGCTTGTACAATCTTGGATGAATTAAATAATTAACCACGGTACCTCCAACATACCACTTTTTTGTATTCTTTTCTGTATGACTTGTTTTATTGTCGTACTTCATTTTTTTCATTCATCGTGTTTTGTCTTGTGTCATATTCAATGTTTATTTATGCAAAAAGAAAGATAAATTAACTAGTTCAGCCGTAGTTTACTTGCAAGAGATGAACTGATTGTGTTTGAATTCATCACAAACTCAAATTTTCCTGTTTTTTATGGTAAAGCTTTTAGTATTACTTTTAAGAGGAGTGACCTATTATTAATTTTGTTCTATCTATGTTATTTTATTTATACTGAAAAAATGTTCACAAGCCCACTAAAATGTTCTCTTCCTCTGCTGAATTGAAGAAAATGGTTTCTTCAGAACACAGTGAAACATTTAACAGCTAAGTGGCATTCATTTATATTTTTTATATGACAAAAATAAGCAGTACTGATGCTGCTTTGAAAAAGCTGTTTCTAAAGTCATAACACCATAAAAATGCTGGGAAAGTCGCAATATGTTGCAATATGCTGACATCTTAGCGAAGTCCTGAAAAGGCAGCTTTAGTACGGAGACAATGGCTTAGAGGACCGTTACTTTCCCGAATTCCCCAAAATTTCTATAGTAGAAACACTGCTCACTGTATATCAACAAAATCCTGTTTAGTTTACACTTAAAAGGAGGGTTTGGGTGCACAAAGGTCCTCACATCTACTTGTCGAGGTTTAAATTTCATTTTCCAGCAGGTTTACTGGAGGTTAAAGGTGAAGTGTGTAAGTGCAGTGTGTCACTCCTGTTTCGTCAGTTTTATGGCTGTAGCCAGTTGCGGATCATCACCAGAAGATTCTAGATGCCATAGTTAAATTTAAAGTCCCATGGTTGTCCTCTGCATTTGACCCATCCCCATACGGAGCAGTGAGCTGCAGACACGGCTGCGCTTGGGAACTATTTGGTGGTTTAACCTTCCAATCCAACCCCTTAAAGCTGACTATCAAGCAGGGAGGCATTGGGTCCCATTTTTTTAAGAGGGACTGCACACCATCAGAAAATGTAATTACACCCCTAGTCAAGATTTGAAAAATGCTATGAAAGTGGGCGTTGCCAGGAGGCATGGTGTGGCATGGCCAAGTGTGGAGAATTTCCATTTTGGGAGGGAGGGGGAGTGGGAGGAGACTGTATCGATGACGTAAAATTGTACCAGCATCACAAATATAAAATGCAGTAGCCACAGTTCTGCCAAAGGGGGCAGCACTAAGACGTTTTTAGACCTAAATTCTAGATTTAATCAAGTTTACAAACTTGTCAAAAAATACACAGAAACAGAAAGACTGCATTGGTAAAGACCCAGTTATACAGTTTAGAAACAAAAAAAAAGTTATTTTGGGGTTTAGTTAGTCTTTAAAGTCTATGACCCGACTGGGATTCGAACCCCGATCTTCCAGTCCCAGGGGAGACACTGTATCACTAGGCCACTGAGCTGAGACAAGCAAAGACGAGTCAAACACAATAAGTTGATAAGTAGATAAACACATTGTCATATCTGGTGCTAGCACTATTGGGTATTTTACAGTTAGCTATTGCTTTGATCGACTCATTTCAGGAAGTAAAACACCACGATTGACTCATTATTCACTTAACACATAGATTTCACTGTGATGTCGAGTTGTTGGTAATTGAAAAAGTATCTTGAGATATTTTTATAGCTGACTCTTTGCTTCAAATTCACCGTTAGCATTGTTAGCTCAACGCTAGTCTCAAGGCTTCTTTACCTGATATTAGACTAGAAAATAAAAGATGCATTGGCTTCTTAGGGGTACTTGAAATAACTTCTGGGTCACTTTAGTTACTGCTTTGATTCTTTGTACAACTCTCAACAATGCTTTTTGCTAGCTGTAGTCGAATTACAAACTACACTAGCTCGCAGGAGACACGGCAACCCCACACTCCCACAGACTTTTGAAAGGAGAAAACCTGACAACCCCAGCAGCCGGCTGAGAATGAAATATGTCTGAGTATAACCTTCCTTCCAACGTAATTGAGACATTAGACTGTTTTAGGATTATATCACTGTAAAATTCTTACTTTATCCTTACACACTGCACCTTTAAATCAAAAACATCTCATTCATGGTTAGACAAAGACATGTGGAATAGGCTAAAATCTATTTGTTCTCCTCTTTTTTCAATCTTGATTTGTAATGACACACAGCCACTGTTTTGAAGTAATAATGTTCCGGCCCACAGGACAGGCGGCTGATAACACCCGCTGAACTGTAACAGCAGATATCTTATCACAACTGCCTCAGCAGCTTGATGTCTTCCTGAGATTATTCTCCTGGTGATAAAATGTGGTCCTACACAACAAAACGATGAGTATATTCTTTGTTTTATTTAAGTATTTATTGTCAGAGTCCATAAAAATGTGAACATTTGTCTCACATTTCCACATCTAAACGCAGTTTATTACAAGAACGATCTGTCAGAAGATCCTAAATGAGTTTGTATTTTACAAAAACACAAAAAGAGCGTGTTGTTGATTAGGCTACAAAAAAATCTTTAAAATTTGCATTTTAAAGGTGCAATACTGGTAAAAGTACTAGGACTGAGCATCATTTCTTTGAAACTTTCAAAGTCGCCTGTTGCACCAAATAGACTGACCTTCATCGTCTCTCACATGCCATAACCTCAACATCTCATGGTTATTTCAAATCAGGCAATTTCTCTTTTGCAGCCAAACATTTTCAAGAGCCTAAAAAGCAAGCTGCAGAAATCAGTTCAGTCATTAGAGATTTGTTTAAGATCTGGAGGCCTCCTGGAGAAGACCAACGCTTCAACAACAACAGCAACAAGCGAACCACTGCAGCGTCTACAATCAGAATAAAATATAAAAATTGCTGTTGTGGTGTTGTATGGCTGATGAAAGCAGGTATGAATTAAGCTTTATACTGCAGATAGGAGGAGATCTGATGCAGCAGCGATGCTGTCGGCTCTGATTTTAGAAAAATCATACTAATGCCACATGTAGCCGACGGCTCTTTTGCAACATAACTACTTTTATACCTGCCGGGTGTTTTAGAAAAAGGTGCCGAATCCATTCAATCGAGGGAAGAGTCGAGCGGATCGTTTCTTTTTGGAGTCTGCCTCCTTTAGCCACAGCTTCTTTCTCTTGGAGTCCATGTGACCTTCAAAGTAAAACAAAAAGAAAGCATTTAAGAATGTTTATAAGCTGTGATTAAATGTTTTTCTTTTTATTCCTTTTACTGTGGCCTAAATTATTATGTGAGTGCTAAAATAAATCTAATTTGTAATCATAACTTGTATTTCTGCTAGCTCTATCTCTTTATCAGGATTAGTACATTATTTTGTCTGCTGCTCTCTGGTGGATGATGGCACTGCAAGTGGTAAGTACCAATTTTTATTATTAGTAGTAGTATTATTGTAGTATTGTTATTATTTTATATGATATGAAATTATGTATTGAGTTCAGTCCTGTTAGTTATTGTTTTAATGCCATTTTTAGGATACAGTACATGTATTTTTTGTCCTAATTAGAAGCAAACTTGTGTAAAAAAGGTACAAAAATAAAAATACTTATGTCAGTAAGTAAATCTTAATGCATACGCATGATTTACTAAACATGGTACAGAAAAGGTATCAGATGGTTTTCAGGTACATTTTTAAACTAATCCAGTCTTTTATTTATTTATTTATTTATTTATTTACTTATTTATCTTTGTAGCCGCAGCAGGAAAAGAAAATAAGAGTAACTCACTTATTTACATTCTGCTTGTTGACTAGAAGCAGGAAGGTTTGCTGCATGAGTGAACTTGAGATTTGACTTTTTGATTTTGCACACAATCAATGTATGTCTGAGCTGGTTGCAGGCTGTGAGGCTGTTTTGATTTTGTTGTTTTGCTCTAGCTGATTAGTTAGATTAACGTTCATAATGAACATTCATACAGAATGCAACCCTCTCAGAATTCTAATTGTGTGATTTTTTGTTTAACTTTGCGCCTCTTTGCTGTGATTGAAAGTGAAAAAACTGAACTTTATTCAGAATTTTCTAATAAAATGGTAGTTATTTATGCAAATCTTTGAATACAAAGTCATTTTTTAACATATGCATGGTTGGAATTAAGCTATTTTATTACCAGAAGATCCAGATGATAAAGGATCAAGTTTGCAACAATTATTGATAAATCTGTAACCCGCTTACACGCGTTTGTGACTAATTAATGACACGTTAGTAAAGATAATCCGATTTTGGGCTTAAACTCAGGTTTACAGGAATAAAACTTGTAAATTAAGCTCTCTGAGGAGACATTTTCGAGCTGTTTGTGCATCTGAGTGAGAGAATTACGCTCTTTTGTTCGCATCTCAGCAGAAACTATGCTCGGTGAAATTAAAGGTTGCCTCCTTAACTAACGAAGCCGCCATTATGAAGCATTCAGCGACTGTGTTGCAGATAATTGCTCAGCTTTTGTGCCTGACTTCCTGACCCCGTAGAGGAAAACAGGGGGCGGACTCTGACCTCTCGGTCGTTACGGCGACGTAGAACAGAGCTGCCTAATGAACATGTCTGTCCTCTGTGTTTACATCTGCCAATCAAACACGCAACTCTTCGTCGTTTGTGCTTTGTGGGGCCATCAGACACAAAAGCCGACAATTAGCTGCGCTCATTAAGACTCTTTAAAGGAGAGCTCAGTGTGTTGGTAATTAATCAGGCCTGCACTGGCAGCTGGGCGGACCTCTCGTCAGTCCCTGGCTCTGTGGGCCGTGCTCCTCCTCTTCCTCTGAGGGGTTCTGGGCGGAGTTCCTCAGGTAGCGCTGGTGCAGGCCGAAGCCAGGAAGCGCGTTCTGTCTGAGGCGACGAAACTCCTCCTCAAAGGGATCCTGAGGTGCGAGGTCTGTGGGCGTGAGTGGAGAAGGAATAAATCACACTTAAACTCATCCTGTTTGGATGGCATGCCCGAGGTGCTCAACATGAAGTCGTTTTTTTTTTTACATTTTCTCCTCAGATATGTGTATTATAGAAAAAAAGGGAAAACATATTGCTTTGTGATGCCCTTGGCAGTGTGCGTACGAGCAGACAGGAGAAAATAGATACACACATCTATTACAAGTTGAGCAAGAGTCCAAAAGGTATATTGATGTACCCCAAAAGAAATAACATCTAAAACAAGTCTCTATGGAAACGCACACCCCAGCTGTATATTCCATTCATATTTCATCTGCCTGACTTTATTGTGATTAGTCATGTAAATAAAATGAGATTTGCTTATTCTTTTCTCGAGGTAATTTACATTTATATTGAATTAGTGGCAGGCAGGGAACGGGGTGGATGGGTGGGGGTTATTATGCTGGGAGATTACAGGCAGATCTCATCGTCATTGTGTTGTGTAATTAAGGCAGCGGAGAGGAGACGTGAAGGAGGCCAGATGCTCGTCCTGCTGAAACCGGTCTAGTTTAGGAGGATCTGCACCCCTCTAAGGTTTAAGATAGTCCAGTTTTAAACAGAGAACGCATCTTTGAGGCGTTTTCACCACAGCAAAATAAGGGTGTGTTTTGGTCACTACCTTAAAGACCAAGTTCACTTGTTTTTTCAACACATTTGCAGCAGTCTCTGGTGTAAAAAGACACCTTGTGAGTCTTACTCATTATTATTTCCTGATATTCTGACACCTTGCCTCTGATTGGCTAACAGCAATGCAACTCTACCACTGACTCTGTTTGCTCTGCAACGTTTATGTTTTATCTCCACAAATAACACAAGTCTGAAGGAGTGACTGATGCTAACGGTTAGCATCTACTAGCTGAGACACACTCTGCTCTCTCCTGGCTGCAAAAATTAACCACCTTCCCCGACACGAGCCAAGGTGGATGAGTCCATGAATGCTAATTTACAGCGAGATGCAGATCCATGTGGCTTTTTTTTAACCTGGGCACTTCCCCATTTATTTTCTATTGACGGTTAATGCAGGGAACAGGTATACAAGACTATTTTCACGTTCAGCCTGCATGTGAAATTCAGAGCTGATCATATTTAAAAAATGACAGGTAAAAAATGGTTTCTCATTGAACTTGGTCTTAAAATGTGTCTCCAACAGTTGGAAAGCTAGCTTAGTCCATCCCATTACACTCACCCTGAGGACAATTTAGAATCTCCAATCAAGCTAACATGCATGTTATTGGTCTGTGGGCAGAAAGTGGATAAAACACACGCATGCATGATAAGAACGCTAACTCCATGCAGAAAGGCTGCTGTGGAAATCAAACTTGCAACCGTCTCACTACAACCCAACAAGTGCTACAGACTGCAGCTCAACATCTAACTTCCCGATCCAAATAGTCTCATTGCTTCAGAAAATATGTCTTATTATTTTTGGCAGGTGACAATTCTAACAATTTCTCTGCAGTCAAAAAGTGTATGTGTCTATGGCTGTGTATTAGCAAAGGAAGAATGAGGCCACTCCCTCTAGTGGTGGCTAAAAGGGTACAGTAACAAAAACTTTTACATTAAATTGTTATTAAAATGTATCAAAACATCAAAGATATTTTTGTGTATAGCAGAAATATTGTATAAGTAGTCCTACAGAAGATTTACAAAATTGCATTGCTACTTGCTACATCACATGAATAAAAATAAACGAGTTGAATTTTTCTTTCACTGCTGGAATTCAAATTGTATGATTAACAGGTGTCACCATCTGGTTTTTTTTGCACCACACTCAGGACGTCAGTGCGAAAACACGTTAGTTGCACATAACTGACATGATCTAATATTGTCTGACAAAAAAATCCTTGAAACTGTCAGGCATAGTTACCAGCTTGCGTCTCCTCTAAACTTGCAAAAATGTTGCCATTAAAGAAATTCGTTGAAAACCACAAACCTGACACTATTGAGATTTGGACTTTTTTGAAAATGGCGAACCTCCACAAAATATATATAAAATCTGATTTATATACCCAATAATTATAACTGTATGTATTGCATTTTGATTAATCAAAGGTGGACGGTGTCTTCGCTGGGAGGCCCAGTGGGGTGGCCATGCCGCCCCCCCCCCCCCCCCCCCCATCTGGCCACCCCTTGGGGGCACCACTGCTTAACTGTGGTTTATTAAAGTAGTCCAGCTGGGATAAATGCTGCATCTTGCTACCTGCAGCTACGTCACTTTTAAGCATTCAGTCATACAAACCAAGCATCTGTTATAGCCACAATAACAGTGCAACAGCAAACATGAACATATGACAGTTACCTAATAAGGAAAGTTTGGAATATTTTTAGATGTTTTCCGATGTTTCAGAATAATTCCTAACAAGTATATCCTTAATAATTTTCTGACAATATCTGATCAGTTTGGTCAGTTTATTATATTTTTCTGAGCAGAGTGACTATCTAAATGTCTCAGTACGAGATAGTGCAAAACACCAGTCACTGTTTTCTACGTCCAAATGTCTTTTGTTGTCCGTGAATTCAAATGGTGTTTTTCTTTTTGGGACTCTGGCTGTTTGTCCTAAAGTTGAAGTGGTAGCCGCCGTCTGTTTCTCCTACTCTGATAGTATTGAGTGGAGAACCTCTCACACCAGAGGTGTTCCGTTGCAAAATTTGTGAGATTGTAATGAGTGGAGGACCCAGGGAAGCGTGGAAGTGCAGCAGTTCAGCGAGACCGACAACCAGATGATCCATTAGTAGATTTTCGTCCGAATTGCGTTTGAGCTTTTGAGACAAATGCCAGAAAACCACCTTAATATTGCTGGAAGAATATGTGGTTTTCAACATTAATGCTACTGAAAAATTGGCCACCGACGTTCCTCTATTGTGTGGAATGTCTATACCTAACGTTGATGCCAGAACTTGTGGCTATGGACATCAGAGAGGTGGCTGGAAAAGAGTTTTGATTAGATCATGTGGAGTAAAACCGCCTTCTGTTGTACCTGGGATTTTCATATTTTCAGGATTTGTTTTATTTCTAACTTTTAACCGTAAAACATTTGGTGAGTTGGGTTCACATTTTGAGCGGACAGACAACATTTCTACCAAACTGAAACGATTCCTTCAGGTGGAGCTCAAGAGTTTTGAGGGACAACGGCCTGAGCCAAGGCTCTAACTGAGACAAAGGCGTTGCTGGATTTAAATTCCATTTGAATGGGCATCTTATTAACACAGGTCATCCATTTTGACCCAAGTCCGATTTCTCTGTCACAAAGACTGTTCCATTGTGTTGAGGCTGAAACTGGCTGAGCAGTTTACACAGAATGTTCTTCTTTTATGGTCAAACTTGGTGGTGATTTATCCCTTTTTGGCCTTGCACTTGAACTGATTTATTTCAGAGTTTAAAAACCAAACTGTTACATTGAGTGTAGTTTGAATGGGAAAAACAACACGGTGCTGACTGTACAGACACCAGATCTCAGTGAACAGGATAAGTGGTGGCTTGGCTCTCAAGGCATCGCAAGAAGGGGGGTGGAAAAGAAATCTCATTCCAGCTTGCATTTGTTTTGTGATCCCATCAGGTGAAGTTAGATAGCCGGATTAGGCCAAAACACTTGTGACTTCAAGGTTGTGCGCTCCATTCCAGCCTCTTTTACCCCAGAGGATCAATATTTGCATCTACTTAGAGTCCAGTTACCCAGGTAATAAGACTCCATCTGCCACTGGGTTGCATAATCCAACAACATTTAATTAATTTAAACAAAGACCATATCAAAGAGCTGTGATGATAATGAGGGCTTTTAACTTTCATAAAGGTGGCCTATTTTTTCTGGATCAAGGAGAGAGCCGAGAGAACATGTCGGAGCAACTCGATGCTTTCATTTGCTGCTATTGTCTTGAGAGTGGCTGTCATTTGTCTCCAGGCTTAAACAATGTAGCGTGTTTGAAACACAATGTCTAGACTTAAATAAAGCACCAAGACGCACCTAAACTCACAAAGACACCAAATCTATATGTGATGGACGCGCAGCAGGATGGAGTTTTACTTGTCGACTAAAGGAGCCTGAAATAAATCACTGCTCAAAAGGGGCTAACCCTACATGACAGCTACAACCACATTAAATTCAACAGCCCACCTTCCAAAGGTTCAAGACATCTGGTGTCATGCTGATGGGACCTCTCTATTGAGCACAGACAGATAGAGTCCGTGTTCAGACATGGGTAAAAAGAAGCTGGCAGCCTATCTTAGCCATCATTCATAAAGTGGCCAGTGGCTCAAGGCCCTGGTTTCGTACTAAGCTGTCTAGTTTCGTATGTGTGTGTGAGAGGAGGGTGCATATCAGACGTGTGGGAAAAAAAAGTTAAAAGATTGTATTAAATCTATGTATAATTCATATCTTGTATAAAAAAATACATTTTATAAATGTTTTTAATGCTGTATTTGAAAAACTTTATTTTAAAAATATAAATGTGTATGTATATGATTCCAACAAGGCTCCAGATCTCGTGGTTGCTCGCAAAAAACGTAATTTTCCCTTTGTATGTTTACGACGCAGAGGTTGCGCAGTCTTTTGAGTTCCAACGGCGCCATCTCGTGGCCACATGACTGTACAACCCTGATTCAAATAGTCTGGGGGGGAATAATCACTTTTATTTTTATTACACACGTCAGGGTATTTATTTTCAACTAACGCCGTTTTAGTTTTCTATGTTTACTAATCGTATCAAATAAAATACTAATATTTACCAGTTTTACTTGGAATTAATGTCGGAAAAACTAGTCTTGAGAACTTGCTTCAGAATAATAGTGGTTTTAGGTTTCTAACGTTTTGGGGGTTGTTTTCACACTGAGAGTTTAAACATAAGAACAGTAGACATGTAAACATCTCGGCATACATTTAAACCTTGCTTAGTAATAGTTTTCAGAGGAAGAGCTGAAGTTGGAGCCAAATTTTTAACACCATCCGTCTCTTCAGCACCCAAATCGTTCGTGCTTATAGTAAATTTGTAGAATCACCTATCTTTTTTTAAATTTGGCTGTGTTTTGGCAGAAATTTGTAAGTCAAAACTGTACAGTAAAAAAATGTCATTGAACTAAATGATGGTAGGTTAACACTGAAACAACCCTAAATGCCCACTAGAGGGGGCTGTAGTCCAATAAATACATGAACACAAGTCGGTTCAAACGTTTTACCATTTTTTAACTCTTCGTAATAAAAATAACCTAATTTTTTCATTTGGTGGGGAAAAAAAACTAAAACCACTTTAAATAGCAAGTCACCCCCAAATCAGCTTTTATTTTTTGCTGATAAACTAAATAAACGAGTGTCTAATCGTGCTGCAGACACATGTAATCAATAATTTGGCACATCAGTGCATCTTAGTTAAAATTTAATTTTTCTGCCTAAAACTGGCAGTGTTGCGCCGTCATCAGGTAAAAACTCTGCACTGTATTTGAATTTAAATCTGCCACCGCTATTGGCTAAGAGGTATGCTACGGTGTAAACTGGTACATTATGATGTCACAATGCCGTTGTGAGCCTATGTGTGTGTGTATTTGTTAGTGGCTCCGCCCTCTCGGTCTGCCAGGCAACAGCATTTGTTGCATTTTTCAAACATGAAGTGGGAGTGGAGTAAGTTTCTTGTGGGGTGACTTGCTCTTTAAGCGCAACATGCATAAACTAGCACAAAAACTGCAAGAAAACACATTTACAAACTAGGTTAGGAAAAGTTGACTGGACGCTTAGCAACAGGACAGCGCATGCGTATAACGCTGCTTCACTCTACACCACTGATAAGTTAGGATGAAGAGCTGCCATGTTCTCTAAAATAATACCATTTCAGACTAAATTAAGTCATAGAAAAGTAACCATTTGTTCCTGCTCGGAACCCTGAAGCGTTTGAGTTATTTTCTTTTTCCTGATTCTTCAGTTTCCTTGACATGCCTCACAAGAACACGCACTGGGGCTTGTGTAAATAGACTAGCCTTGGGCACATTCCATAAGAAACACTCATTTCTGTGTTCCTGGGCCAGCTGCAGCCACCACCCTATCCAATCTTGGATCAAAATCTGCCGTTTAAACGCAAATCACATAACTGCACATTTCCAGGCTGCACATGAGCCACACTCTGCAGAATCTCTGCAGTTTGGGTTCATTTTAAGGACAAACTTACATAACCCTATAGAAAAGTGCAGCAGGGAGGGGCGACTATGGAGCCAGGAGTGGGTGCTGTTCAATTTCCAACTGGTTTGAAAAGGTAAAACACTCCTATTGTACAGAAAGATCAGCGGGTTTAAACGCTTCACTAATACCGTTCATCTTTTCAAGGAACAATGAACAAGATTTTAGTGAGGAAAGACACGCAGCATAATCACTGTACAGCAGTATCAGTGACCAAGCCCTGATGTGAGTCACTGAAGCATTAGTCAGTTAAATGATGCACAAGGTGAAGTGCATGATGAACTGGTGAGCGTACAGGAAAAAGCAGCAAAACGTGATTTTTCTTTATTGCCGTTGTGTGAAGCTGATTTAATCGGTGATGATGCACAAGCAGGAAACACACATTCATGAGTCGCACGACCATATGACACCGCAATCAGAGTAAAAACTACAGACACCAGGTGATGGCAGCAGTGTTTTCATTAAGTTTTACAAATTCAACTTTATTGACCAAATTTTAATCTTCAAAGAACAAAAACAAAGTCCCGCATCTGTGTCTGCTAAAAGGTGTTAATGTTGAGATTCACAGGTTGAGCTGCAGAAGCAATAAACACAGCCTCCTCCAGTCATGCAGAAACAAACCAATCACACGGTGACATTTCCAGACTAAAAGAAAAATGCACGGTGTTATAATTCATTTATTAATGAATAATTATTACACTCGCATGGATAATAGCAAACAGGTTAGCGGAGTGAAGCGGATGTTAAAAACACCAAGGTGAGGTGGTTAAAGTTCTCATCCACTTGTTAAACTGCTCAAATGAAATAGCAAAAACCACATGCTTTTAGGTCTAATGTACACATTTGTTTTCCTGCCACAACACGACAATATACACACCCTAAGTTAAAGGAAAATATACAGCATGTGTGTGCTTATGGCAGAGAAGTACAATATATTTATATAAAAAAAAATCCCAACACACTGGTCCCCCATCCCTCCTCCCTGAAATAATGGAATAAATAAAAATTTACAAACACAGAGAAGACGTCCCTCACCTCCCTGGCAGCTAAGCTAACATGAGGGAATTCTTCTTTGGGAATGAGATGCATGATGACAGAGAGAGGAGAGACTGACTGCCAGAGTTTATCCAGAGGAGAAAACCTTTTGTTCATTTGTTATCCAGTCTTAGTAGCTGCTCCTTACCATTAACTGTTAGAGATTTTAACTGACCATCTTCCACCACTTCTACCCGCTCCTGGCCGTTCTCCACAGTCCTGATCGCACACAAGGAAAAAAAAAAGTTTGTTTAAAAGAGAGAGATGAGTAGAATATGAATGGGGTCAGTTTCAACAACCAGATACCGTTTTGTGGTTATTTTTCTGCCGTTGATAATCTTGGTGGAGGTTGAAACGGACTTAAAGTTCCCCATTCCTCCTCCTCTACCTCCTCCTCCAAATCCACCACCAAATGAAGAAGAAGAGAAGGAGGTAAATCCTCCTCCACCACCCATGTCTCCAAACGAGGCAAAACCTTAAAAAGTGAAAAGGAATGGTTAATAAATCGTGTCATACTTGCTCTTCAGGGGATTTTTCAGCCTGTTCGAAGCGCATTTCTGTGTAAAAGTTATTCTACTTGTTCAGCCTCAGCAGTATAAAAGTTTTAAAATTATTTGGCGATTGTCGTTTCAAAATGATGTAAACACCAACTGGTGGTCCTTCAGCAACAGACCTCTCAACACAATCATTAGTTTCACTCCTGAAGTCCTGGAAAAAGGAGCCCTCAGTTCCAGCTTAACAGCCAATCACATTTGGTTGCTAGGGAGAACTTGAGAATTTTTGGCCAATCAACACCATGCCTCTGAAGCACTGGTCAATAGTGCTCCTGTTACAGGAAACAGCTAGCTAGCATGCTAGAAGGTGCTGGAACTCTTTATTTCTAATAAATGCATATTGTGTTTTGCCACCTAGTGGTGGAAAATGAGTATTGCGCTGTGAGCTGATCAATTAAAGCGCACAGGCTGCTGGAGACTAAAATCTCCAGCTGGAAAACCAACAAAACACCACAAAATGTGAATGACAACAGACATGGACTGCAGTTGATGTTAAATGTGGGGTAGAAAGGCCTTCAAGGTAGGTTTGTGTCTTTATTTGAGGAGTCTAATTTGTAAATTTGACTATGAAAATGCTGATTTGGGTAAGGGAAATAAGGAAATTGTGGTCATTTTCCAACTGTTTTCATTTTCCAGCTCCACCAAGCACCTTGTTTCACCAGCTGCCAATGAAGTAATTACTTCTGCTACTTTAACTTTATTAATCACAATGTATCCACTCAGAGAAGCACACACCTGAATCAAACCCTGAGAAGCCAGACCCAAAGGCTGGAAAGCCGCCGAACCCAAACATCGGCCCTCTGCTCGGGTTGGCAGCTCTTGGACGACTGCAACTTCCTCCAAAGAAATCGTCGAAGGGGTCATCATCTGCAAAAGGTAAACACAGTCACATGACAGGTTCTGGTCTATACTCAGTACCTCATCTAATGGTTTCACTTTTATTGTTTAAAAAAAAATCTTTCCTGGAAAAAAATGTCCCTACGAAATCATCCATGTGCTGTGCACAGACCTTCCTCCCAAAGCCCGGAGGAGCTGCTACTAATTGTGCTTCACCAATCTGGGTCACCCTGGCAGGATAAGGCTGGATCATCGGCACCATTTCCTGAAAGAAGACTCCTCCTTCAACCTTGAACGCATCAGGACTACAGTTGAAAAGCTTTACTTGTTCCATCCTGACGGAACGCTTAAAATAAAAGTCTCCCCTGTGTGCCGTCGCTGCGGTGTTACCGCGTGTTTACCGAGAAGGCGACACCTTTAGAGCTTTTAGATGTCATGCATCAGTTAAAGGGAGAGGACAGGAATGTTGTTCCAACGCGGGAATTCTGCTTCAGCTCCCAAGCGAGTGATGATTAAACAATGCAGGAAGTAAAGTTAGGTGCTTCTGCAGATGTGTCTGACACAAACTCCTAAAAGTCCAAACCCAAATAAAGGAGCTGATGATTTCTGGAGTGGGTCCAACAGTCAGCTGCTTTATTTTTTCACACGTTCATTTGAGGCGGAGGGTCTGCTGTTCTTGGAAGCCGACTTGGCCGTCATGGCTGTGTGATTCTGCATTTGTCTCAAGAGTACACACACACACACACACACACACACACACACACACACACACACACACACACACACACACACACACACACACACACACACACACACACACACACACGTGGCTGAGTGACTGATCCTCAGGACCAGCTGCTGGTCAGGGTTTTAAAAACTCATCAAAAACCACTTCAACAACAATCTGGAACGCTCCTAAAGAACCCAAGTAAGGTGAGCACGTCCAGCTGGTCAAACATGTTAAAGATCAGTATTTATAGTCACCATTTACTACAAAATAAAATGTTTCTACACTTGACTTACTGAAACAAGCCCGAGAGCGTGATTCACATCGGATCTCACATGCACACGCACACGTGCGCATGCTCTGCGCCATTGCATTTGCTTTGTTTTAATGTGGAAGCTATTTTTGAATGCATTCCAGTTGAGTGATGCGAATGCTCAAATCCATCCTTCTCCTGCGTCTGAACTCCTTATTTAGAGGTGAGCTACACATGCATCCCAATCAGCCTGCTCCTTAACCCGGTCAGAAACCCACAGGTTCTACTCAATAACATCGACCAATCAGCAGTTACACAGGCTAGAACTAATGAAACGTGTAGTTTTGGCTTTTAGGGAAGCTTTCGTGTGTAGTCAAGTGATAAAAATGAGCTTTAAAGTGTTTCCAGGCCACCGGGTGTGTATTTTTGACCAGCTTGATAATAATAGCCTCTCCCTCTCTCCTCCTGTCTGAAAACAACAGACCCCATTACTGCCTTGGAGAGCGTGGACGGGAATACGACAGACTTACTAAAAAAATTTGCAAATGGATCTCTGCCTCCAAAGAATTCCCTGAAAACATCCTCTGGATTACGGAATGTGAAGCCGCCGCCGCCGAAGTGATTGTAGTGGCCTCCTGTAAACGACAGGACAATAAAGTTTTAACGACACAGAAAACGTTACATCCACACAACTATGACATCATCACCATCAGCAGTAGGTTAAACTTTACATTAATAACATCTGCTTCTAAATTAATGTCACAAATAAATAAACAATTTTTATTTTTACTGTTTATTAGTTTCATAAAACTGAAATATGAAGGGTTTTAAATTTCCTCTCCTTACCTCCTCCTCCTGCTGAGAGGCCTTCTTTTCCATATCGGTCATAAACATTTCTTTTGTTTTCTGGAACACAGAAAACTACTTTAGAGCAAATAAATGAGGAGAAATAAAAAGTTAATCTTTCCTTGGATAATAAACACCACAGCTTTGACTTTAACAGGACAAAAGCAGCCAGCACTAAAAGAATAACGTCTTATTTTATCCTGTTGCTCAGCTTTTTACTTTTCTGAAATGCTTACATTTTCTGTCACTTATCCAAAACTCTCTCAATCCTGATTATTTGCTTTCTGATCAAGATTTAAAGACCAAGTTCAAGTTTATTTAACACATCTGGAGTGGTCTCTAGTTGGACTTAATGGGGGGGGGGGGGGGGGGGGGGGGGGGACGGACGACTCTGGCGCTCCTGTTTCAGGAAGTAAAAGTTAGCCAGAGGAGAGCTTCAGACGGCAGGATTTGGAGCTTTATTTCATGATATCTGGACATCTCACCTCTGATTGGCCAACAGCAACATGACTGCCACTCACTCTGTTTGCTTTGCTACGTTGATGTTTTATCTTCACAAATAACACAAGCCTGAAGGAGTTCTGCCGTGTTGTGGAGTTGCTAATGCTAATGGTTAGCTTCCACTAGCCGAGACGCTTTCTGCCATTTCCTGGACGCTAAACCAACAACAGCCTTCCCTGCTGCGAGGCGAGATGAATGCCTATTTTAAAGTGTGACATATAATTGTCAGGTTCTTCTAAACCGAGCGTTTCACCATCTGTCTCCTTTTGACGGCTAATGCAGGAAACAGGTAGAAGAGTATTTTTACGTTCAGCCTGCTTGTGCAAGTAAAAAAAAACTTATTTCAGTGAACTTGGACTATAAATGTCACTCTTTTAAAATGTTCCAGCTTCTTTGCATTGACTGGGAATGCTGTGTTGACAGTAAACGTGCAACAAAACTGCTCCAACCAGTCGGTCTCTCATCACACTTAAAGATCAAAGTGAGGAATGCCTCACCACTTGTAACAAACTAAAAGTGAAAGAAAAAAGAACGTCTCAGTCTGGGAACCCTGACGATGGATCATCTGGATCTTGTGACTGAAAAGTTAATATGCATAACTTATGACCTGATATAAGCTCGCATTTATGACTTGTCCTGATAGTAATAGTAAAACAATAACAAGTACATTTATAAAAAAATAATAATACCCGAGTTTCTGACAAACCGTATCTTCACAATTACATCACATTCAACCGTCTATTTTAAGCTTAATTCATTCGGTTTCTTGATAATAAATATTTACTAAACTGCATCAAATAAAGAGAAGAATTATTTAAAATGACCTTCTGAATTAGCTGAACAGAGTTTACAGTGTACTTTTCCTAACCCTAATTTAAATCGTTCAGGTTTCCTACAGAGTGTGACATTCTGATGCTTTAAACAAAAAGATTACTTTGACAAAAAATTTGTGCTGAATTTTTTTTTGACTGTTTAAAGTGACAGTGTGTATTTTTCCTGGTGAAGGGGGCAGCAGATAGCTAAATCGTTGCAAGCAAGCAGTATTTTTGTGTTGGAGTAAGACCTTATCAATGGATGCTCATTAGGGTCAAAAAGGCCTGTGGAGTGCAAACTTTAGGAAAATAACAAGCACATCAGACTCTCTTTGATCACTGGCAACAAGTGAAGAGGTAAATGTGTAAACCAACGTTTAAGAATGAAGAAAATTTTGTAACCATTTGTTACAAATTAGTAAATGCATTTTGTCCTCTTGGGCTCCCATAGAAGGAAACATGACATCTAATATGGCGTCGCCCAGAGATTTAAGCTTGGTTTATGCTTGACGCGTCCGCGAGATTCGCACGGCTCCACGCGGCAAAATTGTGTCATTTTAGCAACCGCGCCTCCGCAAGGCCCAAACATTCCGCACCGCGCACCTAAGAAATTTTCTAATCACGCGGACGGTCGGACGTGGAAAAACATTGCGCACTGGCAAGAACTAGTATGGCAGAGGTTCGTAAACACAGACATTTGTATGATTCAGCTCTCAAGGATCACCGTGATCAACATGTTGTTAATAATTCTTGGAGAGAAATAGCTCGCACTGTCGGAAAAGACGAGGACGCTGTTAAAAATGCTGGAATGCCATGTTGTAAACAGTAATTTCTACTTCTACTATGGTGTAGTGTTGGATGCATGCCGTAGAGCTTCATGCTGCCCCCTACAGTTTGGGAGAATATTGGCTCACCACAGAGACGAGCCGCATGAACCATAAACGCTGCAAGTTGTGAAGAGCGTTCCATCCGCGAGCCGCATCACCAAGCGGAAAGTAAATGTGTCAAGCATAAACCAAGCCTTCGACCCACTCCCATATATTTTAGACCTGATTTTTATAGTTATGTTACGAAGCCGCCAATATTTTTCAACAGCTGGGCATCATTTCATTCATTTTCAACAACATTTTGATGAATATTTCCAGAAATAAATCGTTAAAAACTACACACCGTTAATAAATTAATCTTAGAAAAATTAACCCTTAAACTTTTCCTCAATAAAATCTATAAGGATAACCTCCATTTTCTTATTAGCACAAATTAGGAAACATGCAAACAGAATATCTGGAGTGCTGATGGGTTTAAAAATATACATGCAGGTAGAGTTTTACCATCTGAAAGGACTTCATAGGCCTCCGACAGCTCTTTGAACTTTTTCTCTGCTTCCTCCTTGCTGTCTGGGTTCTTATCTGGATGCCACTTCAGAGCTAATTTTCTGTAACTGAGGAACAAAAAAAAATGCTTTGAACACAAATAGAATTGAATAAGTTAAATACTATAAATATGTCCTAAAAGAATGTTTAGAGATGATGGGATGAAATGATGAACCTAAATTCTTTACTAGAGGTCAGAATGAAGTTAATACAAAACCAATCTCTAATCTTACATTGTTATAAATCTAAAGGTAAACTTTACTCATATTTAATACATTTGCAGTGGTCTCTAGTAGGCATTAATGCCTTGTAAGTCGTGCTCTGTGGAAAAACGCTCATATGCTCCTGTTTGAGGATGTACAAGTCAGCCAGAGAAGAAAAAGGCAGCAGTTTCCTGATATTTGGACATATTGTCTCTGATTGGTTGATAGCAGCACAACTCTGCCACTAACTGTTTGCATCGCAACACTGATGTTTTATGTCCACAAATAACACAAGCCTGAAGGAGTTCTGCTGTGAGGTGGAATTGCTAATGGTTAGCTTCTACTAGCCAAGATGCTTTCCTGTTGCAAGACAAGATGGGTGAGTCCATGAATGTTAAGTGACGGTGTGACGTAGATCTGTCAGGATTTTTAAATCCTAGAGTTTCATCGTCTGTTTTCTATCAGAACTAAAGCAGGAGATGGGTGTAGGAGACTTTTCATGTTCAGCCTGCATGATAAACTCAGTGACTGATTACAATCAGAAACAATCATTAACCTTTACCAACAAAACTGACTTTGATAAAGAATCTGTGAGTCAGAACTAATTATATTTATGAGCACCTCTGTTAAAAGGACATTTGCTGTTCTGTAACAAGCGGTGGTAAAACTTTGCCAAGATGACAAACAGCAGCAATCTGAGGAAACGACTGTCTAGGCTGTTATCAGCAGATCTATGGCACCATAACCGAAAAAGAAACCAATCAAGGAGAGCCAAAGTCCACACCTCAACCTGACGGGAATGATGAGTGGGAAAGGTTTCCCAACTGTGACGTCTTCATTTTTATGCCAGGTAACTGTGGTTCTGATTAAACAGTTTCTATACTTATTCTTTTTTTATTATGCGAGAGGATTTGTGTTTTTAATCACGTGGATTCAAGTGTAACAGACAACCTCTTGTCAGAAACAGATCCACGCGCAGGTCTTTTATTAGAGTAGCAGCCATGACAACACTAAGCACACACAGACACAAATCTGCACAGACAGTCCTCTCCACCCAAGCAGATTTAACAAAGACAGCCTGAACTGCACCGGTGAGCAGCGTGGGCCTTGCACAGCGGCTTACGCTGCATCAGCTGTTTGTGTCAGAGCCCAGCAGCAGCAGCAGCAGGAGCTGCAGACAAGAGACTAAAACTCAGCCAGCAAAAAGAAAAAAGCTTCGGATAGTCCTGGGATCTGCTCCCTATAGTCTACTCAACAGCTCTGTTGTAATCTGTGATATTATCTTGCTGTGCAAAGCCCGTTTTACAGGTCAAATAGCCAAACAAGTTGAACAATGACAGCTGGTGATGATGGTTGTGTAACACACCAGTTTTTGGGTCTCATCAGAGAAGTCCTTGTTCAGCCTGAATATCGTCAAGGATAGCATAACAACCTGACATCTGGGCTGTAACTCAATACCCATTAAATTTAATAAACTAATAAAACAAACACGTTTTCAGGAATCTCAGCTATTTTAAACAACGCTGAACCGATTACAGATGCTGGTTCTGATCGATCTTTTATTCTTGTACAGTTCTGATCTCCAAACAACAATTTAGCTCAAAGAACTTTAATTATGTGACGTAAGAAAATACTGATACACTGAAATACATATTTAAAAGTAGAGCATTAATATTTCATTGAGAATTTACATATGAACATTTATTAGAATTTGTTTTGTGTGGTGCAGTTCAAACTCCAACAGGTAGGTGGCAGAACATTTTACCGCCTTCATTCTGACGGAACAATCAGATCTCACGATAACACTGATGAGTCTTGGAAGCGCCTAACCTGAGTTTTCCAATTAGATTCAATCTTAATTGAAAGTATCTAGACTTTAGTATTGCGATATATTTTATCATTTCCCCTATAATGTGATAAATACTGCATCACCAGATTCTTGCCAACGCACACCCTGACAGAAAACGTTTTTAAAACTCTGATTAACTTGAAAGGTTTGATCCAGGTGAGCAAAAACATTCCACATGTTATTACAAGTAATGGTGAGTTCATGTGTTAGAAAAAGTTTACCATTTATTGCCGTTTGGCAGTGATGCACTCATAGAGAAGAACTATAAATAAATCAGACCTTTGAGTTTCAGATTGGCTCATCACCAATAAATTATTATATAGAGCTATTCTGAGTCTTCATTTATATTCCTTTTGCTGTAAGAGCTGTGTGACACTAACCCCAACGGCACACTGTAGGCATCAGCAGCGTGGAATGGCAGCGGAACAGTTTACTCGCGACTATCGCTGCACTCCAGTGTACATCGCAAGAGTCTCAGCCGCGAGCTTCTCCGCTGTGCTCCTTGCTCGACTCGCAAGAACACAAAATTCCTCGAGTTTATGCCGTCCGTCATTAAACCAAAAAGAAGGAAATCACGTTTGATATTGTTATTTGCGGTCATGTTTGATATTGTTGTTCTTCCGGCTCTTGTAGAGTTCAGACGCTTTTTTTCAACCTCTCCTCCCCATCTCATCCCAAGGCTCTTTGTCTGTCTTTGGGTGTAAGGCGCTTCTGCAGTTTTTCTGAAAACTGGAAATTATTGAACATGGATCTGGTCAGTTGGTCTCTCAAAGCGATTGCAAAATTTTTTCAACGATGAGAACGGGAGAAGGGGCTCCCGATTGCCCCTCTGGGACAGAGCCAGCTGGGTATATCATGGACTCCTGGAAACAGTAGAACCTGATCTGCCTCTCTCAACTGTCTGTAGAGGATTCTGAAGACGTCTAGATATTCATGGTGTTGGCGTCAGGTTTCGTGCTGTTTGGCCTGAGCGGTTACCTGGTTTACCAGAAAATTAATGAGCTGTCGAGGAATATTGGCTCAATCCCGGAGCTCGGATGGAGCTCCGGGATGGATTACACCGCGCTGTGAACGCACAAACTCATATAATTGTCGAGATGAGTCGTAAGCTTGGAACTTTGGCTGAGATTCAGGCTCTGGCACAGAAGGTTGATGCCGTCAAGGATAGAGTTGACGGATCAGCACGGATTGGGATAGATTAATCTATGCCATTGTTGGATTTAGAGGGGTTGGAGATCAACAGAACGTTAAGACAGAGAGGAAATTATCTCTGTCTAGCCCCAAAACAAGTCCTTATCTGAAACTGGTGCCCTTGAGCCTGTGAGGCTGAAGAGATTACTCCCCCTCAGAAGAAATAAGGAATGCTGCCGTCGCCATGGTAACTCTTGTCTCCCTATCCCATCCTGGGCGGGACCGCGACCGGTGAAGGCCGTTGAATCGTTTCCAGGAGTCACTGTGCTCTCTTACCCAAATATCTCCTTCCCCTCTCCAAACGGAGGTGACGAGCGCTGCTTATCGTGGCTGCATGCACTGATGTGAGGAGAGTCCCCAGCCCTACCTCCCCACCTAGTGGACACTTATGTTGTGTAATGTCTGAAGTCTGTTGCATTTCTGTCTGAGGTGTTTTTTGCATAGCAAAGCTGCCCTCCCTGTGGAGTGTAACTCTGAAGTGCCTTTGTTTTCCTCCACCTGACCCAGTCCTCAAATAAACCCTCTGATCTCTATTAAGGTAGCGCGTAGGGCTGTAGCGAAGCCTCGACGAAGTCGACGGCTCGATTCTAAAAATTTGTCGACGTCAGATCCGGAAGTCGACGCACCGCGCCCACTTGTTGCATCCCCAGGAGTTTGTAAATAGAGGAAGAATCTGCCTGTTTTTCCTCTAGTTCGCCCTCTTCTCCGCCTTCACTAACATCTCCGCCAAATACCGAAGACCCGGAACAATGTCCGTCCACTACTAGATTATTTTCCTGTTTTGCCCGCCTTCGTCTCCCGGCAACGGACAACAACTTCCGGGGTCAGATACGCTGCTTCGTGTCTATCGCAGATGTAGAAAATCACCGGGAGCGCTTCTCCCTTCATCAAGGAGCTTCTTTCAGACATTAGGAGAGCTGTTTTGGTGGTAGCAGTCTCTCCTCCGTGCTGGTCTGTTTGCTGCTGGGTGTTTTTGGTTTATTTAAACTTGGTAACTTGAACTTAACGTTGGTAAAGCTACTGTTAGCATCTTCGCTAACAGCTTCTTGCGTTGGGATAAGCCGTTACGTTTTGGTTTAGAGTTCATCTTTTTTGTGGTGTAGATCTCCCTTTTATTACATTTAGAGTGTTGTGGGTTTTCGGTTTAGTGTAAAATATCACCTGAGTTTGGTTTAACCCGTAAGACCACTCGCCTCACGCACATAAGTGACCAAAACAAAGCAGCATGGAGACACTCCATCTTCTACCACCTCTCAGGCAGCAGCCTGCACTCCCAAGTTCTACATGTCACCAGAACATAACCAACCGCAACACAATAAAAGCAGTGTTATACAAAATGGAAGGCCTGTAGTGTTTATTCTCTTACAGTAAGAATTTATCAATTTTTTTGAGGAATTTATTTGAGATTTTCTGGTTTTTGTTAATTGTGCAATAGAAAAATAATCATTAGATTAATTTTCTAAATAGTCATTAGAATAGTCGACTATTCGATAAAATAATCGTCAGAATAATCGTTTTAAAAATAATCGTTTACCCCCAGCCCTAGTAGCGCGACTCGGGTTGCGAATGACCACAGTCACCAATTCTTGTCATGTGTCTATGCCTACAGTATGTATGTATGTCTGATCTCAGAATTGTGTGAACTGAAACTCTAATTTCCCTCTGGGATTAATAAAGTATCTTTGAATTTGAATTTGATTTTGTTCCTCTCCACTACCAGGATTAAAGCCATGAAAAACACACCGCTGCACTTCTGGAACGAAGCAGGGAGTAAAAAAAGCTGTTAGGTCACTATTATTAACATTATCTACATAGATATGAAACTGCATAGCTGCAATAGACTTATTTTGAAATTACTGGGGGTTTTACACTGAAACCGTGTGTGATTTTCTGTCCAGCCCTATGTTAACCGTGAAAATTGTCGTGTCCCAGAAGCGGCTCGCGGCAAAAATAAAATCAGATCCTATCTTTAGTGGTGTGACGAGCTGCTTCTGGGACACGTCTGAAAATTGCTGCGTTGCAGCTGGTTTGAATCACCCCCATAGACTCGAATGGATTCTATTTGAAGCTGTGCCGCGCCGCTGATGCTTCCAGTGTGCAGTAGACTTTTCTATTCTAATCTAAAGCATTGAAGCAGAATATTGGTCAATTTCGGATCACCAGTCAATTTGTTGGTACCTCTAGATCGGAGGATGATTCCGACAAAGCTTTGATCGTTCCAAATTTGGTTATCCGGTCTTTCTTTAGGAACTGAATCGCCTTCTCAGTGGCCTAGCTGTATGAGGGTCCGCCCTGGGACTGGGAGATCACGGTTCAAATCCCGGTCGGGTCATACGGGGTTGGATTGGGAGTTTAAACCACCAAATAGTTTACGAGCCCCACCACTGCTGCAGCCGACCGCTCCCCAAGGGGATGGGTCAAATGCAGAGATGTAATTTCACCAGTGTGTCATGATGACTAACCCCGGGTTTCCACGGGAGCCGTCAGCAGCACGTTACTGCAGCAGCACGTCTTGCTCGCGTAAGCTGCTGCTTGGCCCTTCCCACGAGACGCGAATCAGCAGGGGAGCAGCTGTCACCGACAAAGCACGAAGTCACACGAGTGACTTCGTCAGTAAACACAACAACAAGCAGGAGAAAACTACAACATGGCTCCAAAATATTTGTGTTTTTATGTTCTGTCCGTTTTATAATCGCCAATACGGACCTGAAAAACAAAGGAGACCGCTAGCTAGGTGATAACTTCTCACGGGGCCGCACAGTTAGTAACCTTTTTTAAAGTAAAGCGACCGGAAGGCAGTACATTCTTTATTCTGAAAATCTCGGGAGCTTCTCTCCATTTCCGCGTCCGATTTCCTGTCTTTCCTTCCCCAAACATGTCTAAATTGACCCGTTTCAGAGGCGTCGCGCGTAGGAAATAGAACCGGCGCGTAAAGGCCGCGACATGCTGCTCCTGAGACGCGGCCGACTCGCGCTGCTGCCGGCTGCCGACGGCTCCAGTGGAAAAGGTTCTGTTGACCACAGCCGTTCCTATCAGCAGCTATGACGTGCTGCTGCAGTAACGTGCTGCTGACGGCTCCCGTGGAAAGCCGGGGTAATGGGATTTTAACTTCAACTATCGTGCATTCATGGACCCGGAGTTGGTCAGATTTTAAACTAACACTAAATACAACACTTGCTTCCTGATTACTTGTGATGACTAAACCCATCCCAATGAATCAATAAAATGACGAACGTTTACACAGTCAGAGGTCACTGGATTGACTGATTGATTCAGACTAAAAGCTTGTGTTCCATTTGTGAACTATTTCAATAGAATTCTATCCAAGTGAACCACCCAATAGTTTCATTACCTCTTCAGTTTTACCTGACTTCTACTACCTGCCCTACAATAGCTCTAACACACGACCATTTGGTTTTGGTTATGCCTTTAGCTTTTTGTCTTCCCTTAAACAGAAACTCGGGTTCCTGAGAAACTGTTGAGTCAATACAGTTAGTCAGGTCTGTTCATCTCAACTACCATGGAGGTATTTAAACAAGTAAACAAGAAAAAAGTAAATACTGCAGACCATCCTCTAAACCTCTGTGTGAAGTCATCCAGCTTCAGAGAATAACACCAACTTTTTAAAAGCACCAATAAACATTTATGCTTACGCTTTTTTGATGTCATCTTGTGTTGCATTTTTGTGAACTCCTAAAATCAAGTAGTACTCCACCATGGCTGTGTATATGAGCTGGTTTATTTGGGGATCTTGTGCAGGTTATCTGTGGGGAAAAGTGAAATTATATTAGGACACATAAAGTTGAATAAATAGTAAATGATTCCAGATCAGATCCAAGTGTAATCAACATAGCGCCCCTTTTTACAGACCAGAATGATGCACCTGAAAAGGGGAGGACAAGGGTAAAAGTACTTTGAGAGTGGAAATTCCCAACACGGTTGCTTTGTCTGGAAATAGCAACTCTGGAAAAAAGACAGCTAGATGACACAAGCCAAGTGAAATTACACAATAACTGAGTGATCATGCTTTAGCCCTAGGCGTCAAAACAACATGAAAAATGTTTTCCTTCTCTTTTACTGAACAGTAGTTAAAACATGAACTGATGATGGGAGTAATGAAACCTCTGAAAACAAGACAAAACAGGTCTGAAACTAAGAACCAGGATATTTTTACAACATTTTATTTTGTCATATCTTTATTTTAGAAGAGCAACATTGAACAGAACATAAATTATTGCACTTCTGCTGCCCTAATCTAGAGTTGGATCAATGAAAATGTAAAGCCATAAGAGGACCTAATAAAAATGATCCAATTTTCACAGCATTCCAGGGATGTAAGAAGATATCAATATAAATTTGTTTTAAGATACTGAATTGACATTTAAAAGCAGCGTATTGATTCTTATGGAGAATTTAATGTGTTTCTTTAGTGTGGGGCAATTCAAACTCTGACAGCTAGGTGGTGACAAATTTTACCGCCTTTATTCTGACAAAACAGTGAGATGTCGTGAAAACACTAGATGTGTCTTGGAGTGTCTGGCCTGCGTTTTCCAAAAAAAATCTCATCTTATGACGATGTGGTGCTGCTAGGGACGTGAAAGGGCCGTGATATAATCAGCCGCAAAAATGTTAACTTCTGGAGTCTGCTGAAATTTCCCCTGGGAAAACTGATGTAAAGTTTTCATCCTACAACGAAAAATACGGCGTGGAGGAAGAAAAATTAATCAAAGGGAGCTCAAAACACTGAACTGAATACGATTTTAGCGTACCGTTACACCCATAATATATATATATATATATATATATATATATATATATATATATATATATATATATATATATATATATATATATCGAAGACTCGTCAATACACCGGATCTAGAATTAATCATCATGTTAATACTTACAAAATAAAAAGCACCACAAAATTGAAATAATGTCTTTCTTCCATGGCATTGTGTTAACACGCAACTGTATGCTACAGACAAGCAGACATAGCAAAGCCAACGCTTTTAAAGCTGGAAACTCTGATAACAATATTGAAGCTGCACACAGCTGTTCCAGTTTTACTTCATTTATATTCAAATACTAATATCTGTTGAAAACTTTTATACACAAGATCAGAATTGTAGAACTTCAGAGCCTAGCTGTGATCTAAACATTGTTTTTTTTTAATTAAAACCACCTAATTTTTCTTTGGACAAGTAACAAGGCCACTGGTGTATGAGGGTGGGCAATACACTTAATAGGAGCAGAAAACTATCAGCGCAGGTTTGGTTCTACTTCTAGCTAGCTGAAACCTTAGCTTGATAGTAAACAACCATAGATGAAAATCCAACATTGCCAAGCCCTCTCAAAACCAGCTCAAAATTACAGAGGATTTACTCTAAAATATCCTTTAAAAAGATAAACAAACCAGAGAGCACAACATAAGTGCACTGTGTCCTGTTTGTGTGCTATTTATAACCTGTGGCCTTTGCAGTTAGATTGTGTTATTTGTGGAGGAGCTGGAGGTTTTTGGCACACACCAGTGCCAGCAGTGATTCTTGTAGGGTAGACGGGTCAGATGCTGACCTCCGTTTTCAGAAGGCCAATGTTTCAGACCGCTTTTTGACCGTTTCTACCCTTTTATCTGATAAATCCTCTACTTGCTTTATTTTAAACTAAGAACTATAATGACATTCCTCTAGACATCCATCTAAAAGTATAACTTTGAAAGTGACTGTTTTCATTCCAGTAAATTTTAGACAAAGTCATTTTTTTCTCGTTAAGCCCATTGCATTGGTGGTGATGAGCTACAATGTAGCCACAGCTGACCTGGGGTGCACTGAAAGAATGAGGCTACCGTTGTGCCGAAAAGAGAGTGCCTGACGAGATTTGCACGCCCTGTTGTCACAACCGCAAATTAAAGAAGTGAATGATTAGAGTTATAAGTGACTAGGCTATTTTTAATAAGCCCTTTTTACAAGACACATCGTGCCAGCAAATCAGCGTAATCTTACCGCAACGCTGTCTTATAAACGTGCCATGACGATGCACTAATTTTGTGGCATTCGTTCAATACAAATTAGTTAGTACAAATTAAAAAGCTGCCTCTTTAGTCATATTTCTACCCATTTTCTTCAACATGTGGGTGTCTTAAGCGATGTGCCTTCCCACAACAGGGAACGCAAATCTCTGCAGGTACGCTCTTTTCAGTGCAATATGGTACACTGGCACCACTAGCAGGCAAGGCAGGTCTTTCCCAAGAATACGACTGCAACAGACTGAGCGGGACTCGACCCCACAACCTTCTGGCTATGATACAACACATTTCACCAATTCTGAAATCTCTCCACTGGTTGCCCGTGCAATTCAGAATAAATTTCAAAATTATGCTTCTGACTTACAAATCCTTGAACCATCAAGCTCCTCCATATCTGTGTGAACTTGTCCATTACTACAACCCACCGCGTGCTCTCCGGTCCGAAGATAAGCTCCTCCTAGCTGTTCCGAATGCACGTTTAAAAAGCCGTGGAGAAAGGGCTTTCTCTGTCTGTGCACCGAAGCTGTGGAACGCATTACCACTGCTAGTGAGGCAAGCACCAACAGCTAGCATTTTTAAATCACGCTTAAAAACTCACTACTTCAACCTAGCGTATACCACATAATTATGAACCTCACTTACAACTACATTGTTTAAAAATGGAATTCACAATATCAGCTTCTGTATTATTGAGGTTCTTTTTTTAAATGTTTTTCAAATTTTTTATTCTCCCTGTGTTTTATTGATTTTTAGCTGCTAGTTTTGGGAATTTTGTTGTATTTCCTTTTTATCTTTTATCTGTGTTCGACATGATTGTATAACGCCGGTTTAATTAACTAACATCTTTAGTGTACAGCGCCTTGTTTGGTTGTAATGCCTTGTTGAATGCGCTTTATAAATAAAATTGGAATTGGAATTGGATACGGGACTTAACTCCTCTGCCACCTTCGTCAGACATGTGCAAGGCAGACACCTTTATACTTCACTTAATCTCCACCAGAAGTCCAGATTTAACAGACAAAAATGACTTAAAATTGTATTAAAGTACAACTTGAACAAATTTGTGCTACAGTCATTGTTCAATACTTGAACCTGTAAGTCAGTGCTTGTATCTAATAGGACATCTGTCAGTACTGATCTTAGCCACACAGTGTTAAGAGTATTCAACCCACTGGGTTGTGATTTGCTCTCTAAAAGTATCTTTAAAGATGGCACAAAAGAGGCAAATGGTAATAGTCTAAGTTACAATCTGAATGGAACAAGAATCTACACCATAATAAGGTCAAAGTTTGACAAACAAAGCAGCACATGGTTGGTTTTTTACTTACTTTTATTACCTCTTCTGTTTTATAGCTGTTACTGCTGTTTTCATCTTTGTTTGATTTAACTATAAAGCACTTTGTCAACTTCTATTGTCTTAAAGCACTATATACATTGACTAAAGAAATGGAGCATTGGCACTACGAAGATTAATTTTATGCTTAATCAGTCTAAACCAAAACTAATCACTCTCTCATTGATTCATTTCTTTATCTCGCCAGAGCAAAGTTACAGTTGATTACATTTGCGCTGACAGTTTCAATTTTTCAGAGCAGTGTGTTGAAGTCAGATTTAAGGGATTCTGCACTTTAGGGCTAAAGGATCACACCAAAGCCTCAAATTTAATGTTCTTTGTTTCACACAAAAACAATGAGAATCCACACAAGCTAACCCATCCAGGCAAGTTGAGCAGCAAGAGATTAAAACAACATATGTTCTTTTTTAGCAGCTGTGCTTTGCTGGTGTGCAAAATGATTTTCCCTTGAAGGGGTTCCCTTACATAACCATGACCAAATCAAAAGTCCATTTTTTAACGATGTGAAAGTTGAAAAAATTGTTGAAAAAGTAAAAAGCCTCACCCAAGTTCTATACATGTGATTTACTTTGCAATTTTGCAAGATCCCGTGCCTATTTTCTTTTCTTTTACCAACTCCATGATTACAATGTAATAGGACAGCTAGAAGAGATTTGTCAAGAGCAAGAGAACATCAGACCCTGATGTTAACAAGACCAGAGTAGTGGACAAACAGACTAGGAGCAGCAAGGTCTTAACATAAATCATAAGTGAAGGAAGAAAAACGACTAGTGGCTTAGAATGATGCAATAACAAGCAGGTTCCCTCACCTGACATGATTTACAGCAACAAGAGAATTTACAGAATGGGCTCATGAACAGGAGCCCGTTTAGGTGGATTTGAATATAAGATGCCTTGAAGAAAATAATCAGTATGTGGAAAAGTTACAACTACAATAGCAATAAATAAACAATAAATAAACATTTCATGTGCAGGAACAAACTAAAAGGTACAAATTCATCTCTAAACAGTAAAAGCGTATAGTGTCTCATCAAGCAGTCAAACTCAGGACTAGTTTATGAAGTCTTGATTTTAACCACAGACTGTATGAATAATGGAAAAAGACCTACTCCGTAAGACAGGAAGCTGATCTGAAAGTACCTTAAAAGGTTTATTTTTGAGTGGGGAATCCTAAACTGTGTTTCAAAGTTATAAATAATTGTATTATCCACTGTAGAAAGTTTCCTGGACAACAAGCAAGCAGAGACTCAAGAGTTTTGCTGCCATCCTTAAACAGCTACAAAATGTTATAGAGGTTCATGCAAACACCATTTATAAATCTTTGACGGAAATTCCATGCAAATAATTACGTTATGCATCGTGAATGAAGTCTAATTAGTCCTGCAAATCAAGGCCGCCACGGAAGCTACCTAGAAAGGGTAAAATAGTAAACATGTATAACTTTTACACAGAAAAGAAAAAATAATCCAGTTATTTTCACAGAACGTTGCTGACTCCAGAACATTCATGGCTTCTGGTATCTTGTGATAACTGTGATAATCCCGAAAGAAAATCAACATTAAGCACTTTTATCTGAAACCAATGTTTACTGAAATTTTAAAGGTCAACTTTACTCATATTTTTAATACATTTGTAGGGAATCCTAGTAGAAATGGGTGCCTTGTAAGTTGTTCCCTGGAGCAAAAAAAGCTATAGTGCATCTGTGTGAGGACTTAGAAGTTAGCCAGTGGAGAAAGTAGCTTCAGACAACAGGATTTGGAGTCTTATTTCCTGATATTTGGACATTTGTTCTCTGATTGGCCAACAGCAGTGCAACTCTACCATTGACTCTGATTGCTTTGCAACATTGATGATTGATTTGATCTCCACAAATAAGCCTGGAAGAGTTTTGCTATGCTGTGGAAATGCCAGTGATAGCTTCTACTAGCTGAATATTCTCTGCTGTTTCCTAGATGCTAAACCAACAACAGCCTTCCTCTTCGTGAGCCAAGATGGGTGGGTCCATTCATGTTAAGTAACAGCATGACATAGATCTGTCAGGTTTTTCTGAACTGAGCATTCTTTCGTTTATTTTCCATCAAAATATAATGCAGGAAATAGAGGTAGAAGACCATTTTCAAGTTCAGCCTGTTTGTTAAAGCGATCATTTTCAAAAATAAATAAATTGTTTCTCAGCTTTTTAAGATAAAACTTTGACATCCACATAAAATTACTTTTTTGTATTAATCAGCAAAAATAAAACAAATTCTAATTAGATGTGAGCTAATCTGTATAAGGATAACGCAGTTTAAAACAGTGTAGGTTTTTTTAAACACTGTAGTTTTTTTTTTGATGGGCATTCAAATTGATATAAAACAACACTGGGGAAACATTTTTCAGAATATAGCCGTTCCATTTGACACTCAAAACATCATTATCTAATTTTAAAAAATCTTTATTTCTAATAAACAAAATTACTTTTATACATTTTGTTGCCATTCGCGTGTTTATGCTAAATTTGGGAAGTTAAAGGTCCAATCACGCTGCTAAGTGATGTGGCAACTTGTGTAAACTTCTCAGGATTTGGAAAAACTTCCAGAAACTCAGTTTATTTCGCAGTTTAGGAACAAAACACTTCAAAAATGAATCTACCAATAAACTATCGAAAACTTGGAAAAATTGTACTGTTGTACAAAACAAAATTCAGCTAACGTTAGCAGTACACAATTCCTTACGACACTATGACGCTAAATAAAAATGATTATCCTGACGAGCACAAAAACATTATTATGGGATACTGTTTAAAAAGTCGTTTTAAAATGAGGCTAACTGTAGCACTGCCTTTATTCTCTGGTTGGCAGCTACCACGAATAGCTAGATTAGCTTACCATTAGCCGGTACATCTGAATATCACTAACACGCGATCACGGGCGGATTAATAATCAGCACGACTTTAACTTATATTAAACGTCTTATGAATTATGAAACATTACCGTCGACGATTAGCACATAGCAGAGCCGCACAGCACCCCCAGCATGAGACTATGCGGCAGAAGAGGCTTTCACCGCTTTTTACTGAACCCTCGTACTGTGTTGACTTTCGTCTAAATCAAGAAATGCTTACCAGAATAAAGGCAATATCCACCCCAATAGCCTCTCTGTTGATGTGGTTCAAACTATTTCCGTTTAAGAGTACAAACTGTGTCTGTAAGTAGAGGTGGCTGGTTATTGATGGTGGAGCTGAAAGATATATCTGGCCTTGCCCACTACTAAGAATGCTGCATTCACGTGCAGTAGGAAATCACAACATGCACCATGACACTTGCGGGTTTTTATTATTATTATTTTTATTTATATGTTCCCGTTTCTTTTTGTAGATTGTTTAAATATCTTCTTTTTTAAGATTATGGATACAAATAACATGCAAATAAGACTATGAATAGTCGAACCACGTGTCAGAAACTGTTATTTATTGTTTTCTAATCTTTGTTCTTACGAGGGTCTATCAAGGTAGCACGTCTTTCAACGTGGAAATCAGCGTTTTTGTCTGTTTTCACCGAACCTGCCCCGGTAGAGGGCAGCTAATTGTGTAAATCCCGTTGATGTAAAGTGTAAATGCAATATCAAGCTATTCAAATGACGTTGATAAAAGATTAGTTTTGTTTGAGGACAACAACCTTTGTCTCAAAATGTTTAGGTGACACAAACTTGCCTTGTGCGCCCTCTGTCGTCTGCTGAAGTAATAACATTACTATTGGTGAAAGGAGTTGAAAGCCACCACTGTGAAGCTTTGGTTGATTTTTCTGCTATATGGTTGTTGTTGTTTTTTTCTAAGTCACCCACAGTGTTCTAAAAGGGTATTTTGCCACTTACAGATTTCTTCAACATCCTGTGATCAAATTTGGGTACTGCAGTTCTTCTAAATGAGTCCACGTTGAGCAATTGTTGCTATATCACGGATACGCACCGGAAGATTCTAGGCAAGGCAGCTTAATTTATTGAGCACATTTCAAACACAGAGGCAGTTCAATGTGCTTTACAATTAACAAGGCATGACATGAAAACACAAATTAAAATACACACAAATGGAATTACAGTTTAGAGCTAAAGGAGAAGACAAAGTTACAGGGCAGATCACAGTGGAGATGACGCAGCATAGGAAACAATTCATTTAAAGGCTGATGAGTACATTAGGGTTTTTACTTTTGTTTTAAACAACAGTAGGGTTGGGGCACATCTGAGGTCATGGGGAAGCTGATTCCACATGTGAGCAGCATAGTCACTATATCTCCATCATGTTTTGTTCTGACCCGTGGTTCTACCAGCTGGGTGTTTCCTAAGGATATCAGAGCCCTATTGGGAGTGTATACAGAAATTCAAGTTCAATTCAAGTTTGATATAGCGCCAAATCATGACAAGAGTCGTCTCAAGGCACTTCACGAATGAGATCAGACATGTATTTTGGTCCTATGACATTGAGTGATTTATAAACTAGTAGGAGCACTTTGAAATCTTTTCTGTTGTTTACTGGTAACCAGTGTAGGCATCTAAGAACAGGAGTGATGTGCTCCATTCTTTTAGTTCTTGTTAAGACTCTAGCAGCATTCTGAACAAGCTGCAGCTGCTTCACAGCTTTTTGGGGAAAACCAGTCAGGAGACCATTGCAATAGTCCAGCCGACTAGAAACAAAAGCATGAATAAGTTTCTCTAATCTGGTCTGGACATGAGACCTCTTGATATTTGATGAAGGTGATAAAACGTTGATTTAGTTATAGCCTTAATATGTCCAGAGAAGTTCAGGTTGGACTCAATAACACCTAGATTTCTAATCTGGGTTTAGTCTTTATTCCCCTGGAGTCTAGCTGAGATGTAACATCCATTCTATCCTTCTTGTTGCCAAAGACTATGACTTCAGTCTTGGCTTTGTTTAGTTGAAGGAGGTTTGACTGCATCCAGTCGTTTACCTGCTCTAGGCACTGAGTGAGTCCAGCGGCCGACAAGGCAAGGCATATCTGGGTGTCATCAGCATAGCTATGAGAGGCGATGTTGTTTTTAAGTATGACCTGACCCAGGGAAGCATAGAGATTAAATAGTAGTGGTCCTAGAATTGAGCCTTGGGGGACCCCAAATGTCATGGTGATCTGCTTTGATTGGTAGACCATAACAGAGACAACTATTGGGCCATTCCCATCTGTACCGGGTCGGCCCGGGCCGGGTAGCGTAGGTTGTTTACATATCTGGGTGGCCTGGTATTTTTCCGGGCAAATCAAGGCTCATTCTCAGCCCTCTTCTTGAGGGAGTCTGCTTCAGGCCAACCAGGGCCGACACACCCACTGCTGACAGCAAATTCACACCTTCCATTAGAGCAAGCCTCTGATTGGTGGGTAGAATCAGCCCACATGGGCTTAAGACAAGGATGTGTGGAATCAACCGGGCCAGGCTGGGGCCAACTGGGGCTACCCGGCCCGGGCCGACCCGGTACAGACGGGAATGGCCCATTTAGGCCCTGTCTTTGAGATAGGATAGTCCCACCCACTTTGTGAGTCTGTCCCGAGGGATGTTATGGTCCACAGTATCAAAAGCTGCACTGAGGTCAAGCATCATCAGGACAGATGCTTTACCTGAATCAGTGTTGAGACGAATTGTTTAATACCTATTCTAGAGGACAAGCGAAAAAGTCATACAAAGGATGTTGATAAGTAGATATACAGTACATTTCACTGTAATATTGAGTTGTTGGTGATTGAAAACCATAGCTTGAAATATTTTTAGATGACAATTTTTTTTTTCCAAATTGCTGTTATTGTTAGCTCAATGTTAGCCTCTAGCATTTTAGCCAATAATTGAGTAAAACAAAAAAGATGCTTTGGCTTCTTAGGGTCACAAGAAACAACTTCTGGGCTGCTCCTGTTACTGACTTATATTTCCACAACACTGCTACGTTTTGCCAGCGGTCCCGAATAACAAATGCGAGTACTGCAGCATTTGCTGGCATAGACTTGGCAACCCCCCAGACTCATATATGATTGGCTCTGGAATCAGGAAGTATGGAGGCAGTAGAGATTATAAACAAAGATTAATGTCCCTTTTGGGCCTTTTTAAAAAGCAGAAAAACCAACAACCATCCAGCCGTCTAAGAAAACCTGTTTCAATTTAACCTTCCTTCTGACATGATTGGGATATCAGACTCTTTTGTGATTTCACAGTAAAATTCTTACTCATTGTCCCTTCAAATTTGTCAAAAAGAAAACAGAAGTAAGCTTTTAATGCAGTAAATACCGTAACTACTGGTATTAGTCAAAGAAATACAAAGAAATGAAGAAAATTACATTACTTTTTATTATAAAACAATATCATTTTTAATTGTTGGAAACTGGCTCCTCAATTTCAAATCACATCTTAGAAAATCTATGTAACCAAAGGAGATGTGAGTTTTTAAATGAAAAATGAAGACCGGCATTGGTCATAAAAGGAACACCAAGGTCGCTTTTGCAGTTACATTTATCCAAAGCTTTTGAAAATTAGAGGACTCAAATAAATCCACACATAGCTTTTTTTTCTACTGAGCATTTTGAGCTGAAATTAGACCAATAAAGCAGGAAGAATCACAGTAATACCTACCACTCAGGTAGGTCATCACACATCAAGCAGTGAACGGCTGCTTCTAAATGTATTGGCACAGACCTTAATGACTTTATCTGATTATTATGACTGCAGCATACATTTGACAAGGAGACAAAGGTAACTCTAAACTTTAAAACCAATCTAATGAAATGTGAAGTGCAGTTAACAAGCCATCTTTCAGACCCCAAGACAGACACAAGGCTGGCCAACTACTTGTTTATGTCTAGACAAGCAAACAGCCCTAACACAGTGTTCTGAAGTGGTGTCATCTATGCTAAATAGAAAAAAACTGCACATTTTTCAACTTTCATTTAGCTTATGCCATGGAAATAAAACTCACAAATCCACAAGTTAGTGTTAAAGAACAGATCATTACCAGTGTCTTGAGCTGCAATTAATTCAGTTTCCTTCATTAAGGACATTTTTTAGCTAATTTCCAGTACAAAACTGACATTTAAAACCCTGTCAATGATCAATGTTTAATATTTTCTATTTTCCATCAGCTGCCACCAGATGGCACTACATTACAACAAAAACTAGAACATAAGTGTTCCGAAATCTTCAGCCATATTTTTATTATTTTTTGCTATTGCACCAGTTTGGTGAGAGGCATTTTAGTTCTGATGACCAAACTAATCAAAAACTGCATCGATCATTTATGCTAAATATGCAGGTGAAATTTTTGGATATAATAATTTCCAGAGCAGGCAACAGTTTTTAATTACTCTTAAGTGCGTACTTATGTTTCCTCTTTCTGCAAAAAACAAACAAACAAAAATAAAAGCTTCAGCTTATCCTCTAAAACACCTTTGAGCGCGCTAAAGGAGAAGATTCAAAGCATGCCGCATTAACGTTGTCAGTTACAATCCATCACATGGTAATAGTCTTAAATAAATCTAATCATAATTGAGATGAATCCCTCATTTCAATGACAAGTCTGGTTTTTAAGACCCAATTACCACTATGGGTTCTCTGGCCCAGCTGAGGCGTAGGGTTCGGGCGGCGACACGAGCCGAGCGAGGCTGGTCGTTGCAGCCCAGCAGAGAGGACGGAGAGATGGACCGGGTCCAAAGAGGGATGGAAATCTTCCTGCAGCATCAGAGGGCAGGCGGATTTATGACAAACGCACACAGTCTTAATTTGTGCTCAACCCGATAATGCATCTCAAGGCCAGAACAGTTCTGCTCAGTGTTTCTTAACTGGATGTTTCTTTAATTATATGTCAGAGGCCGTAAAACTCGAGCGAAGATTTTCCCCCACAAAGCACTGTTTTATGTCTCGGTCATTACAGTCAATTACAAGTAACAAGACAACCCGGAGGCTAATGGAAGGAAAATGCAAATTAAAAAAAGGGAAAGTGGGTTTATTCATCTGTGGGCTGTTTCCAACTTCATGTACTGATCAGGTAAGAGATAGTTCTCCTTTAGTGAGAGGGCAGAAACAGCACACTTCCGTCTGATACACTGAAAAGAGAAACAAGCCTGTACAAGTAAAATACATGAATAGTACAAGAGAAGTTTAACACATATACATATTCACAAAACCACAATCATACCGTCCGTTTCACTCTGATTTAATCCGGCCATCTGCTCTCCATATCAGACCTGTGCGCACACTTGCGGTGTGACAATCAAGTGAAGTAATTACTGGTCTGAGGAAACTCAAAAATGGGCAATTTTGAAGACGTCTACATGAAAACACGTAACAGATTCATAAAAAGGCTTCTCTAGCATCAGGAGGCTTTAGAGCCTGACATGTCGTCCCTCTTTCTGCAGTATTGCCTTTTACTTACAGTTTATCTTTGGTGACAAAACAACTGTTCATTAATGGTGAACGCCGGCTTCTACCCTCGTTTTCATTCAGAGTCTAATACTTCTTCTGTTCGATTAAACTATTAAAAATTCAATTTTACTAATAAAAAGTTACAAGGATTAAAACTGAAAGAATACAACTCAAACTAATTCTCACTGTTACGCGTGCTTCCTGGGTTTGAGTTTATTCACCACCTACTTGGCACGCATACACACACACAGAGACACACACAAGAAATCAGTCAGTGCATTATTTGCATTATCTCCCCTCTTTGAGTCCAGAATCATCGCAGCAGCATCGAGTGTGTAGAAGCCCTCGTTCAGCTCAGCTCAGCTCAAAACCCGCCGACGACTCGATGGCGTACAGCAGCTTGTTCCTCATCAGCTGCTGGTCACAGAACTCAGGAAGCTTGAGCAGGTTCATGCAGGTGCTGGCGGTGGGCAGGCGGTCCAGATCGGTGCCACCGTTGTGAATGCAGAAGGCCGGGTAAAGCTCCTGTGAGCAAACGTGAGGTGTTAATGAATGAATCACAGTTCTTAAGCTATTGGGCAGCAGTGGTGCCCCCAAGGGGTGGCCGGGGGGGCCAAGCCCCCCCTGTGAAAATTTTCTAGGGGCACCACTGCCAGGCAGGACTTCTCTACACAAATCTGACCCTAAAGTCCAGCTTGGCCACCCGTTTCTTCACTAAAATGAAACAAACAAGGTTAATAGTGTTGATTTTTCTGTTGTGTGTTATTTTTCAAAACAAAGAAAATGGCGTTTTTTGCCCCATTGACTTGCATTCATTTTTTTCATTCTTCTGGGGACCCATGATCCGGAAATAGATGGGCGTGACTTAGGCTCTCTATGTCATAGTTACAGAATGTCACCGGGCAAGTCCCAGAACAGGTACATTTATTGATCCAGAGGCAACATCTTATCTATGTGAATTTCTACAGTAATCATTAAGGGTCAAAAATCCTGAACAGGAATATTTATGGTTTTTAAAAAGGAAGCCTGGGAAGTCTGTTTTCCATAGAGCGACCCTTTTGGGTGCAAAGGCACTTTGGTATTGGTTTATTAGCAGCTGACAGATCACAGACCTAAAACTCTTGAGGTGTTTAAAGCCAGACAACGATGCCAGGAATGATCCCAATTTCCAAACCAATCCAGGTGAAGTCATAAACGTCAGCTTCCACAAGGGGATGAATGTTAAAAGAGCAAAGCTAACACTTTGGAAGGATAAATTTAGGAAATCTGCTTAGCGTTTGAAAGGTACTGAGGAGGAGATGGGCCCACAGTTTGACCCTTGGATGAGACGCCGTATGGATCGTCGTTTCATGTTGTCTATCTGGCATTTCTTTTTAAATCAAACTTTGCGGTTGATGAGGCCACCTCGTCCGCAAACTGCGACACTGACCGTTTCCATCACCAACGAGCTACTCCACCCTGATTTCATCCCGCTGTTTAATGTTAGTCTATATGTCTCTTTGGCAATACTTACGCAATTAAATGGCTCTTCGGGGGCTCGGCCGTAATGACCCCATTTTTCTGACAATTACCGTATTAAACTATCGTTGCTTATTGAGAAAGTATCATTACGGCTGCTATCATTAAAAAAAAAAAGAGAAAAAGACGGCTTCCATCATCTTTTTCAAATGGCTTCTTCTGACAGAGCTATTTCTCCTCTAATGAATCCTGGGCCGTTTCACGACAGCTAATTAAGGCTTCGCTGGCTCGAGACGAGGGCCGGGTTAGGGGCCACTCCCTCACAAATTACCACCCTTTAAGTCCCAGAGAGGCATCTGTGTGGGGTGGTGTGTGTGTGTGTGGTGGTGGGGGGTGGGGGGGTGGCGTAGCTGCACACCGGCCAAAGTCAGATTGATTAAATCCAAAAGGAGGGGATTATTTAAAGCCTGAGAGGAAATACTGCAGGAGGATTTTTTGGGAGAGTTGTTCACTTATTACTTTAGAGCAGCCATAACTTCTTCCTGGACAATGACAGTAAGAAGAATACTTAAACAATCATATCATGATTACAGCTTCTGGTCAGACAAAGTGCAGCATAAAAACTTCTTAATGGCCCCGAGCAACACTTGCCACTATTTCTCTCAGACTCCTTTAAGTGTCCCACAAATCAAGTGGATGAAAATGTGAAATAGCTTCTAATTAGGACGTTATTTCAGGGATTTCCTTTTTTTTTTCAACCATCACGCTTAAAATAATCGTGGCCGTCGTTTCCTGTCGTATTCATCTCCTGAGATATGGCTGCAATCTGCCATGTGACACAAAAGAAAGAAAAGGTGAAAAGTTCAGCCTTCTGCAGAGTTCTGAATGACAATATTTGTCCAGCCGAAGCCTCCAGTTAAACCCAGACACACACACACACACACACACACACACACACACACACACACACACACACACACACACACACACACACACACACACACACACACACACACACCGAGAGCTGCAGACAGACTGAGGAAGGTCATGAACTGTAAAACAATAGTGAACGTTGAGATAAGAGTTCACACCAACGTCCTTCTGAATCAACTTAATTTGAAAACGATAATTCCGAGGGCTCTTATCAGTCGAGGCGTTTTCATTAGACGCTCGTTAAGAGCAGAGTCTGGGAAAACTGTGGAAACACTGCCAACTCAGGAGGAATGTTCACCTTAAATCCCAGCAGCGGAGGTCGGGAGCAGCTGGTGACAAACTTCAGCAGCTTGCGCTTCTCTTCGTCTGTGAATCCTTCCACCACCTCCCAGAAGGTCTGGATAACCGGGTGATTGGCAGAGTACCCTCCTAAAACAGGGTATTGTAGAGCAGCTTTAGTTAAACAGCACACGTACCGATGGTTCACAAACAATCGGGACATTCTTGCACCCACCTGAGTAGTTTGTGAAGTTTTTAAGGTCATCAAGACAAATTGGCACATGTGCTCCAGATATCAGCACCTATTAGGACGTAGAAAGTTATGTTTACTCGCTTTTTAAAAGATAACAGCTGTTTAAAGTCACCTGGACGTTACCTGTATCTCCTGCTGGTCGAACATACGCAGCCACTCCAGGTTGACCACGTTGGCGAGGCCCTGTCTGAAGGCCAGACAGTGAGGCCTGATCTGCTTGTTCAGCCTGTAATCCGCCACTAAGTGAATGTAAGCGATCCGATTCGCTGTCGTCACGGGGATATCTTTACCTCCTGGTTTCAGCTCAACCACCTAAATTTGAAAAAGGAAAAAAATGAATTTTTTACTTTGTATTCAGGAGCCGATGAACCAACCAACACCTGGTGGGTTTCATAAAACCAGAGAACAGCCATTAAAATGCTTTCCAGTTGTGTTCTCCTGATTAAAAGGCACACACAGCTTTTTACTGTTACTAAAAATAGCCTCACCGCTGAACATCTGCTCCAATTTCATTTGGCTCGAGGTTCTCTTCATTAGCTTAGGTGCAGCTAGGACTTGATAAGGTGTGCTCATCTCTGTTCATAAAGCTGGCTGAGGAGGACAAGATATAAATGCTTGTCTTTTCTCGCTGCACCTAATCTGCATTTGGCCACAAAATAATCTTGTATTCAGAAGAATTCGAGATTTACTTGCAACAATAATCTATTATCTTTGGATCCATCGAGACATATTTCACTCTTTAAGATTAAAGAAGGTAAAAGAGCAGAGGGACTGAAAAGGTGTGGCCTCACGGAGCCGCTGCTTGCCCAACTGCATTCTGGGAAACGTGTGCTCATTGATCAATAGGGGTACTTGTCTGAACTTGAGTAGTCGCTTGTGAAACTTGTGAAACTGCATCAACGTTGGAAGAAGTACTGTTCCAATCCTAAGTAGGTATCATGGCAAGTACGCCCAAAGTTCCCAGATGTTTTCTTGCTCCGCCCATTTTATCTGCAGACATAAAGCTATCCCATAATTAGCATAGCATCAAAAACTGTTAAACCCCGAATGGAAAATAGCAGAGGAGAAAGCTCGTAAAAATGCAGAGAATTAAGTGTAAATAAATAAATATAAAGTTGTCTGTTGTTGTAGATCATCATGTGTAACCTGTAAAACTTGCTGTGTGTTTTTTTTTTTCTTTGACTCTTCAAGATACCGCAAAATGCTAATTTGCTAACCCACTATCAAAATAAAACCCATTATCTTTATTTCAGGTCATTTTTTAACTGTAGCTTAAAATCATGCTCGTTGCCATGACGTAACGGAGAACGGTTCTGTTCCAGACACCGTCCTCGTTCTCCCGTACAAGGGCTGGGCAAGAAATCGAAAATGTATCATTATCGAAATTTCTCACACTTATCGGGATAATTATTCTCATGCCAATAAATTTGATAATAAAAAAAAGGTGTGTGTAGGTTGGCAACATTCATGTCGCTTTAAGAAGCTGTAACCTTGAGTCACCTAAAAATGGGACTCAACGTAACACATGTGACAGCTCCATCTAGTGGACAACTTTTGTTTCTGCGCATACCTGTAGTCATCGTCCATTTATCGTTATCGAGGTGAAATCCTCAATATATCGTGATACTGATTTTAGGCCGTGTCGCCCAGCACTATCCCGTACTCAATAGAACAGACTTTTTGCTGTACTTGTCACAAATGTATTTGCGTATTTAGGTACTAAGAAACAGCCAGTAGCAGGATTAGTCGTTACTAAGATCCTTTAAGAGACAATGTGTAGTTTTTACCATGAATCTCTGGAAAAATCCATCTAAATGTTGATGAATATGAATTAAATGATGCCCAGTTGTTGTGGCTTTGTAACATAACTATAAAAATCAGGTCTAAAATACACGAGAGTGGGTCTAAGTCTCTGGGTGACGCCATTTTAGATGTAATGTTTCTTCTACAGGAGCCCGTGAGGACAAAATGCATTTACTTTAGAACTTTATTTAGAAGAAATGCTTTAGCGCTTTAACCTGTTTGTGGTTTTAAAGACATGTCCAAGTCATTTAGAACAGAGGAAAGAGCAGCAGCGAACTCCGCTTCAGACGCCGTCTTCATTGTTTATGTGAAACTGAGCATCACGGTGTGACGAACACTGCTCAGCGCGGATTTGCTCAGTTAGAATTCTGAAGGGGTGGGGTTATTTGAATGGGAGCGTTACCAGTCCCTTTGCGTCCCATAAGGAAGTGTTGGTATGGCTGGCCAGGCTAATCTGTTGGTAAGGTCTTACTCAAACACAAAATACTGCTTGCTTCCAATGATTTAGGTATGTACTGCCCCCATCGCCAGGGAAAATACACATCGTAATAAAATGTGTCTCATGATATTTTATGAAGGAATGGAAATCACAGATTTTCAAGTCGGTGTTGCATCAAAATGTGTTTCCCCCTGTAACGTGAGGAAGTATGGGTTTCTGTGCCAAAGGTCGTATTTGCCCGGCTGGGTCAGAGCTGGGTCACGCAGCACCTTCACCCACAGATTAAGACCTAAGCCTCCAGCAAGTCTGAAGGACTCCACAACATCCGAACATCTGCCATCCAGAAGGAGGACTTCAACCCACAGTCTAGTCATAATAAAACAGAGTCTTAAACTTTCTTCATTATTAATGTTAAATAATCATTTGATCACTTTGCTCATTATAAATGTATTTTAATCAAATGAATGATTATTATGCTTTGGGTAATCATAATGAACTATAATGAATCAGTACACTTAATTAAATAATGTTTTCGAAGATGTTTAGCGATGACCTTCACACCTGCTCATTCAGGTCCGACTCCACAGTAACTTCAAAACACATTTGCTCTGACGCACAAGTTTGCTTTGGGAAGAGAAGTGGTTTTGGTAATGAGTGAGAACGAGAGTGAGAACGAAAGAGAGCGGAAGTGCGGAACGAACGCCACGGGGAAAGAAGCCTGCCGGCTTCTTTTCTTCCCCCACGCTATTTCTGTCACGCTAGACAGAATAACTGAAATGCAACCCGCTAACGCAGACTCGTCCCAGAGTCTTTTGATTTCTGAGTTAATTTAAACTTGAGAAAGGGCATCTGCCGAAACGCTTCAGCAATGTGTACCGAGGTCAACCCGGGACTGGACCGTTGCATACCTTTGTCTTCTCTGCCAGCCAAGGTGTGACCTGGATAACACATACTCCGAGGTCCGGATCTAAACGGGGGTCCTAAGTACGGTGAGGCAGAACACAATAGATAGCGTTCTGATGCTGTTTTTCTAATAAGAACTAAAGTTTAATTGCAAAACATCATCTTTCACTAAGTTCATATTCTCTCTCCCTGAAGCAGTCTCAGACACCTGCATGCACGCATTCATAATTCCATCATCCTCAATTTTAGCACATCCAACACAAGGTCTATTTGTGCAAGCTTAAAATATCAACTGTTAAAGACTGTCCAACAAGGTTGCCAATGTTGATTGTTTTTCCTATGATTGTCAATTCAAATCGTTAGTTTAAATTGAAGAATTAAAACTCTTAAAATTTAAACTTGCCTTTTCATTGAACTGAAACACAGACAAACGGATATGATCGTCAGTTTATCGATGAAAACAACCTTTGAGTCTTCTTATCTCTATAACATTTGGTTATTAATTTGTAAAAATTAATATTCCAGATTATTATGTGGAATGGTTTATCTTTCATAAAAGAGCCAACAACCATTACGCTACACCCCGTAAAAGGCATCCTCAGGGTATCTGCAGGTTTAAGAGAGCCAAATTTAAGACTTTTTAAGACCTTTTTTAAGGCCACTCTGACCAAATTTAAGCTATTTTATCTATTAAATTTAAGCTATAATTTCCAGCTATTGCCTGGAAACTGTGCTAACCACGTTGCGAACGTGGGATTAGCCATCTAGTTACCATTAAACTTGCACTTCCCCATGGCGCAAGCTCCCACTATCTTAACCAGCTAATGTGCTCATCTAAAAATAGCCCCCTTTAACAACAAACTGAATGTGTACGGTTCCGCTTACGCCAACATCGTACACAGAAAATACTGAACACAAACTAGAAATTCACAAAAATTTTATTGAAATAAAAGAGTCTTGTTTATTGGGTCTTTGATAATTTAAGAACTTTGGAAACTGTATTTAAGGATTATTTGTCATTTTTAAGGATTTTTAAGGCCTTTAATTTGGAAAAGCTAATTTAAGACTTTTTAAGACTTTTTAAGACTTTTTAAGGACCCGCGGATACCCTGATCCTCTAGACTGCAGCTAAAATCAGCACAGTAGTGTGGTGAAGTAATGAGATGAATTTAATTGAACATGTGATCTAAAAACAAGAGAAACCCTCAAATTCAGATGTTTTCGTTGTTAAATAAAAAAAGGAAAAAGATAATCTAGCCGTTTTAAATGAATATTCTCAAAATACCATTTTAGGACAAAAGGAGAAAATAGAGAATATCAGGCAGAAAGGTTTTCTGATTCAACAACTGTTTCTGACAACTTACTAGTCTGTGTGTAGATTTCACCTTCCCAGACTACACTATAATCAGTAAGCTGTTGTGTATTTTGTAAATAAAAAGCAACAGTTTTGTGGATTTGTGTGGCTGCTTATTTTCTAAATTAACTATCCTAACTTCATCTGACTGATACTCTGCTTCAAAAATCGTACAACTTTCTAAAAAACAGCAAAAACTACAACTTTTATGCATTAATGACAACATCCTTACAAAACCAGGCTTTACCAAAGCATTCAGACTGGACTATAATGTAAGGTATTCTATCCTTTCCCACTCAGGAACCGTTTTCTGCCCCTTTTCTCCTTCACAGCAGATCCTGATTATTTGCTAATGTAAGAGAATTACTGTGGTTATCTCGCTTGCTTTGGCTATCTCACAAGGGCAAATGCAGGGCAGACAGCTCCCGGGTGTGTGCCTAATCTTTCACAAATTGTTTTCCCTATCGTGTTTGCAAGACCCCTATTTGCGACCATGAGGGGCCGCATTGTAGCTCTGCCGTTTCAGGTGTTGTTTGAGAAGAGCTAATAAGAAGCGTTCAGGCCCTGAGTAAACAGGAGCTCGCTGACGACGGTGGGTTTCTGACTTAGAGCGGTAGTGGTGGGTCATCTTTTCAGCACTGAGCGTTGAAGAGTGTGTGTGTGTGTGTGTGGAGGGGGCTCCTGTCAGGCGTGTTACGAGATCATTTGTGGGAGGAAAAGCAGGTGGAACGGTCAACAGAAAAGCTGCGTCCCCTGCACTGCAGAGTGACAGAAGCGACGTGCTTTATCTCCGCCAGCGCTGAAAAGTGGTGCATCAGGAGGGAAATGAATTATTAACGCCCCACGGAGAAACCAAACAGGAGGAGGGGTAGGCTTCAGACAGCCTGGTTCAGAAACAGAGCTGAAAAATAAACTCCAGTCACCTGAGCTTCTCCCAGATCGTTGTTGACCACGGTAAAGTTCAGGCCCAGCTCCTCCACGTCGCCCTCGTAGCTCTTGAGGAAGAGGAGGTTTCGGTACATCTCGGGGTCCAAAGACGCCAGGTGGTGGATGTCCACATCAGCGCTGGTTCCCAGAAGTTTGGACAGGAAGAAACTGGCAAAAGGCATCTCCACCAGCATGTTTTCATACAGTGCCTGTGGATATAAATGGACATCTTACTCACATGATCCTCCATTTAAAAATATGAAAACAACAAATATTAAAGCTGGGGTCCGTAGCGTGATGTCATCAAGGAGAGGAAGAGGAGATTTTGAAATTTGAACGGTTAGTGTTCCCGTCTCTGCTGCCCCTCACTTTTAGGATGGAGCTGAAAGCAACGCCTCATACCGCGCATCCACAGAAAAATTAACAGGACAGGTATTGTTTTTGGTATGTTCCTGCTCAGACACACTAGATTCTAACCGCCGAATTATCTAATCACCCTTTATCGGGTTCTGCAGGAGCTGCTAATCACACATTTTAATCAGATCTGAAGTGTTCAAGCAGGAAAACATCTAAAACCAGCAGGGATCTTGCATTTGGGATGCTAGCACCCCCTGCTAATGCTACAACAGGCTAAAACAACAGTCCGATGTAGCGTAAAGTTGAGCGTTACATCAATCACTTAGCTCCAACACACAAAAGATGAATCCATTTTCATTCCTTTCCCTCCCCTGCACAGTTAACTTGAAGTTTACAGACTGACACTAATGAAATGCAGGTTGAGTTAGCATTCAAGCTAAGCTAAGCTAAGGGCATGCTGGGAACTGGGGCACACATTCTTGTTGACAGCTCCCTCTTGTGGATACAGAACTCTAGTCTCGCACAAGGTCACGAGGAGGGCCAGGGCGGGATTCGATCTCCAGACTCCCGGGTGAGAGTCATGCGCACTAACTAGTCATCCAAAGGGAATTCCCCTTGGCCAAGTAGCCAGGGCGCATGATCAATCGGGATACAGTGACAGGACGCTCACACTGTCACACACATATCCAGTCCGCGATAATGTACTTACTCTAGTGTTTACATTGTTTTAATGTATTTCAGACTTTTTAACACAGACAAATTTGTCTCATTCCTCTCCGCACGATCAGCACCTCTAAACTCAGGTTTTTCACCTTTTCCATCCATGAATAAAACGCTTGCTGCATATTTCATATTTTCAGACTTTTTCCGCGATGCGTTCTTCAATCTGTTCTGAGTCTGCCGCTAAATATCTCTTTACTTTTTGAAGCGGCAAAGACAGAGCTGTTGAAGAATTTACTGGAAGCAACGTCCTGACCAATCTCAAGCTTGCATTCGGCAGATAGTTAAAAATTGGGGCATGTCTCCATCTGCAACAACGACAGAGGGCTCTTGCGTTGACGCATAATTGCGTTGCGTGACTCCGTCCCGATGCAGACGACGAAGTATAAATTAGGCTTTAGTTACGAAAGATTTTATATCATAAAACAGGCTAAGATTGTCAGATTAAAGTCATTTTAACTTACTTTGAATTTTTTAAACTACATACCTCAGCTTTAAACAGTAAATAAAACAACAGAATTAACAATTAATATTAAAGGTCATTTTGAAGTGGATTTATGTGTGAAAGTTAAAATTAACACAGATGCAGCTTGGGTAAGTCTTCATTTACAACCTTTACTCAGAAGCACTTGAGCGGCAGAAATCATGCCAGTAAGAATACGTAATAAAAAGAAGAATCTGAATAGAAAACACATCATTATGCTTCACATGACAGAATCAAGTTTTATATCTGTGAATCTCATAACATCAGAGTGACGCATATCAAAACACAGAGCACAATCCATCTTCAAGCACACCTCCTCTTCTTCTTTCCATTCAAACTTTATAAATGCCGACTCTCACCTTGACCTTAAACGCAATTAAGAACCAGAGCCGGGCAGGTGACTCATAAAACCCTAAGCTAATGTACTGGAATGGTCCAAAAAAGAGCCTATTGGAGACATTAAAATATACAGGTCCTTATAAATGATAACGCTAAAAACCCTGACCGCATCAGCTAAATGGATTATAAATCTAGAGGATTTCCATAATGCATGCATCTTAAACACACACCAACACATAAATCGCAGCTATTTTCTAAACACAGGTTAATTGCACAACTTCAAACATTGTCTATTTTTTATGCAAATTAATCCACTTAGCATTACTCTTGTGGCCGCTATTCATTCTGGACCATATGTGCCGCGCGGCCCCTTGAAACCTATCAATAACACTTGTGCCGGGAAGAGGCAGCAATAAGTATATGGAGAAAACTTGTAGCCTTATTTTTTCTAGTGCCACTCGCCTAATTTATGAGTGTTTATTGCCAGAAATTGTGCCAAAATGACTCGGGTTGGAAAGAATTAATTGTTATGGCCCAGGCCTTTTTAATATAAGTGAGTGCAGTGGCAACGCAATTAAAGCAGATCGCGGCACCATCAGGTGGAATAAATGCCAGCAGCACTGCAGGTGCATTCTGTTGGCTGCCAAATAAATTCTTTAATTTACAACATTAAGAATCAATAAAATTATAATGCCTTCCAAACGCATCTCTATCAATCAGGGGGGGGGCGACACTCTCGCACCTCTAAGGGGAAGATCATTGAGAGGAGGCCGATGGCGGAGGAGGATGAAAGCTTTATAAATGGCTAACGAGGCTGGAGGTTTGGTGATAATGAGATGAAATGAACCTCAGAATCCTGATTAAAATAACCGTTTTAATCTTTAAGCCGAGCCACAAAAGCAAAGCAACCTGTTTTCCCATTTGTGGCTTAAATCTTTGGGCTTGTCAGCGGGGTGGACAAGCAAGGAAGAGGGATGATGACTGGCCTCTATTCTGATGTTCAATCCCATTTCAGTGAGTACCCCCTCAGACAAGCCACTCCTGGCTGTAATACATCACCTCCACAACAATGGCACACCTCGGACATTAATTAACTATATTAATCTCCTGTGTCCTTTGAGCTGCGAGCGTGCACCGCGCACGCTTGCAGCAGCAGTGATGCAATCTCGATCCATATAAACTCTTGCCTTTTATCCGAGCAATACCGGCACTAAACAAATATCAATACGCCTCTCAAATGGCCACTCAAACGTCTGTTTTTATGGAGAAGGGAGAACTTAAGGTAGGGTTAATTGAAAGTCAAATTCTAATTAATTTCCCTCAGCCTAATTGCCTGTACCATTAGCTATGGAGAAGCAGGAATGGGCGAATCGTAGCTGCTGATTGATCACTTCTCACTTGCACAGAATACAGAGAAGAAGAAGAAGGAGGAAGCTGACCAGGCTTTCTGGAGCTGTGCAATAGAGAAGAGCCCTGGATGTTCCCGACTGTAAAACAGATCAAAATGCTATTACCACATGCTTTGAAGGCTTATTTATGTCCTGTCTTCGTGGGCCTGCTGATTTAATGCCCCACGAATGCAGCTGCTACACAAACAAGAGCTAGGAATCATCCGCTAATGGAAGTCCTAATTGAGAGGCGACCTGCTTGTCATGAGGTAACTCTTCTCTGGATGGAGATGATAGCAGCATCCTGATAAACAACCACCACCACATGCATTAGGGATGATTTAGAAACATTAGCCTCTAATAAATAGCAACTTCACAGATACGGAGAAGATGACTTAAATGATCCTGAACTGAAGGGAGTGCAAAAGCGTTTTACTTTTTAAAGAATGGACAGAAGTTTCTTTAAGCATTGTAGTAAATAAATACACGCTTTTATGCAGCCGGTGTTCATATAAGAACACTTTACTATTATTACCCATCATGGAAACAAAAGGCACTGTGTGTGTGTGTGTGTGTTGTGTGTTGTGTGTTGTGTGTGTGTGTGTAGGGCTGCAACAACGAATCGATAAATTCGATGAAAATCGATTACTAAAAGCGTTGGCAACGAATTGCGTCATCAATTCGTTGTGTCGCACAACTCTTCCAAAAGCGCCCCCCCCCCCGCCCCCTTCCCGCCCGCCGTTGAGCGCAGACCAGAGCAAGTCAGATCAGCGCGAGGGAGAGCCGCAGATCAGCGCGAGGGAGAGCCGCAGATCAGCGTGAGGGAGAGCCGCAGATCAGCGCGAGGGAGAGCCGCAGATCAGCGCGAGGGAGAGCCGGCAGACTTGCGCTACTGCGAACCGGTTCCGCATTGTTGCACTGCGATCCAGGCAGCTGCTTCCAGCGCACGGTCCATTCTCAAAGTGGCGCAACCAAAAAACTATAATTAGCACACGATCGTTCATGTCCGCTCATGTTCTCTATTTTCTGTCTTATTTGTGCCTGAAGCGCGCTACTGCGGAGCTCATCACCTGTGCTGCGGTGATTTCACCTCACGCAGCATCGAAAACGCGCTCTGCGCTTTTCGGTCAGGAGATCCCTTTGATCTGCTCAAAAGTAACTGATGAGGTGAAAAGGTAAGAATCCAGGCAACAGATTTTCTGGAGAATTATGAGGAGATGCAGGAAGATGAGAGACAGACAGGACAGGAAAATAGTTAAATAAAAACAATAAAACAAAACAAAGTGTTGAAAAGTAAAATGTAGGTAGATTTATCTCCACGACACGTTTTTACCAGTAAAAAACAATAAGTTATACACATGTCATATTTATACATCTGATACAATTCAGATCACCTTCAAAACTCAGTCACACACCCAGGGCCGTTTCAAGACATTTTGGGGGCCAAGGCAAAATGCCCCCCCCCCCCCCCCCCCCCAATAACTGGGCTCCCCAGAAGCCTCTGTGTAATCCATACCCTCTCCAGTAGTGTTAGTTATAGGGTGTTTATAAAAGCCCCTCAGACATTACTGACATGTTCTAATATTATCAGATGAAAAACTAAATTATCAGACATGCTGTCTCATCTGCTTCTTTTATAAACTTGCAAAAAGTATCAAAACTATTTGAAAGCCGCTATTTGTGGATTCTCTGAAAGTTTCCATGGAGTGTGTGACAACTTATTTTTTCATTGATCCTATCGTCTAATCTCACAGCTGAAACAAGCATCCTTAATAATCTGTGCACAGGAAGCTTACCGATGCTGTAGTAAAACAAAAAGTATAATAATTTATTATTAATAAAACCTTGTTGCAGCACTAAAGCAGAAAAATTAGATTTTGCATTAAATATGCAAAATATTTACATATGAATTGTTTTAGAGCCCTTTTATTGGCAGAATCTGATATTAATTTAGTTCTTACAAAAAATGGGTCCCAACATAGTTTGTGTGGCGTTGCCATAGTGTGATGTCATAGACACAGATCCCCTGTCCTCTTGTTTGGAAATGGAAATATGATCACCCTACATTAAACAAACTGTCCACCCGGGCTTTTGCACTGCACAGAGACGCTTCGCTGCCTATGACTCTGAACGTCAGTTGAGAGTCAGTCTCATGCAGACTGACCAATGAAGAGAGGGCCTCAAGTTAAGACCCTCTCCTCATTGGTCAGTCCACACGAGGTGGGTCAAAGGTTACTCTGGGCGGGTTACGTGTTGTCAGGCATTCAAGTATTGAGTATATTTACTGCATATTACAGTAAAATATTCTGTATGTGACCACATTATGGTGATCCTCGGGTCGTGATGATGGAGCCCTTGAATATTGTTGCCCAGGGTACAACAAAGTGTTAATCTGGCACTGGTTCCACCATCACATTCCCGCAGAAACTGGTTGATCACACCGGGGCCAGACTACTAGCATGTGGTTTTACAACCACAATGTCCTCAGAAGCAAAAACGCTTTTAAAAGGGAGGGAGGAGTCCTAACTGTTGCTGCAGGCGTGTTGTGTGAGAGTGCAGTTATATACTGGTTAATATATTTTTGGGTTCAGTTGCTTTCATGTGGCCTAATGTGAGTCTATTTGAGATCATTGGAATGATCAGCAGCATTTCTTGATGTGACTTTATGGCAGTTGCCTAGGGCATCATCGCAAGGAGGATGGCATTCATTTACTTTTGTTTTATTTGGTATTTTTTCAGTCATTTTTGGAAATAGTGATCAATTTTGATTAATTCACAGCCTATGTTTAATTACATTTAAAATAAATGTCAACAGATGAGATCAAACAAAACAGATGAGAATTGCCCTTAAGCTGTTTAACTTGGACCAAGCATTTTAGGTCACAGATAGATGTAGCTTAGGGTCTCTGTCTATACACCTTATAAGACAATTTAGGTGATGGCATGTTGTTTTTCTGCTATTGAACTGTTTTCTAATAATGTTGTGTTAAATAAAGTGAAGGAAGGAGAGAAATAACGTTTCCCTAGCAGTTTTTAAAAATTTCCCCATGTAATCCGATTAATCGATTAATCGTGTCGAGACCCCATCCGATTAATCGATTATCCAAATAATTGTTTGTTGCAGCCCTAGTATGTGACCACATTATGGTGATCCTCGGGTCGTGATGATGGAGCCCTTGAATATTGTTGCCCAGGGTACAACAAAGTGTTAATCTGGCACTGGTTCCACCATCACATTCCCGCAGAAACTGGTTGATCACACCGGGGCCAGACTACTAGCATGTGGTTTTACAACCACAATGTCCTCAGAAGCAAAAACGCTTTTAAAAGGGAGGGAGGAGTCCTAACTGTTGCTGCAGGCGTGTTGTGTGAGAGTGCAGTTATATACTGGTTAATATATTTTTGGGTTCAGTTGCTTTCATGTGGCCTAATGTGAGTCTATTTGGGATCATTGGAATGATCAGCAGCATTTCTTGATGTGACTTTATGGCAGTTGCCTAGGGCATCATCGCAAGGAGGATGGCATTCATTTACTTTTGTTTTATTTGGTATTTTTTCAGTCATTTTTGGAAATAGTGATCAATTTTGATTAATTCACAGCCTATGTTTAATTACATTTAAAATAAATGTCAACAGATGAGATCAAACAAAACAGATGAGAATTGCCCTTAAGCTGTTTAACTTGGACCAAGCATTTTAGGTCACAGATAGATGTAGCTTAGGGTCTCTGTCTATACACCTTATAAGACAATTTAGGTGATGGCATGTTGTTTTTCTGCTATTGAACTGTTTTCTAATAATGTTGTGTTAAATAAAGTGAAGGAAGGAGAGAAATAACGTTTCCCTAGCAGTTTTTAAAAATTTCCCCATGTAATCCGATTAATCGATTAATCGTGTCGAGACCCCATCCGATTAATCGATTATCCAAATAATCGTTTGTTGCAGCCCTATGTGTGTGTGTGTGTGTGTGTTAGGGCTGGGTACAGAAACATAGTACCTCTTTAACCATTTGGTTCTGTTTACTTCAGCTATAGAGGTGTCACAAATAATGACCTACTTCTTACAAGTTAAGCAACTGGAAAACTCCACATGACTTTTATTTTGAAAGTTTCTGGATGTTTTACACTGCTTTTGTGTTTGACATCCTGTCTGGCCCAATCTGAACTGGTGAGCTTGATGCTTTGGAAGCTTACCTCGTAAGGCCTACCTAGTTCCGTACACTTCTGGGACGCTTCCAAAACGCGACACTTAGCAGACGACGGAAAAGCACCCATCCACTTTAGCGGCAACTAATTACTGTTTACTACGCTTTGTGGACATTAAACGACGTTATGCGTCAGGTGGACAGTGCTGTGTGTCATTTACAACGTTTCTTCAGATTCTCAAACTAAGAAACCATTGAAAACATCAAAAGTTTGGCTGCTTTTTGTGAAAGTAAATGAAAAATCTGTGATAAGATTTGTGTCGCTAAATATGAAAATACAAGAAATTTTATAGCCAAAGCATGCACCGTCCTCCACCGCAAATAAAATAAATCAGACCCGAGTCCACAAGCTTCTCCCTCTGCTGCACATTGGAGGTAGCGGTCGACCGATATTGTTTTTTTCTATTGTCGATACCGACATGTAGTCAGCCGACGGCCGATATGTGCTGCCAATTTCCAGACATTTTCCACCTTATTTACATGCTAAAATGGTACTAATAACATCAGTTGATGCACAAAATTTCCAAAGCTGATGCGGTTTTTGACTCTGAATTCAACTAACTGTTAAATCTTAAAGTTCATTTAGGGTACTTATTATGCAGATGTTACTAGTGAATGTAAAAATACATTTAAATTAAATGTACCAGGCACCAGGCTGCCCGAGGATGTGCCTGCCTTTACTGAGGACAATTGTCGACCGATGCCAATAAAAAAAAAAAAGGTAAATATCTGCCTGGTCCATCTCTAACCGGTGGTGACATCAGGCTCCTTTTCTCTGAAGAAAAATTGCTAGAATAAAGTTTAGTGTACATAGTTTTAACTTGTTTCATTTTTCATTTCTACTGTATGTTTATTTATTTAATTCCTTGGGACATAAACGTTTTGTATTTCAGGATTTTAGAGAGCAGACATTTTTTTTTTAACCAAAGAAGCGATAGCAGTTTAAACTTGATCTTCATGCAGTTTGTGTTTGTTTTGCACTAAAAGGTAAATACTAACTTATTGTTTTTTTTAATTTATTATTTAAATTCTGTGTCTTCAACTCATTGTACAAAGATGTTAAATTGTAGTTTCCCGTACATTTTAGTTAGGGAAACAAAATAAATAAAAAATAAATAGTAGTTTACCAGTCGCACAGAAAGTTTGCCATTTTTGATCAGTTTACTTATAAAAAAAACACGTTAGTCTTAAAATATTATTGATCAAAAACCAGGTAATGTTGATGTACTGGTATTGTAAAAACTCTAAAAGGCGTCTGGCTCTCAACTCCGACATGGAAGGAAGGCTAGGCCTTTACATCTTATTAAATTTGACTTTGAAAGGCTCACCTTTCCAAGGATCCTGCCCAGGAAATAGTAGTGTCTCGTGAAAGAGTCCCCCACCAGCATCTCTGCAGCAGGGTTGGGGTACAGCAAGCCCTCGTTGGTCGTCTTGAAGAATCCCTGGTTGGGATTGAAGCCCGACTTGAGGAGCTCGTTAAGGAACTCGCGGAAGATGCCTCCACCATCGATGCCTGCCTCGTCCAGACCGTGGGCGTTTAGAAGGTGGACTCTGATCTTTTTCTTAAGATCCGGCTCTGGTTTAAGGACACAAAGAATAAATATCCGATGGAACAAGAAACAAATTCATTAATATTAAAGCAAAACAAAACAATCCCTAACAAACACACTTTTCATTGAAGCCCTTTCTTAACTTGCCAAACATTCGAATCAATTTCAGGTCATCTTTCAGAATAATAAAGGTACAAAGATAAATCAAGGCGGCTATAACTTATGGACACATAGATGATATAGATCATGTCTTCAGTCCAGGTCTCCTACTACTCTTTTTAATCAGATTGCCCACCCCCTCGCTGAAGTAGCCTTTCAAATTCAAACACAAAAGAGGTGACTTAAAATAATTGATTCTGCTTTTATGTGATCCATTACAATAATCAGAATCACAATTATGCTTTACTGAAATCCAATAGTCTGTTCCAGGAGAGCGGCGTTCTTCATCTTTAATGCAAACTGGAAACTGGATCTTCATTACTGAGGCTTTATAGAACATAATAAGACATTCAGAAACATTCACTGGAACCATGTGAGCGCAAACAGGATGTAATGTAGGCCGATTTCAAAAACAAAACAGAACACAAAGTAAGGAGATGCTGCTAAAGTCGAAGACGCCGCTGGTACCGTTTTCTGGAGAGAGTTTATCGTAGGCGTCTTCGTAGATGTAGTTGCGTCGGATGGTGACATTGATGCCATCGGGGAACGGCCCGTCTCCTTGCACGTCATATTTGTCGACGTAGATTAACCTCTGGAAGATCTAGAGGGCGGACGTGAACCCAGCGACAGTCAGTAATGATCCTCAGAGTTCAGACACGTAGAACAGGAAACATGTTCTGATACCTTCACCCTCTCCTCAAAAGGAACAACAAAAGGCAGCTCGGTGAGGATGGCCAGATGTCTCTCCTCGGACACGGATAGCTGCAGAGGCTCCAGACCAACTGCAGTAAAACATAAACCGATTTTAAATAAGATTATAAACAACTTTTCCACTTGTCAAGATACACTCAATTTTTTACAAAATGTTTCTCCCAAATACTTCATGGAAGACAAATTTTAGGAATGAACAATCTGTCAATTTCTGATCGAGTTTGTAATTTCAGAATAGTGGCACATTTGGTTATTTTTACGAGTTTGCTTTCCTTTTCGTGGCACTACTGTGGCCAATATTATTTATTAATGTGGTCGTCTGTCTCTGTCGCAATTGTCTGTCCCTCACTCTGCGCTGTTCTTGAGTGTGAGACAGTGAGTCTGCAATATCCCCACTGAGGGCCAAATAAAGGTATTCTTATTCTAATCTTACTTGCTCGTTTCCTGCAACAAAAAGGATTTACATAATAACACTATGTGGATATTGAAATTTTCTGATGGCACAAACCTTTGTGGAGTTATAGTACGGTATAGTATGGTATCAAAGAACGCGAGTAAAATCTGTCGGCATTTGGCGATTGGTGTGAAGGTGGACCCACCTTGGTGAAACAATGCTAGGGAAACTTTTAATGCATGTTTCTTTTTTAAATAATACACTTGAAAGCAATTCTGAACTTTCAATTTCATCTATGTAATATTAGAAAAGCAGCTTTTAATGTTTTGATGGTATGATGTCATTTCCTGTCATGTTTGTAAATGTTACAGTACATCGTGAAAAATGTGCTGAAGCTTGATTTAAAGAAAATTGTGAATCAAATTGAAATTGAAACTGAATTTTTCCCTAAAACTGTTGAGCCCTAGCATGTTTTGACTGTTATGTTGTGTATCTACTAGTTAAGATACTCCACCTAGCAGCCTTCTGCACTCTGTACACGATGTATTTTGCCTAAGCCCTAGCAAACCCAGCACTACAAGGCTATCTAAACTATTTTTACCATTAAATACAATTTTTACCATTTTTCGAGGAATAGGCTTCAAAATAGGCCTAGGGCTTAAGGGGTTTAGAAAACAGGTTCTAGAACTACATTTTAACAAAATAAAAGAAAAGAAAGCTGTTATTTGAGCCTTTATGCAACTTATGAAACTTTGTTTGGGCTCATAATGAACCAGAAGCCCTAAAAATGTACATTCCAAAAAATTACAAATGTGCCTAAACATTCTTCTTCGTTGTTTTCCTCTTATCCAACAAGAACGTTAGCCGTAGCTCGAGTTTCAATCATTAGTGGCTCGTGCTAGAGTTAGCAGAAGCTCAGGCTAGCGTTGGCAGAAGCTCGGGCTAGCATTAGCAGAAGTTTGGGTTAGCACTGGCAGTAGCTCAAGCCAGCGTTAGCTGTAGCTCGGGATAGCATTGTTCTACAGTTGGTATTACCGCTATTAACGTTTATAGACTGCAGACGTTAAAGTGGGTTGGGACATGCAGATTTAAGGTGGTGTGCTTATGCTCGACGTGTTGTACCAGCTGTTCTGACCATTACAACATTACTGAGTTACATAGAAAAGCATACTGAAGATAGCAAAGATAAATGTGGTTCTGAATTCGAGAAAATCTGAAAAAGCATGCAGAGTCATTGAAAATAACTCAGTCAAGTAATTTTCTTGATTCGTATTTTGATATTTACTTTTTTTTCCCATTGGTAACAGTCCAGCTACAAGGTGTAATTTCCATTTTACTTTCCATATAGCTTTGGTCACAAACCAGCGCTGGCACGTTGAGACTGTTAGCAATAGCTGCTCTAACAGCAGAAGCCCACTCACCCTACATTATCCTTCCTAACAGCTAAACACTGTGATTAAGACTGTTTACAAACCAACCATTAATGGCATATCTGTCCAACAGCCTTTTAATAACACTCTTTTAATTAACTCATCTGTGAGCTGTCTGTCCACTTGCTGAGATGTATCCAATAGGCTAATGTTTGCTTAAACCCAGAGTTTGGACCATTAAGCGCCCCCACCACCCTCGCTTCAAGCCACAATCACTATCCTACTCTTCACCCTTTCCCATTCCAACTACAGCTCAATTATTCTGCTCAATTAGTCAACCTGATCTGCATTTTCCCATCAGGTTTCCATCTTTGAGGAGAAATATGGCCTCGGAGTGGTCAATACGGGCCTCATTTATCAGCCTTGGGCTTGTCCATTTAAGGAAATGAGAAAAGGCCAGACAAACACACGGAGCAGATGTGGCTGAGTTCATCAGGTACTCTCACACTAATTGAATTTATCTCATACAGCCTGAGCGGCATTAGGGAGATCATACACACATTGTTATATGCCTGTTTTCACACTATACATCACAGGCATGTTGTATGGCTCAAAGTGAGCCTGCCTAAGTGTTTTCGTTCGCTTGAGGTTAATGGAGGCAATGAAGGGATGTGTTTAATCGGTCTTAGTGAGAACAAGGAAGGTTAATGGCTTTGTTTAGATTTTCTGCAAATAAATCTGAGCTTAGGGGAACTTAGTGTGCTTATTTTTGCACACACAAAAAACAATCTTGAGTGATTTATCTTGTAAAAGGTTTGTTTTTATCATGCAAAATTCAAATAGGTTAAATCACCATCAAGAGTTGACTGAAGTGGCCCGATTCGACCCATTCTGCGTGTTCTCCACACATGTCTTGCTGACGGGACATACAGCTGAGTGACCTGGACAAAAAAAACTCCTGATGATTCCCTTACATCTAGATGAAGGATACATCTATACGCACACAAAAAAACTTTAATGCTATAAATCAAAGACTATATTTGAAAAATTCATTCTAATTGACTGAAGTTTCACACTGAATCAAACAAAAATGCAAAATAGAGATAAGAAGTAAAAAAAAGACGACAGCTGAGTACCTTATCCGCTCGGATGTTGACCTCCTCAGACAGCCAGTGACCTGCTGGACAGAAGGGTCGTCTGATGTCACGAGCTTTCACCATCTTCACCAAGTTAGTGATGACCTGCATTGTAGATCAAGCGCACCCATCACGTCAGCATAAACTCGCCCATTACAACACGAAAATAAATAAACAAGTTTTCCCACAATATTCTCTCGAACAGAGATGAGGGGCTTTATGGAAAAAAATCAATTTGAGAATATGGCCATTAATGCAGCATTTATGGGAGTATAAAAGAAAAACGAGCTGCGCCGTTGCTCAACGTCCAGCCCTGTTAATTACCAGCGAGGTCTGCTGACATCAGCCATCGGGCAGGGGAAGCAAAAGCCTCACCGTTAACAGAGCTACTTGCAGTTAATGGCATTTAAAAACAAATAAAATCCATTTTCTTTCTTTAAATAGATGAAAGTGGTAATTTATCGCTACTCTGCAACAGGATTGCTTCATTTTGCAGTAGAGATACCAATAAACCCAAGGTTGACGATCTCTTGGAAATATTGATGAAAACAAGCCTAGAAATCTAGACGAAACATAGCAGTAGCTAAGTACTTGCTCTGCATGCTAGCACGCTCGATTGTAGCTTCAGAAGCAACAGTCTACCATTGGCTCGGCTGAGTTTAGGCCAGGCCAATCAGAGCGCTCCGTTTGTAGAGACGCTGAAGCAAATGTACAAAGATACAGTTGGTTTAGGAACAGCGCTAATTTAGAATGACTGGCATCAACTTTGGACAATTTGGACATTTCTTTGAGACATGAGTAGATAAGAGGTACTTAAATCAATTACTTTCCAAAAGGGACGGTGTCCAGCCGACTGGTTTCCATAGCGATTAATACGTTGTGTTGTTCTGTGCTCTGATTGGTCCTATATTCCACAGTTAGACCAATTAAAGTTTACATGTTTTCTTTGTGAAATTGATTAATTTGAATTTACTTAAAAAAACAATACAATTGTATTTATTTGTTATGGGTATCAGTGGTTCCCCTAGAAATGTCTCGTGCCATGGTGCTAGTTGACTGGGTGGGGGTTTGCTTTCATGTGTCACCTGGAAGGGGGGGGGGGGGGGGGGGTTGCTTCCGTGTGCCGTCCGTGAGAGAGGGAGGATTTTGTGGCTCTGGAATTCCTGTGTAAGGTAAACCCTGAGTCTTTAAGTTGTTTTAACTAAGAATCTTAGAAAAGTTGAGTCCTTTCCACAAAAATTTATTTGATCTAAACTTCATTTTTGGTTCAAATCAGGTAATTTTAACAATTAATTTGAGATTTTCACACTAAATCTAACACACATTTACTGTTTAATTGCATCAATATCTACTTATATTTTTGTACAGATTTAATTAAAATTTTCTCTAGATTTTACAGAATTTTAAATTTAAATTTACTTAATTTTATTATGTGTTATTTTGTTCCCTTAATTTTTTTAAGTAAACCCTATTGAGTTTTTACAGTGTACAACTGATCTGTCTATGGGTCGTGGCCAGGTTATATATTAAATATATAAGGTGGCTTGCCAGGCTAAAGGAAAACTACAACAAAACTTCCAAACATATTAATAATTGCCTACGCAGTTTTAAAGCTCAAACGTGCTCCAACTCTTGAAGAGGTGTTTTATCCTCTCTAGGTGGCCGACTAATCCGACTGAAGCAGCTAGCTGCTGCTTCATTAACAGCACATCTCTTATCTCTGATGATGTCCCTAAACCAAAACCCTCAAATCACAAGTTTCTTCTGCACATGTGCCAGCAGCCCTGGTGGTAGCAGGCTGCCTTGTTGCTATGGCGAGTTACAGCCATTTGAATAATGTCAACGGATGTCATTGATGTGATAAAAGTTACAGCCAGTCCATTTCCATATAATACCCCCAGCTGGATTATTCCAATCGAAACGTTCTCCTTTAAGGCGCGTCATTTTCATAGAGCGGCACTCAATCACGTCCAATCACCAGGAGGCAACGGGAGTGTGCAATAACGGCAAGTGCAAAATGCTGTACAATGTGCGTGGAGATGGGTCTGGAGCAGACCTAGCCCCTGACTCTGGGAATGAATAAGCATTCCTTAATTAGCCCATCGGGTTAAGTGCAAACCTTAATGGGCCTTTCCCAAACTCCGATGTGACACCGTTCTCCAAACATGGCCAAGAAGAAAGTTCCATTAGCAATATTAATACAAGCTTAGTTGATCATTTTCATTCAATTAACTTCTTTCAATTAAATAGATAGCTCGACAATGGGGGTGATAAAAGATGGAGAGGGACGGCTGATGACACCAACCAAACATTAACGTGTTAGGGGTCAGCGGCGTTAAACCAACTGTAAATCCCAACGTTCAATTTGGAAAATGCATTTTCCCTGCTCTTCACTTCTTTAATGGGTCGTTTTAGCTGACAAAGAGGCCTCTGAGCAGATCTTTTATGAAAACGTGCTTTTTTTGTGTGTGCATTCGACACCTTTCACGGAACTCACTTTTAGATCCCTCTGTGCAACGGCCAAGAACAAAAAGAGCAGAGTTAAGAGCTGGGTGAGAGAAAGAAGACAGAAAAAGGAGGAAAAATCAAATAAAAGATGTAGAATGAGAGAGGAACTGGGTTCATGCCATTTTCTGCCTCATTTCCTTTGAGTAAATAACCAATGGAGCTCTATCTTGTCTTTGCCTGCTCATGCAGATACGGCTGATTTCCTCTAAAAGATAATCATTACACATCTTTACGTCGGCGCACAAAGAGACGACACAACAATTAGGTCTAATCACCATGGCGTAAATAAACATAAAACAAAAAAATGTGTCTTGGATCTTGCTAAATATGGAGCTACTGCAGAGACATTTATTATTATTTACATTTTAAATTTTTGTTATTTAGAGCAAATGTTCAGTTTCATTTATAAAAATAATTTTTATTGTTATGCTCATTATGGGAGAATTTTAAATATCATAAATAAAACATATATTGTTTATGCTGTGAAAGAATGGGGGTGCTTAGCACCACTCTTACTGTATCTGGGATTATATCTGTTTAGATCCTACCGCTCCAGCAGGTGGCGCTGGCTCAAGAGCCAAAACTGACTTTCCCCAGCTTAGTCCGTACTGATGGCACAGCTACTTTGTTTAGCCGAGCTACGTCCAAACGACAGAACTGTTCAGGCCCTTTAGGTCAACGATGTCACTTCCTGTGTCCTCCATCGTTTTCCTTTCAGAGTGCTAATTTTTTTCCTACATGGTGCCTGAAATAAGCTGAACAAACATTAGCCGTTAGCATGTTGTGTGGCTCTACTCCAGCCACTTTATAGCAACTTTATAAGGAGGGACCGGCGGCGCCTGTGCTCGGCAGCCTCGCCGGCCTCCGTCAGTGCGCCCCAGGGCAGCTGTGGCTACACTGTAGCTCATCACCATCAGTGTGTGAATGAGTGTGTGAATGGATGAATGATACACTGTAGTGTAAAGCACTTTGGAGTCCTTACTCTGAGAGGCGCTATACAAGTGCGGGTCATTTATCATTTATGTCAAAAGTTTTTATCGACCTGTTCCCGTGGTAACAGGGAAAACCTTTCTCGAGATAAGTATTGCTATTATTTTATCACCCAGCTCTACTTTTAGGCAAAATGTTTAAAAGATATAAATTATATTTAGAAATGCAAGAATTTCAGGTGAATAAAGCTGCATTTAAAGAAAAAGGAAAGACAAAAAAATCCACAAAAGCTTTTGGAATTAAATGATTTAAAACTGATTTTCTTGGTAATAAATAAAAATTTTAAAAAAGTTTTTAAATGTGGGAGTCTCAGTCAACTAAACAATTTTATCTTCAACCTCTAAACCTGAAGTTGCCAAACAAAAAAAATTAATAAAATGTTTCAACTCAACGTTAATCAATCAGATCCATTTAATAAAACCAGTAAAAAATGAGAGGGAATAAAAAGTGTACCTTAAAGAGCTGCACCCAGCGTTTCTGCTCAGCGTGAATGCAATGCTGGACCTCGGCGTTCGTCTTGACGCCGACGCTACGAAAGGCAGCCATGTACTCCTCTCTGTGCTCCGCCTTTGTCTCAGGGTAGGCCAGTTTGATGATCCCCAGGCAGGCGTCTCTCAGACAGCGGGACAAAGTCACCAGCTCCAGGAGCGTGAAGGGCATCATGGACGAATGGATCTGACCTGTTCACAGGGGGAACGTGTGTTCAAACAGGTGCTCATGTAAACGAGGGCATGTCTGCAACAGCTACTGTCCTTTACCATCCATCTCATGCCCAAAGAATTCGCTGTCGTGCACCGAGATAAGAGAGTGACTGAAGAGAGAGCTGAAGAGATAGAAAAGGGGGATGATGCGGTTCGAGTCCTCAAACGACATGGGAGACCCCCGAGAGATCAGCTGTAGCAGCGGCACCATGGAGCTGAGGAGACAAGCAGACATGACACCAGAAACATGGTGGATGCAGAAGGAATTAAGAGGGTGTAACGATTCACCAACTCACCCGGTGATCATTTTAGTTTTCATGGAAGTTATCAGGTGCCAGAGATGCCTCAGGAAACGTGCGTTGAAAGCTAAGCTGTAGAGCAGCCTGCAGAATCAGAAACAGTAGTTTTTATTACGTTTACGACCGTCTTCAACCAGCATCAGGAACAAAAATCCATTACAGCTGTTTGGAACAACACAATTCAATAAAAAGACCCTCTCCCAAACTGGAAACGAAAGAAGGAAAATAAAGACACTGACCTAATAGAGAATTGTCTTGGCCTTTCTCTCCTTTTACACTTTGCGGGGGCCAAAAGGAGATTAAACGAGCCATTAAGCTTTATTTAGGCAAGGCACCCTCCATTAGTAAACTAGTTGCTGACGAGGATGCCCGACTCGGGTCATAAACAGCCCCCTGGCTTCCTGCTGGAGTCCCCATTTAACTTAATGGCCAGGGACAATGGAGGATGGAGGCGGGGCTCCCGGGTCCTTGCTGTGACCCCTAAGCTCTAGCATGCTTCCACACTCACCCTGATGCTGGAAAGATCCCAAATACCTTTAATACTCAATGAGTTGTTGCACAGAGGTGTGAAGCTTCTCTTTGTTCAAGTGTGTGTGTGTGTGTGTGTGTGTGTGTGTGTGTGTGTGTGTGTGTGTGTGTGTGTGTGTGTGTGTGTGTGTGTGTGTGTGTGTGTGTGTGTGTGTGTGTGTGTGTGTGTGTGTGTGTGTGTGTGTGTGTGTGTGTGTGTGTGTGTGTGTGTGTGTGTGTGTGTGTGTGTGTGTGTGTGTGTGTGTGTGTGTGTGTGTGTGTTTAACTGCTAAGCTCTTCACACCGAGGGTGGGAACAGGTGACAATAACATGGTGAGTTAGGTAATATGCTGAATAAAGTGTGCTTGTTTAGGACGAGCAGCATCAACAGAGGAGAAAAGATCAATTTAGTACAATTTACAAAATAATTTATCTAAAAATCTCACTTTGGAAAATGAATATTAGCGGCAATCTGTCAGATGAACACCGGAGAGCGCAGACCATCTGTCAGTGCAACGAGGCTCAGAAGAGCCGCACGGGGCAGCGCTGGGGCCAGTACAAGTCACGAGGGTGTGTGATTGAAATGAGAAACAAAGCACTAAATGCCAGCTGACAAGCTGATTTACAGCCGGAGAAAACCCAAACCCCCCATTTCAATCACGGAATGAACCGCTAATAAACAAAGTCAAGACATCAACAGAGGTGGTGTGTGTGTGTGTGTGTGTGTGTGTGTGTGTGTGTGTGTGTGTGTGTGTGTGTGTGTGTGTGCGTGCGTGTGCGTGTGTGATGTGTCTTGGATCGTTTCATTTAGCTGTGATAAAAGAATCAGCAGATGAAATAAAACCCCTCCAGTCGGATTCAATTTCAGTTTCGATCGAGTTTCACAAACTCTCTGATTCAACGTTGTTATTTCACGACAACGTCATAAATCACAGGAATTAAACAAAGTAAACATCGATGCCTCTCATCAAAGGAGCCCGTTAGCAGCCAAGCGTCGCGTCTGGTGAAAACAAACTACCAAAGTAAAACTGCACCAAATATCTAACCTCTGCAATTACAGTAAAATGACACCAAATTCAGGAAATCCAAATGAGAGTTGGATGTGCAGCCAGAACACGGCCCTATAGGAGGTTTTACATATTTGTTAATAGGGCGGTGTTCTGGGCTGACTGCACTTCCCTCTCTTTTTTTTTTTTTTTTTTTTTGCTGTAAAAGCCGTAAATCAAGACCGGGATGCAATTTGCTCCCCTTAGCCTCTTGTAAAGCTATCCCGTCCACTCCTGCAGTGATTAATCTTTCTCAGCCAGCTAATTATTTTGTACAGATATCCAATAATGATGGAAGGACGAAGGACGGGATTTATGATAAAAGTGGACAAGAGGAGGAAGCTGTAAAAAATGATGAAGAAGAAAATCCCACCCAACAACTGGAAACCAGTTTGAGATCCTAAAAAGATTGCTGCTTTTATGTGTTTAGATGAGTTCGAAAAAGATTTGTAGAAAAATACAACCTTTCTTTTTTTTATCTCCAGCTCAGTGCATCATACGAGAACGATTGGCTTCACTAATAATTAACTCCTGCATGTTGACCATCTGTGAAGCTCAGTCTAGCTCACTTCCTGTTGGCTAGCTTTATTGTAATCAACCAAAAACGGGCTAATTTTCAGCTTCCCTGACATCCCTGCTTCCTGTGCTGGTTGTAAATGCCGGCGTGTGCAGCTCAGTTATTTATATCACTGCTTGCAGCGCAGAAACACTTAAAACACCATTTTCCCCCTCAGTTGGGTCAGTGTGGAAACAAGAGCAGATCCTGATGAGAAATGGAAGATTTTATCTATTTATTTTATCGTTTGAAACACCCTCCTCCAATTTTATACCTGACTTTTGGCACCATGAGACGATGCTGCACCATGAGCGTGTGACAAATGGACGCCATCATGGTGAAAACGTCCTCGCTGGCCGAGTCCCTCCACACCAGGTTCAGCAGAGCGTTGGTCTGCTGTTTGGTGTCCAGCTTGCGGACACATTCCTCTGTTATCAGCTGCACAGAAATCCGGCTGTCATCCTAACAGAAGACACAAGAACAGGTTGATCTGAATGAGGAACTATGAGCAAATCCCTTTTTGATCCATTTCTAACATGCATCACTTATTCTAAAGTAGCGGTTATACATCCAGCGTATGTCCGTGTACCTGCATGGGTAAAGGCTGCATGGCATCATCATCATCGTCGTCAGAGTCGCTGGTCGCTTCTGGCTTGCTGGTGCTTTCCGACACCGGAAGTAGAGGCAGCAGCGTCTGCAGAGCTCGGAGGTACAGCAGGTGACCCTCCTCTGACAGAGAGCCTGTCAACATTTAACCGTCGTCTTCTTTACCTTGAAGTCACAAAGTAGCAAAAAGGACAGATCGGTGTCTCACGTACCTAAGTAGTTCTCCCCTGCAGAGAGGACAAAGTAGAAGAGCCACGGCGCCTGGTTCTGCGCTGCTGAGGAAGAGTCAACGGTGGCCTGGAGGGAGCTGAGAAAGGCCTCGAACGGGAATGAGAGACGGCAGTCGGACAGCGCCGGGATAAAAAAGTGAAAGATCTGTTCGGTAAACGGCGCAGAGATGAACTCCTTGGTAAAAGCTGCAAACACAAACTGCCTGAAAGCAAAACAGCAAATAAACAAATCATTAGAAGAATAAAGATACTAATGAACCAGCGTGATAGCTGTGTGGTTTAAAACACCCTACTCCACATGGTTGTTGTTCTCCGCGCTCCAGACCAATATTGTCTCTAAACAGAGCTGCTTTGTGCTGCTCGGTCACTCGCTGGTGGGCCAAGTGAGATAATTAACTGTTAGAATCACCGTGTACACAAGTCGCTCTGGCTCCCGCCTCGCCTTTCTTCAAAAAGAGAAAAGAACTCCTCCTGTCGTTTGTTATTAAGAATGTCTCAACCTGAAGGCAAACAGCTCGACTCTCTGTGCTGCAGCACGAAGACCAGTCTGGGGCGACTTTTATGACAGATTGTAAACGACCTCTGAGGCAATTACAGCTTCACCAGAAAGGGACAAAAAGAAAGTTTGTCTGATTAGTTTAATGGATGATTTTAGAAGAATTCACAGGAGACAAAGACGTTTGGTGCCTGCGGTCGGACACTTATCTTCAGCAGTGTTTGCTGTAGATACTGGGAGGTCTGCAGACAGCTTTTCACACAAATTCTTCCACAAACGTGTCAAATAGTTCCGTGTGTCGTTACTTATGAGACGACACACGTGAGCCCCACATTCCAAAAGAACTTCCTGCCTCTATTTGTCTAAAGTTGTCCGCCTTTAAAAGCGTGTTTCCTGTTTGGGTCTACCTTGCGCCTTCTGTGCAGGTGGAGTAAGTAAAGTGCAGAGGTTTGAGGATGTGCTCCAACAGTGTGCTTGCCAGAGGGATAGAAGGAGCATCGCTGTACTCCAGACTGGAGGGAAGTCTGTGATTTACAAGAGCATACAGCGACCTGTAGTATCCTGGTGAGGGGACAAAGTGGAAAATACGGAAAAATATGAGTTAATTGGTGCAGAATTTGTGCATTTATTCCACTAAAATGTTAAAAATTGGTTTTCTTACCTTTCTGAACCATATAGTGCAAAATCTGCTCACGTAGAGAAGCTACATAGTTAGCATCTGGAATAACAGGAAGATAGGTTTTCTCTGTAGAAAAGATTTCTAGCATTCGCATGGGAACAGCAACGTTTAAACTTTCATCGGTGCAGTTATCCAAAAGCCTGAAGAAAAAGAAAAAAGGAAAACTGTAAATTTCTTTAAATATTCTACCAGTTTTCAGCATTTCTGTGATGACAGATTCTCTTACCTGCAGCAGAAGCCCAAAATCTTTTTGATCTGAAACATACAAGTTTGCTTCTGCGGGCCGACTAAGAGCTTCACAAACCGACTGTTGTGTTTCACCAGGTTCTGACACAACCAAATCTTCAGAAGAACATAACGCAGACACAGTGTTAGGTGCTAATCTGTGAGATCGTCAGTGTTCCAAGTGTGAAGTAAATGTACATCCTTACCAATCTATGAGCATCGATACTTTGTCTGTAGAAAAATATAAGCTGCCTGGATAAAAGGCAGAGAGCAGCGCCATCCATGACCTGTTGAGCACCCCCTGCCTTCGACTGGCCGGCGCACTCATCAAACATAGACCTCTGAATGGCATACTGTTAAAAAAAAATCAATAAATTTACACATTACACAAACAACATCAAAATAAAATGCCTGACTTAATTGTTTTAAACATTTAGAAATTAATCAATATTCAGAATGTCCTCTGATACATTTAACTTCAAAAGCAAAACAGGGAGACCTGAATTAAATGGATCATACCTTTAGAAACTCAGAAGGGTTTTAAAAAAGCAGCTAAAAACAATAATATGATTCAAACTAGGTTAAACTGGATGTTTCCAGAATGAAAGTTGATTTAAGATAAACAAAAATTATTCATTTAGCAAATCCATCTATTTATTTACTGAGACTGAGTCTGGGTGAAAGGGGGTAGTCTTAGATCCTGAAACCCCCTCCCACGTCTAACCTACAAACACCTCCCTAGAAAACTTACAGAAGACATGTTTATCTCATACTCCAATTAAAATAGAAAACAACATCAATCTTCTCAGAGATCACAAACGTTTGGCGATCTGGATTTTTTGCTTCAATCACTACCAGCATTCAAAAGCAAACATAAGTCGTCAAAATGTTGCTTGATTGGTTAAATTAGCAACTTTTCATCTCAGATCTACTTGTTTAACTCGCGATCCAGTCTGCACAAAGCCATGTAATAGATGCAAAATAGAGCCACATGATACTGTATCTGCAGACGTACCTGTTGTTTTAAGTCCTGGTAGCCACGGATGTAGGACTGAATGATGATAGCGTTCTTCAGTCGTTTTCTTTCATCCTAGGCAATTACAGAGTAAAATATATCAATATTATAATATTTTGAAACTCATAGAACCAGGAATAATTCCAGAATATGACTTATATATTAATATTTAAAATCAGATTTCAAATTGACACACAGTGCACATCTTTTTTTGTTTCACAACTTGTGTCTGCTCTTATAGGAATCACAACTATTGCAAGTTTAGAGGTAAATCAGCACTTATTACTTCATTTATAAGGCTTATAACAAGTTATTAAGGCAACATCAAGTGTAATAAAACAGGATTAATTTAAACTGGTTGTATGTTATTAGTGTTTATTGCCACATAATTGAGTTATAGCTTGTTTTTTTGTGACAGCAGAATTTACTTAACAAAAACAAAAATAACTTCAATAACAATTGTGTTTTTATTGAGTTAACTGGAGATGTTACCTCTCTCTTCTTTCTTTCTTCTTGAGTGCGATGCAACAAGGATGCTTTTTCCTCCTGAAGAGCAAAACAAAAACGTTTTATGAGACAAATACATGCTCCATGTTTTTGTTAAAGATGATTAAAACCAAATGAAGTGATGACTCACCTTTTTACTTGCTCCTCCAAGTGATACCTTGGGTCTCGTTTTGAAATCTCCCTCAAAGCTGAACATTGTTAGACTTTTCCCATTGATTGACTCAGAAGCTTTCACCAATTTCTAAAAAAAAAAAAAATAAATATATAAAAAAGAAACCAGTATATTATCCAGTTCTGATTGACAAAACAAGTCAAGATGAAATTAAATAAAACGAAAGTAACGTGATGAACGGTGATGTATCTCAAACTAGAAATAAAATGCCGTTTATTAAACGTATAAACATGAAGCTGCTATGTTTTAATTATAGTGGATAGCGTGAACGTAAATTAATTGGACTTTGAATGTTTAACCTGCAGTTTGGCTGCAACAATAGTTAGCATGACTCAGCAGCTGTCAGGGGTTTACCATGAGTGTTTGAGCTCTCAGAGGTGAAGTAGAAACGGAAACAATAAAACACAAAGCTGCTAATAATGTGAAACGGCGGCAAGGAGTCATATGTGTGCGTTTAACCGGGTTTTCTTTACGTTAGCATTGCTGCTAACTAGCCACGAGCTAGAGTCAGGCTAACTTTACATCTTTCTATCCGGAAGTCTCGACATAGTTTAATTTAAAAGATACACGTCTGAGAATAACTCACGGATAAGCCATGATTTGTTTACCTTTTAACTCTTGAATTACTAAGTGAAAAAAGAAATACTGTGAAGGTTGTTGAGGTAAAATCCAAACGTCAAATCTTCCTTTCCTCCTCTCAGGAAATCAACACTGTACACCGAATAGAAACAGACAATTACTTCCGGGTCCATCTCTTACTTCACTGCTGATTGGATAAATTCCACGTCGATTACGCATTCGACCCGCCTTTCAACGAGATCCATTGAGAAGGTTCTATGCGTGTGGAAACGTGAGTTCCTATTCTTGATGGGACATTTTCAGTCTACACACCTTGGATCAGCCACTTTTAGGGTTAAAATAAATATTTTTACCCTACATAGATCAAACTTAAACGTGTTTAAAGCCGTAAAATCTACTTGAACTCCGAAATAAAACCAACACAGTCTATGAAGTATCTTTTCATAGAAAATAAGCTGCGGTAATTTTGCAGTATGAGTGTCATTATTATTATTATTATTTTTTTTTAATTTATATAACATTCTCGCTGTTGTTCAGCAGATTTTGGCACTTAAAAAAGTGAAACGTTGTTTCATCAATGTATGTATGACTAATATGCATGCAATCCAATGACTGCAGCTATATGAAGTTACGTTTGAATGGGAAAACTAAATATAAATATAAACATTGCATGTTCAAAAGTTGGGGTGGTGGGATGGTGGGGTGGGGGGATGTTGAAGTAATTGACTGCTCATGGATGTAATTTTCACTTTAGAAGTGGAGGGGACACGGGGGGGGGGGGGGGGGGGGGGGGGGGGGGGGGTATCTTTACAGTATGTTCTAATGGGAAACAGGCTTCAACACAAACGGTTGTTTTCCACTTGGTCCTAGAGCTCAACCAGTGTCAATTTAATATAGCGTAATATTGTTTTTGAATGGTAAAAAGTGCAGGGGTCAAAACTTAACTTTTGAAAAGGGGGGGGGACCCCCCCTCCCACCCCCAAAATTACGTCCATGTGACTGCTAACTCATAAATAGGTTTATAAGTGATGTGAAAACACATGTAAATGTCAATATTAGCAGATTTCTCAAAATCATCTTTCTTTTTTGTATTCATGTATTTCATTTAAATTTAAATTATTCTGATCTACAAATACTCAAATCCATGCCAAACTTCTTTAAAAACAAGCTACTGAATTTGAGGGAAGGAAACTTAAAAGAAACACCCGCGGTGTGTGAAATGTATTTTTATCATGCACATTAAACTATCCAGCACAATATAACTCATGTTGGCAACCAACTGATTGCTTCTATTCATTCAAAACAGCACTGTTGGTAATGATAATTGATAAACCTGCACTTTCAGAGGCAGTACACACATTTACACACTGATGGTGATGAGCTACGATGTAGCCACAGCTGCCCTGGGGCACACTGACAGAGGTGAGGTTGCTGAGCACAGGCGCCGCCGGTCCCTCCGACCACCACAGCAGGCAGTGATGTTGCCCAAGGACACAACAGCAGAATTTTCTGCCAGGATCAATCCTGCAACCTTCCGATACTGGACAACCCACTCTACCCCCCTGAGATACAGATGTCCCACTGCCTGGCCAAAAAAAAGTTTCCACCCAAAACAAAATATGTCACACACTCTAATATTTTGTTGGACCACCTTTAGCTTTAGTTGATGCATTTGCTGAATCAAGATCAACTTCTGCAGTGTCACAAGATTTATTTCCATCCAGTGTTGCATTAATGTTTCACCAAGATCTTGCACTGATGATGTTACCGCTGCACAAAGCCTTCTCCAGCACATCCCAAAGATTCTCAATGGGATTAAGGTCTGGACTCTGTGGTGACCAATCCATGTGTGAAAATGATGTCTCATGCTCCCTGAACCTCTCTTTCACCATTTGAGCCCCATGAATCTCGACATTGTCATCTTGGAATATGCCCGTGCCATCAGGGAAAATGGAATAACCTGGTCCTTCAGTATATTCAGGCATGGACGTAATTTTCACTTTAAAAGTGTGTGTGTGTGTGGGGGGGGGGGGGGGGGGGATCTTTACAGTATGCTCTAATGGGAAACAGGCTTCAACACAAACGGTTGTTTTCCACTTGGTCCTAGAGCTCAACCAGTGTCAATTTAATATAGCGTAATATTGTTTTTGGATGGCAAAAAGTGCAGGGGTCAAAACCTGACTTTGGAAAAAGTGTGTGTGTGTGTGGGGGGGGGGGGGGGGATGTCCCCCCTGTCCCCCACAAAATTACGTCCATGTATTCAGGTAGTCAGCTGACCTCATTCTTGGAGTACATTCTGCTGAGCATACAAATGCAGCAGCAACCCCAGATCATAACACTGCCCCCACAGGCATGATGGGCGCATCACTTCTTATCCCGATGCACCCATCACTCTGGAACAGCGTCCATGGACTCATTAGACCAGTTTTATTAATGTATTGGACAGTTCTTAACACAGTTTTAGTCATTTCTGCAATCTCCTTAGATGTTTTCTCTGCTTGATGTCAATGATCTGACCCTTCTCACACAGACTAACATTTTTCCACGATCACCAGATGTGTCTTTCCACATGGTTTACGAAACGAGAAGCAACTCATTGCACCAGTTGGAGTTAAATAAATGAAAGGTAATTGTCCAGAATGACAGTAATTATCCAGTAGGAGGCTCGTACCTAATGCCTGCAGTGACTTTTTTGGGCCATACGTGTGAGTTGGCTAGTCTAATACTTAATCATAAACCAGCATGGTCTGATGATCTGCAGGTGGGAGGGGAACCAACTTTACTTTTTAGAGTATGTTGCTGAGTTTTAAATTGTTTGAACATTATTTAAAAGGTTCCTTTTTTAATTTAACCTTTTAAATTTGCTGAAAATTGCAGTACAATTATTTTTTGATTGATTAGTTTTACAAAATATTATTTTTAAAGATTCAAGATAGTTTTATCATCGTTGCACAGGTGTATGACGAAATTGGCTTTGCGCTGACTAAGACAGCTCACATAAGGAGGTAAAATAAAAGGAGTAAAATAAAATAACAAGGCTAAAATAGATGTCACACACGCAAACACAGTCAGTTTAAGGTGCACAAATGTAAACATATAACATGGTAACAAGACATATAAACAGAAATATAAAATAAACAGCATATAAGTTATGATAAAAATATATTCTACAGGTTATTATTAGCCCATTGGGATGTGTATTACAACAACAACAACAACTACTACTACTACTACTACTACTACTACTACTACTACTACTACTAATAATAATAATAATAATAATAATAATAATAATAATAATAATAATAATACAGATGGGCTACAAATACTTTACTATTAATATTATATCTTCAATAAATTAATGACTTGTGGATTATTTGTTTTAAAGCTTGTGACACAAATAAATCTTCAATAAATGTATTCAGATTCCTTGGGTGCTAGTGGTAATTTTCAGGTTTTTTATTCAGGTGTTTAATGTTATTAATTTACATAATTTGTACTGAGTCAACATGAAATCTTGTCCTGAATGCAGCTAAACGGATTCTTAACATAAAAATCAGAAGCTCATATCTGATAATAATTTCCAAAAGCAGATTTGCACAGAAAGCATTCAACTTGTTCCAAAGGATATTTCTGGCATTAAAAGTGGCAGAGCAAGCTCATTTTTCCACAGAAGGTAATTAATACGCAAAACTCCTCTGATTGTCACAAAGATTTGTATTTTTATTTAATTGTCCGGGTAATTATGGAGCAAATTAGCACATTTCAGGAAAGAAAAGGGTTTTAGTTCTAGTTCCCTTCTGGGGCGCCTTATTAATTTCCTCTCCTTCTTAGATGTGATGAAAAGGAGCCATAAATCTGCGTGATCGGTGAAGGCCAATGGGAAATGGCCCCATATTTCACCGCTGCTTTAATAGAAATATTCATGCGGGGCCCTTAATGAAATTAAACCCGTGCGGATGGGACAAGGCGCGGGATAATCGCATTTGCGGTTGACAAGTCTTCCATTTTGTTTCTATCAAACACCCAAAGGTGATGATCTTTTATTTTTAGACCAAAACAGGAGCGCGCGCACTTTTCAGGCGCTAGATGTCAAGTAAAGCAAACGTGGGAATAAATAAAACAGAGTCGAATTAGATGTGAGCATATTTTGGATAAAATCAGCAGGTTTAGTCATCCAAACCTGTAAGCAGAACCCAAAACTCAAACCTTTCCATCCCGTTGCAGCTTTCCAGCCGCGCATCAATCTCCTAGTTATCATTCTGTAATTGGTCATGATCATCGAGGTCCACAATTAAACGGCGATCCTTTACTAGAAAACTATCAGCTGACTTGTTGATTTCCCCTGAGCAAATAAACGTCCCGCAGGAGCAGCTCGGCTGATGAATCGACCAAAACTAATCAGCTTTATTGGTAGACAGGTTAAGGGCAACGTGGTGTCAATAATTCTCATTTTGACCTCCTCTTCCATTAAGTTTAAGTGGCTTATTAGACCGAATTCATCTGGAGCTGCGGGCCTATTACATCTGTCTCCATCTCACTTTAAGGTTTTCAATTAAGTGAGTTTTTTTTTCTTTATTCCTGGGTGCGGCTAAGGGATTTAGGTGAAAATTTAGGCCACTTTTTGTCACTAATGATCAAAAAAATGTTCAATTGAAAAAAAAAAGGAAATCAAAGAATATCGGGGTTTGGGGAACTTCAACACTGAGCCACTATGAGACAGTATAAATAAATAAATAAATAAATAAATAAATAAATAAATAAATAAATAAATTTCACCAGATTTCACGCGCAACTTTCTTTTAAATCCATAAAATCTGCTCAGTGGTTCCTATTTTCTGAGATGAAAACACCCCATGGCAAACATCTTTTCTGCCCTAAAAGGGGATAAAACGTAATTTTTAAACCAATGTTTTGTTACAGAAATTAAGTTTCAGCCGACTAATGGAGCCAGTGCGCATCTGCCACCTTTATTGGGGGGAGTGACAGAAGGAGGGCTTTTATTTAAATTTCCCTGTTGCACGTGCTTCATTATGCAGAATGCTCATTTTTGTTTATTTATTTATTTACATCTGGACTCATATAGCTTGACTCTTAAAATGAAAACAAACGTAAAAAACAAACTATCATGATTTAAAGAAAGGGTATGTTGATCTGGAAGAATTTGATTTTTAAACAAATTTTTTGCAGCTGTTTTATGTCTGCAAAACCAGCAAAAACATAAATAAATAAATAAACCAATTATTAAAAAGTAAACCAGTGTTTTTATAATGAAACACGACGGATCCATCCAAATGTTTGCGTCATTCTCCATTTTCTTGTAAAATATGCAGAGCAGCATTGACGCTGCGCGCTCCCATGACGGGACAGACCCCCCTCCCTCTCAGACTGCTGCACCAATCGCCTCCATCTGAGTGGAATTAAGAGTCAAACGCAGCTCCTCGCTCACACTCCGGATCACATCCTAACTTTTGAAAGGTGGAGAAAACGGCGCTCTCCTCTCCTCCAACTTTTCGCAGCCGCAGAGGCGACAAAGGGACGCGCACGAGGTGACCCAATGGAGAAATCCAAAAACTTTCGCATTGACGCGCTTTTAGCAATCGATACGCCCAAGGCGCAAACCTCGCCGCTGGCACTTGTGACTTCCATGACCTCCTCCTCCTCCGCCACCGCTTCCTCCATCCCGCATCCTGGAAGCGGTGCATCCGCTGAGCTGAGCGCCGAGTCTTTACGCACCGAGACGCCGTCTCCTCCCAGGATCTCCACCTGCGGCTTAATTCCCAAACCAGGTTTTCTGAACAGCCCGCACAGCATGGTTGGATTACACCCGCAGAGCACCGCGGGGATCCCGGCGCAGGCTCTCTACGGTCACCCCATGTACACCTACTCCGCTGCTGCGCTCACAAGCCAGCATCCAGCCCTGGCCTACTCCTACCCGCACGGATCCCATCACCACCACACCAGCGATCCCATCAAACTGACGGCCAGCACCTTCCAGCTGGACCACTGGCTGCGCGTCTCCACGGCCGGGATGATGCTCCCAAAAATGTCCGACTTTAACTGTGAGTTTGACTTTCATTCTGATAAATTGTTGATTCTCGTAGCCATTTCCCATCAGAGGCGGTTTCTGTGAGAGGAACTAAAATGGACAGATAATGGACAGAAGGGAAAGTGGCAGAGGAGTGTGAAAGCCACAGTCGACATGCGATCTGCCCTGAGATACTGGCGTTTTTGTTCCTGCTCGTTTTGACAGATTTGTTCAAAACGAAGAAGGGAAAAGCTGATATATTCATGTGCCAGCTGTCTTTTGAGCCAAACACCTAAGAAATTTGTGAATGTTGTATCAACCCATATTTCTGGAAAACTATAAAAACATTCTTTTGCAGCTCAGGCGCAGTCTAACCTGCTGGGGAAGTGCAGAAGACCCAGAACCGCGTTCACGAGTCAGCAGCTGCTGGAGCTGGAGCATCAGTTCAAACTCAACAAGTATTTGTCACGACCCAAACGCTTTGAGGTAGCCACGTCCCTCATGCTGACGGAAACGCAGGTAACGCACTTGTTATTCATCATAATCATGCAGATTTAGTCATTTCAAGGCGCTAAAATTGATCAAATATGACAACAATTTGTTCCAGAGGTAAAAAAAAACACGTTTTTTTCATTTTAACTAACTTATATGAACACAAACTAAATGTGGGTGAACTTTTTTTTACTCTAAAAGAAATAAAAAATTTTGGACAACTTTGTGGTTTATTCACGATAGAAAATCCTAATTCCGAGTGGAGAGCTGCTCTTTACGCACAATTAGCTACTTTTACGCGTTGTTTTTGAAAGAAATTAACGGAACGTGTGTTAACATGTAATTGGTTCAGGAAATTTGTTTCCGTTTATATTTCCAACAGATCAAAAATATATAATGATCGACACCTGGTGCGTCATCAGACCAAATGGAGATTTGATCTGTTTCTCTCCACAGGTAAAGATCTGGTTCCAGAACAGACGCATGAAGTGGAAGAGGAGTAAGAAGGCCAAGGAGCAGGCCGCTCAGGAGGCCGAGAAGCAGAAGGGCACCAAGGGCGGACAGGAGAAATCCGACGGACTCGAACAATCGGATTATCACAGCAAGACGGACTCAAAAAACGGTCGAATCAGAGACTTCCGGGACAGTGATGAGGACGAGGGAGACAACTTCCTGTACAACTCGTCGGAATGTTCCTCGGACGACGAGCGGAATCACAACAGCGATGTCAGTCCGCAACCATGAACTTGATCTGACTGGGGGGGGGGGGGGGGGGGGGGGTGCTGACAAACGCAGCTGCATGTAATCCAGGATTTTTTAAAACAGATCTAGTCATAAACAGGCAATAAAGCAAGAGACTGGAGAGCCGATAAACTGCATGACCAGGATTTGCAACAATCCCGTAGATTTCTTAGTGCGCCAAATTACGCGTCAAATTTATTTTTCTATCATGTATTTATAAATCGTCCAGTGCATGCATATTGTTTAGCTTCTGCTGTAAATAATGTGAAATAAAATGCTTTTATATGTATATATATAATTCATTTTTTTGCGCATTTGATTCACTTTTAGGGGAATCTATACGCGCGCTGATGATTTACTGGCGGCGCTGCAGCAAGTGTTTCTTCTCTTTGCTCTGACAGCTCGGGTCATGGGAATTACTGCTAATAGCGCTGTCGGATCGGTGCAAACGTGCAGTGGGAGCAAACAGCGAGAGGGCAGTCAGACACAGGAAACATTTCACACCACACCAGCAACGGGCTCCTATAATAACCCATTGAGAAGGCCCGCGGAAGGATTTCTGCTTGTTTTCCAAACTGGACATAAAATATCCTAAAATGCTCTTATTTGATTTTTTAAATTTTGAAGTTATAGTTTGCTTGTGGCGTTTTGAAAAAAATTGCTACAAATTGACAAAGAAAACGGGTAGATTTTGATTTGCAGCTTTTATTAATTTTTATAAACTTGAGAACTTTGGTTTAGGGAAAAATTTGAACCACTTGAACTGCTTTTATGCTATTATTTCAAAAGTTTAAGAAAACTTATATATTTTAAGTTTAATAAATAGGAACGAGAATAAAATAAAAGTAATAAATATGAAGAATTAAAATTTAAAACAAGTCAAACAGGTTTACTGAACAAAACCAAGCACATAAAAGAACATGATGTCTCTGGAAGTTAGGAATATTTTATTTCCGGCTTTCCCAACAGAATATAATATAAAATCCCTTTATTTTCCCTTAGTGGGGATACGTCACAATTACAGTGACAAAAGCAGCAAAATGAGAGAATAAATAATAATACTTAAAATATGCAAAATCCTGAATGTAACATTTTACAAATAAAAGTATACTATAGGGATTAATAACCTTCCAGGTGTGATTTGGGTTCATCTACAGCTGCTTTCTGGTCATTCATGCAGTTTCTCACAGGATTATGGAGGGATCTAATTTAAAGTTCAGCTGAGGGTCACCTGTGAGACTTGGAGTGCTTAGCCTCCCAGTAGCAGGCATGTCCAACACACGGCTCCGGGGTCATTAACGGCCCTCAGAGTCATTTGGGCGGTCCTTGATTGCATTCAGATTTTTGAATGCTTTCTTTATCTCTCCAGCAGGTTGTTGAAAGACAATAATCCTTTTTAACATGTTATGTGTAATATGCAATTTGACACATTTTGAGGAGTATCCAAAAAAATAAAAAAGAACTTCTCAATTTTTTTTTAATGAAAGAAAATCCCATTTTAAGCCAACAAGGACTAACATGACGATTTTGGTCCTCGTTTTGAAAATTTTGGACACGTCTGCTGTAGAGGTTAATCTCTTTTTAAATGAATCTAAAGCAGCTCAGAGTTTCCCTTCTGCAGCAGAGCTAAAATCCTCCTCCTGGTGACCTGAGTGGCTTGTTTCTGACCCCTGGACGCCCAGACTCCATCTTTAGATGAATGCAGGCAACACCAATGCAGCTAATTAATAGGAGCATGTCTCAAATGTAACAGAATGACTCCGCTATGCTAACCATGTGGTGTCAGCTAGCAAACGGAACAGGTTCAGTGTCCGGGTCATCTCATCAGGGAGAGTAAACGGTAAATTAACAACTCAACAGTTGCCTATGTGACACTAAAGTCTCTCTCTCTCTCACACACACACACACACACACACACACACACACACACACACACACACACACACACACACACACACACACACACACATACACAATCAAAGCAATATCTAGACAGGACAAGAAAATCCAATAAGGGGAGCTTTGAAACAGACGATTCAATATTGATGATGCCGGGGCAGCTGTTATTAGATCCATATGTAAGAGGAAAATCTTGACAAACGTGAACATCTAAGAGATCTAGGAAGTAGTTATTATGAATTATTTAAGAAAGCAATGTTAGTTTTGGTGAATGAATGAGAAAAAACAACAAGGTACCCATTGTCTTTTTTTATTAACAAATAAAAAAACAGGATTTTATGGATAAAATATATAAAAATTGCAGCCATTTTTTATATTTGTTGAATTAAGCAGAATAATAAATCAGAAACTAAAAGACCTGCATTCAAATATTTTACACTACAAAGATGTCACTGAAAACATGTTTGTCTTGTCGTCGTCTCCCCCCCCAGCGCACGTGTGTGTGTGTGTGTTTAAGTTTCATAGCTTTAGCGTAGCCTCTCTAGCCTCCATGGCCTTAACAGCGACCTGAGCGTGCTCCGGCAGCACCGCCGCCTGCTCAGCCGGTCCCAGCGACGAGGTGTTCTTCAGGAGGAAGTGGCTGATGAAGAGCTTCAAACCCTCTCGCAGCATTCGTAGCTTAGGAATTCCTGAAACCCTGGTGGGACAATGGAGGATGTTTTAGGCTTTCATTTATAATAGCAGCAAAGAAAATCCAACAGCGAAGAAGCTCACCTCCCAAAAATGTTGACCAGATCTTCTGACTCGGATTCTTTCAGCAGTTTGGTCAGAACCTGACGCAGGAAACGCACCGTAGCTTTGTCTAACTCTCCAAACTCGATGGCCTACAAGAGAAAACCTTTAGATCAGATTATTAAACATCGTGAGAGCTGCTTGTTCACCTCACCTTGAGAACGGAGAGCGAGAGGCACTTTCTCTGGAGGAATCGGGTCAGCAGCTGGACCAGGTTGTTGAAGGAGCTGGTGGGAAGGTTGGACAACTCCCTGAACTTATCCCACAGGCTGAACTGGAACGTCATCTAAGAGCACAAAGATGTACCAGTAATAAATAACCAAACACAGATTACACACAAATACTTCTAAATCAAAGTAGTCTCAGATACTGGGACTATTTAGAAGTAGATACCAAAGAGATCAAACATAAATGTGTGACACAAAAAAATAACTAACTTTCCCACATTTTGAAGGTGAGTAGCTGACATTTTATCGCTAGAGAAAAGAAATTTCAAGCAGAGCTCCAGAGAATTCAAGGGTAATTCGTTATAAGGTGTTTTACCGCCACCTAGTGGTCACATCAGCTTAGTGCTTCTACCAGACACCAAAGGAAAAATGAAACGGCAGCTTCACAAGATAAATGCATATTTATGTTATGAATAAGAGAAAATCCCACCTCCAGTAAATTTAACAGTAAAGATTATTATTTATTGTGGAAATATTAATGAAATTGTCTTACGACTCACAAAATTGGCTGCTTTCTAAAATTAGAAAGCCACAAGCTTGTCTGGTTTTGACCAACAGAAAAAAAGTACATAATTTTATTGGAACTACTGATATTTATCTATTTGTTGTTTTGTCATATGGTGTCAATTTGAATGATTATGAATATTGTGTAATAATAATAAAGTCAAAGTGCTGGGAAAAGCATCAATCACTGCCTTCAAAATCATAGTGAAAATAAATAAATGAATGAATGAATAAATAAATAAATGGTGGAAGAACATTTGAGAAAAAAAGTTTTTAAATAAATAAAAAATTAAATAAATAAATAAAACTAAAAAATAAAACATTTTCAGATTTTCTATTTTATGTCCATTTTGACCCTTTTTCCAAAATTTTATGCAGGAAAAATTATAAAACAATCTGTATGCAAAAAAATAAATAAAGCAAAGAAAAAATAATCTATAATTTCTGCATTTAGAACGCCAGTAATTCTCTCTGATCAGGAACCCGGGAATCCTAGTTTACATGTGAAGAGCAAACATTCCCGGCAGCTCCACTCGGAGCTCTTTGATGGGAACAATGGTCTCTGATATGAGCTGTAGGAAGTGTCTTCTCTCTGCCTCTTTATTTGTCATCACAGTTGAGTCAAATGAGAAGACAAGAGGTCGTTAAAAACTCCCACACTTCAGAGGTGAACTGAAGGCCACACGGATCTCATCAACATAAGGTGTGGAGTGTGTGTGATCTGTTCTGGAGAACTACCTGGAAGCGGCGATCGTGAGAGCAGAATTTCTCTCCCAGTACGGCATAAAAGGCGTTGAAGTTTTTCTCCTGCAGGCAGCAGTCCATCAGAACATGAACTATCTCTCTTTCTTGCTTGTCCTTCAGACCCATCCTTCAGACAAACAAAAGAAAAGAGCTGAAGCATAAAAAAGTGGGTGTAGGGCTGCTCGATTATGGCAAAAATAATCACGATTATTGTGACTGAAATTGAGTTCTCGATTATTTAGGACGATTTTTCAATTTATGTTGATTTTATTTGTTTTTATTCAGTCATAAAATTGCTCAGGGCACAATCAGGACAAAAATAAATAAGAAACAAGATGATCACTAAAAGAACTCCTGATTCCCAGTATAAAAAGACCAATATACTTATAGCTCATAGTCTATGACCCAAGGGCTATAGACCTTGGTTTAACTCATTTAAGTCTAACCAGTACAGACCCAAATACCAATATCTTGCTAATGCTGACAGCAAGAATTATACAGTGGCATTTATAACAAATAAATGCAAATAAATTGATGTTCAAAAAATGTTGCATAACATTTATTGAGTCGTGTCAATGTGCTGTAGGAGAGTGCACTAGCACTGTGTCCTCAGAGAGATTCGTTATTATTTATCAGCGTGAGGAACTTATTTCTACCTTATTTATGAACTATTTATTTACAAGTCGTCCATCAGTTAATGTAATAACTGTCCCAACCACAGCTGCACCCCCAACCCGGTCGCAGCAATCAGGGGCAAGCTGCACATGTGTTTAGCACGCCGCACACGCACATTTAGCCGTTTTTAGTGGCTCAGGAGTCCGCAGGTGCGGTGTGTCACTCACTCTGGTTACTCCAACAGGGAGCCGGCTCAGAGAGCTGTTTCTTTAGCGACCAACACATCACTACATCATTCCCTTTCCTAATGTCCTGAAGAACGGTCCGGAGCGCAGGCGGAGTGTTAAGCTAACCTGCAGGAAATGTCGACGACAGTTATCCAGAAAGTAGCTGAGGGTTACCAGAGATGTTTCTGAGGTGTTTGCTAGATACTTTTAAGATTTAAAAAGTCAAGAAGGGGGTCTGAAACACTGTTGGAAATAGCGTCAAAGTCACCAAGTTGGCAACACTGTGGAGGAGCGCTTCATTTGCAACTCATGGCAGCGCAAGTGGGAGGAGCAAATAATCGGCTTGTTTTGTTTTTATAATCGTTCAAAACTCAGATCGTAATCGTGATTAAAATTCGATTAATTGAGCAGCCCTTGGTGGATGTTCTCTATTTTGGAAGCTGGACCAACTGAACAAACCTCAAGAGTTTCTCAAAAGCATCGATGTAATCCTCACTGGTCATCAGCACACAAAAGATGTTCCTCCTGACTTCAGTGTTCATCCTCTGTTTTCGAGCCAGCTCCAACACTTTGTGACTAAACTAAAGGGAATAAAAATAAAAAAAGTTTATGTCCCCTTAGTTCAGCCCGCCGGGACACGAGCCGCTGAAACTCTACCTGTCCTTCAGCAGGACTCTGCTTTGATGTTGGGTCTCCCGGCTTGCCGATCATGGACGCTCCGCTCCACGACGAGCCCACGATCCACCAGCGACCCACCTGCTCTGCTTTCAGGAGGTTTTCCAAAGAGACCCTCAGCTTCAGGTCACTGCCTGCTGAGCTACTGTGGATCTGAGTATCACACGTTATCCAGGAATTAGTCACATTCATATCAACTCTGATAAAGAGGACCTCGCTTGAGTGATCTGGAAGGTACAAGTTGGACTCTGAGGCCACCTAGTGGTAGAATATGATGACAGACACCGACGAAGGCCCAGCGGTGGCTTATTGAGGAGATTTGGGGTCTCACTTGTGTAGGGAAACACTTTTCTTCGCTGTGCATTACAAAACCTCTTACATTGTCAGTTTGAATGAATTTAGATCCCATGAAAACGACCTACCAGAGTCCGCAGCAGCCTCTTCAGTCTCTCCACAGGCTCAGGGTCATATCCGGGGATCTTCCTCATGTCGTTGTTCTTTAAAGCCAACATGGTCTCCAGCATGAAACGCACCTGAGGGCAGGTTAATGAGCTTCCATCACTCGTTTTAAGAATGAGCTTTCTGCACATGTAATGACTCTTTTTCCTTGGCCTACCCTGGTCTGATCCTTGACCTTTGACCCCATGTCGCTGGCCTTACGCTGAGCCTCAGAGATGAGCTCTTTGAGTGCCAGAGCGTCATCCTTCCTCAGGGCGAAGCCTACATTCCGAAGCACGAAGAGAATCAGCTCCACGTCCTTCTCCGTAAACGTTCCCACCAGCTTTTTCAGGACGTCAAAGATGAGGACGGAATGAACCACCTGGAAGTTGTAGAGGTGAGCGATGATGGCGATGAGGTTGTCACACTCTTTTCCCTCACCAGAGGTTTTGTACGCCTCGTTGAACCTGCGCACCACGGTCTCGAGGAAATGAGCGCCGACCTAAAGGACAAAATGCGATCATTCATATTTGACTCAAAATATCAAAACGTGAACAGAGGAAAACATTTTTACGAATAAACGTGCGTTCTCTCACCTCCAGCCCCACAGCATGATGCAGGACACTAACAAGCAGCACATGTTCCATCAGCAGCCGATCTGGCATCAGCGTCGGGGCCACACAGGCTGCGAGCAGCACGTCGGTCAGAGCGTCGTTCATGTCCTTCCTGCTGCAGCTCATGTACAGCTCCTCCAGCTGGCCACAGATGAAGGCCACGTTGGGCTCACTTAATCTGGGAAGAATGCATTGATGAGAATGACGATGCAAAACTGGAGAATTATAGAAAAAACTTTGCAAGAAACTTGGGGATAATTGGACTTCCAGTAAGCACTCGCTGAAATATGCCTTTAATTAGAAAAACTACAATATTTTAATATTAATTTAGGCAATTTTACATGTTTTATACATACATTACCCAAGAAAAGGGGGGAATAAATGGATTTTTTATTTTATTTTAAGGGTTTATCAGTCCTTGAATCGGCTTTTGTACCTGTTCAGTAGGCCTTTCACATTCCGTCTCAGTTTATCCAGCTCAGCTTTCCGTTTATCATCTCTCATGTTACGCAGGTGAGGTGGCACATACTTCCCAGCTGTAGAGGCAACCTTAAAATTTTAAATAAATGTATTATGGTTAGATCAGCTGTACAGATAGAAATACGCAGACACAAAAAATCTGTAGAATCTGAACTCACTGCTTCTAGTTTTGAGTCAGGAATGCCAGCTTCTGCCTCCGTTTCCTCCTCAATCTCCTCATCTGAATCTGCATCGTCTCGCTCATTCAGTTCATGGTTGCCATCATCCATTTCCTCCTCCTCATCATCACCCCCCCTAGTATCCTCCTCATCGCCACTGCCTCGACCTTCACCTTCATTTGACCCCTCAGAGTCAGTTTCATCAAGCTTCTTAAAATTCTCTTTGGCCATGTCCATCTCATAATCCTCGTTATCTTCATCATACATCCCTGCTGCTGATGAGCCGGAGTCCAGGACACCCAGGACGAAGTCAAGTCCATCGTCTACAAAAGACTGTGGGAGGGTTTTTTTGTTTTTCCTTTTGTTAAACCCCAGACATCGCTCCAACTTCTTTATCTCTCTGTCTTCCTGTTCATTTGCCTCCAGTAGCGCCATTTTTCTTGATTCTTGGAGCTTGTTGACTTTCTTATCTTTCTTGGACTTGGATTTAGTTGCAGAATGGTCAGTGGATTCATGAGCAGGTTTGCTTGACTCTTTTTTAGTCTCTTCCATGTCTGGTTTATCAGATTTCTTGCTGTGGACCCGTGGCTGACGTTCAGCATTTGTTCCTGAGGTTTCACCATCACTAGGAGCCAAACAGACATCCTTTTTGCCTTCGTAATGACTTTTCATCTTAGCTTTTTTCAGTTTTCGCTTTTCTTTGCGTAATTCCTTTCTGCTTTTCCTTTTTACAAATCTCAGCCCATGGCGGTCACCCTCTGTTTCTTCCTCACCACTTTTGCTTTTAACGAACTCACCTACAGCCACCATGTACTTCTGTAAAACCGCGTTGCTTTTCTTCTTTTTGCTTTTCTGCTTCCATTTTCCTTTCATTTCAACAAATTCTTTGTTTCGAATAAGTTTCAATAAATTAAGTATGAAATGTCTGCAAGGATGTTAAAGGTAGCACAGAGAATGAAAATATGCCCTATTTTGATCAAATAAATACTTGAGACAGCACATGTACCTCCATGATATGACGCACAACATGTGACGAATACCTTTAGTGCACGTCGCTTAAATATTACGTCATTCATTTTGAGCCCCCCCCCCTCCCTTTTTTTAAAAACACGGAGCGCTTTGACTTCCTCTTAAATTAGGTTAGCCTTTTTACACTTTACTGGCGCATAAATCCGGCTAAAATGTATAGCAACCGGAAGACCGAGAATTTCTTCCAAAATTGTTTGCCTACAAGATGTGTCTAATGCCATCTTAAATTATACAAGTCAATGTGATCTACTTTAGATTTGTGAACCTAGTGGTTGATAACACACCAATAACGCCGCACTCGCTGACAATGCTAGTCTGCCGTTAACCCCGCCTACGCGATGTGCCGCCGCTACATGCGCTGGCGTCTAAATAATGCATAACGTTTGATGTTAACTATCTTTAACCAGCCAAAACACTTTGTACCAAGCAGCGGAGAAGGAGTTTGAGCTAGAATGTAGTTAGGCTGTAGCTTCTTTGTTTTTCCAATATGAAGAATGGAAGAAGACGATGTTACTATAAGAGAGCAGAATTTTCACAGCCAAGTTCGAGAGTACATTGTAAGTATCCGTAGTTAGGTCGCTAGCACCGTCTATTACATATTAACGGAAGCTAACGTTAGCATTTGGCACTTAATTAGTTTGATTTTGCTGTGTTTGCGTGATGCCACGGTTTATTTTCTCCCCAAATTACCACATGCAGCATAGTCTGGTATTTTAAATGTAACACAAATAATGAGAGCGTTAATAAAATGAATGAAGTTAGCTGCTGCTAGCTAGTTAGCGCAGCTAGTTTATTTTTAAAGAAATTGTTTCAAGCACAAATTTCAGAAAATTTACAAGGGCGCTCGTTATCTGAGTTTTAAAAACTGGATGTAATCTAAAACTATATAAGGGATGCTAATTTTTCAATAACACACTTATGCGTTTACTATGTTTCATAGTATGCTGTTAAGCAAAGACTTTCGTCCCAAACTAACTCTAGCATTAATTAGAGACAGACTAATCTCTTATTTGTTCATATGTTGATTTTGAGTCTTATTTCGATATTTAATCTAAAGAAAATAACCCCCTCCCTCCTACAAAGAGCTATTGACATTAACTGGTACAAATATAAAACCTATTTTGCTCCAAACAAGATGCTTCTTTCATATGGCAGTACATCAGAGTTTTATGGTGTTTTGATGCTGACACATATTCATCTAAAAATAAATACAATAAACATTTCAAGTGGGGGCACTTAATCTACAGTGAATAATCTTGGTTATTCATGTTTTGTATAAGCACTTGTGTAAACTGTCAAATGTCTCACATTCAGGCAAGCTCAACATTCCAGTTTTAGCTTGTACACGTTGTCCTGAGCGTCTCTTTACTTCTGTCTCTCAATATCCCATGTCCTTATTGAATCAAGCTGTGTGGTGCTGTGATGTCAGTGTATCAGTTAGTAGTAGTGTTTAGGTGAGTCAGTTTCTGGGTGGATTTCAGCAGCCGTCACAAGGCTGACATTTGTTGTTGCTCATGTTATTTTAGTAGTTCAGGTTACTCTGGGTTAGGTTTAACGTTCATAAACACGATTCAGTGATAAAACGAATGTTTTCAATAGATTTGAAGCTTTGGAAAGTATTAATCCCAGAGTGGATCCTACTGGATTATTATTTAAAAATATGTTGACAGTTTAGAGCAAATCAAACCAAGCCAGGTGACAAGTTATTGTTTATAAATCGATTGATCTTCCCTTGCGTTGGTTGTCTATCTGTTTCAACCAATTTATCAAGACTATGCATCTGGATCATTCTGGGTACTGGCGGACTGATGCAAAATATGTCTTTTCTTTGTTTTTATCCAGCCTTGCTGGGTCGTCTCAGCTCAACCATGATCATTTGTGTAGTGTTGACAAGGTGCAAAGTGCTGACATAGGAGGTTCTAACATTAGTTACATCCTGGTCAGTGTCCCAGTCGGAAAAAAGGAATGTGGAATATGATCGTTCTGTAATCCAACTTGTTTTGAGTCTGCGGTAATTTAATTTTCTCAGACCGTGGAAACAGAGTTGAAGAGTACTTTTACTCTCATCACTAATGTAGATTATATGCAAGAAAGGCTGATCAGTTGGGAAAAGTTTAAAATAAAATTGAAGGAATTCATTTTTTCCAGAAAAAAATGCATGCACCTAATTCACTGGCAGTTAATGAAAACCCTGGTATTTCTTGAAGAAATGCAGTTATTATCTATTATGAATTAATGGCTGTTTAAGTCAAATATTTAAACCAGTGTTGATAAGCATGATCTTAGAAATTTTCACTGGAAAGTATCAAGGAAGTCATGGGTTGAATTCCATTTCTGTGCATACCTCTAGATGGAATGTAGCTCATGTTTTTAGACTAGTTACATAGAAATCTTGCAGGTTTGCACAAACAAAAACATGCAAACAATAATTTCTGTTGATTGGTTTTTAGCTTCAGTAATTTTCTTCAAAAATGAACACATCAGTTTATTTTATTATCAGATTAACGAATAGCCATACAAGCCCACTCTTTATTAATAACTGTTAGGGATGTAAGCAAATATCGATACATTGAAATATCGCAATATTTTCATTTTTCATATTTTCATCATATTGTCATGATGCAGATAGATTCATCTCAGAGAAATTCACAGACTTTATTTTTAAAAAGCTTTTGTTGTTTTCAGATCTGCTTTCTCCTGTTTGCTGTCCTCTACATTGTGTCCTATTTCATCATAACCAGATACAAGAGGAAGAGCGGTGAGTCTTCTGCAAAGTCTGACATTTAGGAACTTCTGTCTTACCTGTCGTTTTCTCACAGATTAAAGTTTGTTTACCTCTTTGTTTGCTCAGAAACACAACTCTTCATTGTGTTTAGATCGAAAAGACGTCAGGGCCAATAAATGATGAAAGTTTATGTGGTGGACCACACCCAGCCATGTACAGCAATCTGTCATTGTTACTGCTGTGTTAGTGTGAACTAGATCCTCCCTCAGTGGACTCAGAGCTAAAGTACGCAAACACAGTTGGTCACAGAAACACTGTTTTGTTAATGTGGACATATTTTGCCCTGTATAAAGAAAAATAAAGCAAAAGAATCAGACTTTGAACAAAGACTTCAGCAGAATATTGTCTTATATTCCTAAAATAAAAGGTCACCCAGCTACACATTTTACTTTGAAGGAAGGTCAAGCTTTTACTCAGAGCCAGATTTTATGCTTGGAGTGTAAAATTGTTGTAAAAAAAAGAGATTGCATTAGCTGCACTTTTTGATTAAATGCATAACTCTGATGAGTACACTCTAAAAATGAGATGTTGAATTTACTTAAAGGTTGAATATGGAACGGTTTAATAAAATGCCATATTTAAAAAAAAAAACGATACCTCCATGGAGCATTTTGAAGTGTGTGGAATGAAGATACAGTATTTCCTTTCAAATCTATATTTTAATTAAAAAAAATGATGAAATATTTAATTTGGTGGGCACAATGGGTCTATGTTTACATCTTCCAGCCAATAGAACCATTGCAGGTTGCCAAACAGTCTGCTCGGCACTCGAGGCTGGCACTGTGGAAAATGGCAGACTCGGCAAGTCATGCAGCTTCTTCTGAGCCCAGAAGATGTCGTTATCCTTTTGTGAAGAGTAGCGACCGTAAAAGATCTAAAACCAGAGTGAGTTTAGGTGAAGCCTACAACTAGGATTGGGCATTGTTTGATTTAGAACTTTTCCAATTCCAAATCCTTGTTTCGATTCCGGTTCCTATCGATTCCCGATTCCGATTCTTTCAAGATTTGACATGTTTTAAATGAGCCAGCTAACCACAGGTTCTACTTGATGAAATAATCTTAACTTCAACATGAATTTTAATTCTATGAACAATAACATCACCTTCATTTAGACAAAAACATGTTTTGGAGAAAAAAAGAAAAAGACTTGCAGCAGAACCAGTGTGTTTGTTTCTGACCACAACCAAAGTCAGGAAGAAGCCTCTGGGATGAGAGGCTACATGTCGTCATCGTCGTTTTCCTCCGCTTATCCGGGTCGCGGGGGCAGCATCCCAACTAGGGAGCTCCAGACCGTCCTCTCCCCGGCCACCTCCACCAGCTCCTCCGCCAGGACCCCAAGGCGTTCCCAGACCAGATTGGAGATGTAACCTCTCCAACGTGTCCTGGGTCGACCCGGGGACCTCCTGCCGGCAGGACATGCCCGAAACACCTCCCCAGGGAGGCGTCCAGGAGGCATCCTGACCAGATGCCCAAACCACCTCAACTGACTCCTTTCGATCCAGAGGAGCAGCGGTTCTACTCCGAGTCCTTCCTGAATGTCCGAGCTCCCCACCCTATCTCTAAGGCCGAATCCGGCCACCCTACGGAGGAAACTCATTTCGGCCGCTTCTATCCGCGATCTCGTTCTTTCGGTCATCACCCAAAGCTCATGACCATAGGTGAGGATTGGGACGTAGATCGACCGGTAAATTGAGAGCCTGGCTTTCTGGCTCAGCTCCCTCTTCACCACGACAGATTGGTTCAGCATCCGCATCACTGCAGATGCTGAACCAATCTGCCTGTCGATCTCCTGATCCCTCCTACCCTCACTCGTGAACCCGAGACCCGAGATACTTAAACTCCTCCACTTGAGGTAGGACCTCTCTCCTGACCCGGAGTTGGCAAGCCACCCTTTTCCGGTCGCGAACCATGGTCTCAGATTTGGAGGTGCTGATCCTCATCCCAGCCGCTTCACACTCAGCTGCGAACCTACCCAGCAAGAGCAGAAGGTCAGAGCTGGATGAAGCTAGGAGGACCACATCATCCGCAAAAAGCAGAGACGAGATTCTCCTGCCACCAAGCTCGACACACTCCACACCACGGTCGTGCCTAGAAATTCTGTCCATAAAGGTAATGAACAGAACCGGTGACAAAGGGCAGCCTTGGCGGAGTCCAACCCTCACCGGGAACAGGTCCGACTTACTACCGGCTATGCAGACCAAACTCACACTCCTGTGGTAAAGGGACTGAATGGCCCTTAGCAGAAAGCCACTCACCCCATACTCTTGGAGCGTCCCCCACAGGGTGCCCCTGGGGCCATGGGCATAAGCCTTCTCAAAATCCACAAAACACATGTGGATTGGTTGGGCAAACTCCCATGCCCCCTCCGTCACCCTTGCAAGGGTATAGAGCTGGTCCACTGTTCCACGGCCAGGACGAAAACCACATTGCTCTTCCTCAATCTGAGATTCAACTATCGATCGGACCCTCCTCTCCAGTACCTTGGACTAGACCTGTCCAGGGAGGCTGAGGAGTGTGATCCCCCTATAGTTGGAACCAGTGGCGGGCGGTGCGTTCCACCCCTGGGCCTTCAGTGATTTCCTATTCAGTCCAATCTAATTTAATACACCTTAAAATACCATCAATAGGACATCACAGCTGAAGAAACCACACACACACACACGCACGCACGCGCACACACACACACACACACACACACACACACACACACACACACACACACACACACACACACACACACACACACACACACACACACACACACACACACACACACACACACACACACACACACACACACACACACACACACACACACCAGTGGCTGGGCAAGACGTCATTTCCGGAGCCTTTAAAATCAAACTCGCATTCCCAATTGAGGGTAGGAAACTAAGACCACAGGTACTGTCGAATCTCAAAAATGAAAGACGGGTTTAAGAGATGAGACAATAAAATAAATAAGTAAAGCAAACACATTATTTGCAATTGTTTTGGAGAAAATGGCACCGCAAAACAATGTTGGCGCAGCAGCTTACACCACGTCATACACAATATAAATTGCATAGAAACAGAACACAGAATTATTTCATTTAGCCATTTTATTTCGTTACCATTTATTGATTATTAACAAAATAAAATGACAAAACATTAAAAAATACTAATGAAATGTTTCTACTCACCTACATAAATGTCCAGCATGGATCTCCTCTCCTGCTCATTTGAAAATAAAATCCATCCTTCTTTCTTTCCTGAGGAAAACCTCAATGGCTCTGTACTGTTTATCCGTGTGCTTCAGGTCCATGAGTAGGTCCTTTTCTATGGACATGGAGGCTAATGCTGAAAGCCGTGTCTGTCCGGTCGTGTTTCTGGCGTACGTTTTAACGCGCTTTAATGCTACCAAATCCATCTGATGCGAGCAACAGGCATTCCCAGCAGAATAACCTGCAGCGGTTCTCTGAAGCTGTTTGCCATGGGTACCGTTCATAGTTGCTTGCCTGAAAATGACGAACAAATCCTTTCCCCTGCTGGGTTAAGCCAGCTAGCATTGGAGTCGGACGACCTGTTCTCACAAGATCCATTTTTTCTTGAAAGGTCCGTCTTGAAAATGGTGTGGCAAGTTAATCTGCAACCAAGTCTGTCTCTTTCAGCCATCATGTGTTCAAAAACACACCGATAGCTGCCTATAGATACAAATCTCCGTATTTAGTTTTGATATTTTGCTTAATGCCCCTAGAAAAGTTCTAACTACTGCTTATCCAGTCACAGGATGCGTTCATGTCAACTTTTGCGTGAGGCCAGCTAGCTGGCCTGGGCCACGCTGACTCGTGAGCTGATTGGCTATCGCAACTAGATCGTCTCTGTTCACTTACAGCGGACAGTGGGCTTCTCGATTGATTCTGAAGGCCTAGGGCAGACTTAATCTGCCTGAAAACACAAGCTAGCTTAAATCTGATTGGATAACACCCAACCTTGGTATTTTAACACTGGAAGCAGTGCGGCCAAGTGGGTATAATAGGATATAAAGAAAATAGACCAGTAAACATTTTTTTTATTTAAAAATATTTACCAAAGGAAAAAAAAGACATTTATGCTTTTGAGTACGTTTAGGCCAGCAGAGAAGGCTTTGCTGGCCCTGACTGCCCACCACTGGTTGGAACACACCCTCAGGTCACCCTTCTTAAACATGGGGACCACCACCCCGGTCTGCCACTCCACAGGAACTGCCTCCGATGACCACGCAATGTTGCAGAGATGTGTCAACCACGATAGCCCTACAACATCCATAGCCTTGAGATACCCAGGACGAATCTCATCCACCCCCGGGGCTCCGCCGCTTTGTAGTTGTTTGACTACCTCAGCAACTTCTGCCAAAGAGATTGGACAGTCCATCCCCAGGTCTCCCGGCTCTGGTTCCTCCTTGGAATGCGCGTAGGTGGGATTGAGGAGCTCCTCAAAGTATTCCTTCTACCGTCGGACTATAGCCCCAGTTGACGTCAGCAGCTCCCCATCCCCACTGTAAACAGTGTGAGCGAGTTGCTGCCTTCCTCTCCTGAGGCGCCGGACAGTTTGCCAGAACCTCTTAGGAGCCGATCAATAGTCTTTCTCCATGGCCTCACCAAACTCTTCCCACGCCCGAGATTTTGCCTCGGCAACTGCCACTGCTGCACCCCGCTTGGCTATCCGGTACCTGCCTGCTGCCTCTGGAGACCCGCAGACCAGCCACGCCCTATAGGCCTCCTTCTTCAGCCTGACGGCTCCCCAAACCTTGGTGTCCACCAGCGGGTACGGGGGTTTCTACCATGACTGGCACCGGCCACCTTGCGACCACAGCTAGCAACAGCCGCCTCAACAATCGCAGAGTGGAACAAGGCCCACTCTGAGTCAATGTCCCCCACTGCTCTCGGGACACTGTCAAAGCTCTGCCGGAGGTGGGAGTTGAAGACCTTCTTGACAGGTTCTTCTGCCAGGTGTTCCCAGCAGACACTCACTATGCGTTTGGGTCTGCCAGGTCTACGCGGCATCTTCCCCTGCCATCTTATCCAACTCACCACCAGGTGGTGATCAGTTGACAGCTCCGCTCCTCTCTTCACTCTGGTGTCCAAAACATACGGCCGCAGGTCAGATGATACGACTACAAAGTCTATCATCGACCTGCGACCTAGGCTGCCCTGGTACCAAGTGTACCGATGGGCATCCTTACGTTCGAACATGGTGTTTCATATGGCCAAACTGCTGCTTGCACAGAAGTCCAATAACGAAACACCGCTCAAGTTCAGATCAGGCGGGCCGTTCCTCCCAATCACACCCCTCCAGGTCATGCTGTCATTGCTCACGTGAGCATTGAAGTCCCCCAGCAGGACAATGGAGTCCCCTGATGGAGCACTATCTAGCTCTCGTCCCAGGGACTCCAAAAAGGGTGGGTACTCTGAACTGATATTTGACCCATAAGCACAAACAACAGTCAGGACCCGTTCCCCGACCCGAAGGCACAGGGAAGCTACCAGAGTTGGATGAGCCCATGTGTCCGGTTCGGGCTGTGACCGACTGGGCCCCATGGTCAAAAGCCCGGCCACCAGGCGCTCGCCCACGGGCCCCAACCCCAGGCCTGGCTCCAGGGTGAGACCCCGGTAACCCTCCGGGCCGGGTACTCCGACTCTTCGATTGTACATCCATGAAAGATCCTCTGAACCGTTCTTTGTCTCACCCTTCACCTAAGACCAATTTTATGTTTATGTTTATGTATTTAGCAGACGCTTTTGTCCAAAGCGACCTACAAGTGATAATCGGCATATTGCCCTTGAGGCTAACAACAACAATAACAACAACAACTTGACATCAGTCATGGAGAGTAGGGAACCAGGAGTGGACAGTAAAGAGGGGGGACGGGTGCAGGCAGGGTGCTAGTTAAGAAGATGCTCTCTGAAGAGCAGGGTCTTCAGGAGTTTCTTGAAAATTGAAAAGGAAGCCTCTGTTCTGGTAGTGCTTGGAAGGTCATTCCACATTTGTGGAACAATGCATGAGAAAAGTCTGGATTGTCCTGAGCGTGGTGCAGACACTGCTAGCCGACGATCCTGTGATGACCGGAGCGACCGGGCCGAGACGTAAGCCTTTGCAAGAGGATTCAGGTAGATGGGAGCCGTACCATCTCGGACTTTGTATGCTAGTGTTAGCAATTTGAATTTGATGCGTGCTGCTAGCGGTAGCCAGTGGAGCTCAATGATCAGAGGGGTGACGTGTGCTCTTTATGCCTGATTGAAAACCAGATGCGCCGCTGCGTTCTGGACCAGTTGAAGAGGTCTCACAGTACAGCCTGGAAGACCTAGCTTAGTGAACTAGACCAAATTCTTGCTTCGCAAAGAATGGTCTAGGCATGCTCCATTGGAACCTCAGCAGCTCCTACCAGGACTCTGGCTAGCCAATCACAGCTCTCTAGAGGGGTTTCAAACACATAAAGAGCTGTGATTGGTCCATAATGGTGGGCCAATCATAGTGCTCTATCTGCTTAGTGAACAAATCACAGAGCTTTATCCGCTTTGTGAGCCAATCAGGGCACTCTATATGCCTGGTGGGTGGGATGATGCAACAGAGTGAAACAAGAGTATGTCACATTCATTGTCCAGTGGAATGCGGAGATCATTTGAAAGACAACGGTAGAACCCACCCCACAACCGAGAGCTGTCAATGGAGCGTGGCCAGACTAAATAATACATTTATTTAGTCTGGCTTGCCAGGCTATGGAAGACCAGTTAGAAGGGCATTGCAGTAATCGACAATTTGTCATGGGAGACCCTACCAGGGGCACAAAGTGCCCCAGACAACCTAGCTCCTAGAGGCTAAATGTCTCCAACATATCCAGAAACGTCCAGCTGTTTTCAGCTAAAATTTAGGATGATCATGTCCAGGATGACTGAGAACTTCACCTCCATGCTGCAGCAACATTCAGTTAGAACAGAAAGTGAAACTTAAACGTAGCTGCTGTCAGTACCAATCTAACAGATTTTAAACATTCAAACTCACAACAGAATAGTTCAAAAAGGAAATTGAAATGTTCACAACTTTGTGTGTGATTTATTATTATTGTTACACAAGTGTTGGTTAGCGACTGCGTCTGACTGCTGACGCTCCGTGTGTGTTTTTATTTCTGCAGTGAGACATACTCACCTCACACCGTCCAGTGTTTGTTCTTTAAAGCTTCTACGTTAGCTTGATTTGTTAGCTTCCGTTGCACTAATGGTGCGTTCGCTTTCTCCTCGGAACTCCGAAATTCCGACTAGAAGAACATGAACGTGCACTAAAGTTTGGCTGATTGGGTGAAGATGAAACCAGTGACAACGATTTAAGTGTGAGGCATCATCGTTTAAATCTGCTCCAGCAGTTAAATAAACTGTTTAAGATAACGTAGCTTGATATGTTAGCTTCCTATGCCACCATTGTTATCAGCTAATGGTACGTTCGCTTTCTCCTCGGAAATTCTAACTTCCCAGTAGGAAAAATCAATTGAAAAAGGACGGTAAAAGGAATGAAGATACACAGTAAATTTAGTTCACAGTATAGATGTTTGCTTCAGTTTAATTATCAGCTTATAAAACTACAAGGACGATGTTAAAATACAAACAGTTGTATGTTATTTATCGTGATATTTATCAAATATGGTTATAAATTGAGAAAAATATATATCTAATTATAAAAGAGAATTAGAATAATAAACACTCAAAAGTATCGAAAATTGGTACCGTTAAGTACCGGTATCGATTCGTAGGTACCGGGAATTAGTACCGGATCGATTCAAATGTCAAAGGTACCCATCCCTATCGGCACATCCCTATCTAATAGTATATTGTAAAAGTGGTAAGTTTATGGAGAAAAGAAATTGTAGTGGTTTTTATTGTTTAACAAAATTACTTCATTGAGAAAAAACTGCTTTTAAACGAATGAACGAACGAATGAACTGTGTGATAATGTGTTTACCATTTGCTCCTATTGTTTAGACATAGTGTTGCTGTCTTTGATTTATGTGTGGCTAGCATTAGCCTTACAGGGGACTAAGGGCTATGTGTCTATATAATCTTACATATTTACACGTGTAAAAACCTATATGTTCTTCAAAGTGGCAGTGTGTAGTTTCCTGCCGCTAGGGGGCAGTACATACATTTCAGGGTAGTTTTACACCAAATTGCCATGACTGTTGCTAGTTTAAGAAACACTACGGCAAATGTTAGCTGTAGAGCAGAAAGCATGCAACCTCGGCGTGACTTCTTAGACTTTGATGGTCCTTTAATTATTTCCATCGAGAGAATGCTAAGTCGACGCTGGTTTTCTGGGTCTGTAGTTTCCGGATCTGCTTGGGCTCCTACACTTGCCAATGACGTCATCATACTGCGGCAATATCACTCCGCAAAAACATATCGTCTCTTTTTTGATTCTGTTATTTATTTCTGTTATTTTTATTTCTGTTATTTCACATAAGTTTTGGAAAAAGGTTTGCAGTTTTGTTATTAAATTCGTGTTTCTTACTGCCTAAAAGTTTTCGAACATGGTAACGTCATAAAGTCATATATACAGCCAATCATCTAGTGACGTCATCCACAGGCGCAGGACCCCAAGCCGGCCAGAAGGAAACATGGCCTCTAATATGTGATCCCCCACTAGACACTAGCCCGATGTACTTTAGACCTGATTTTTATGGTTATTTGGTACAAAGCCGCCAATGTTTTTCAACAACTGGACACCATTTTGTTCATTTTCCACAACGTTTTGATGGATATTTCCAGAGATTAACAGTAAAAACTACATATTGTCTCAATGCCCACTGTTCCCTTACTAATAAATCAGTGTTAAGTCCTGAAATGATAATGAAACTTTTTCATTACTCCCATAAAAAGGAGCTGAAGTGTAAGAAGTGTTTCCATAGTGATCTGTGATGACTGATTCCTTTACAGATGATCACGAGGATGAAGATGCTGTTGTCAACAGAATATCGTGAGTCTTTATTTCATTTCTATTTGAAATTCCACAAAGATGAATGAGCGTGCAAGTAACTGTAACTACACAATACTTGAGTTTGTGTGTGTGTGTGTGTGTGTGTGTGTGTGCACGTTTGTTGTTTAACCTTAGAGCTGATATGTTGTGGCTCTTTAGTTTGTCTCATTGCTTGTGTTTAATTTTGGTTTGCAGATTATACCTGTGCACCTTCACACTGGCAGTGTCTGGTGGTGCAGTCTTCCTTCTGCCTTTCTCAATCATCAGTAATGAGGTCCTCCTCTCCTTCCCCAGAAACTATTACATCCAGTGGCTCAACGGCTCCCTCATCCACGGTCAGCACTTACTATGCCTCTTGGTTTATATCCTGCTCTTTATCTGAGACCTAAAATTCAGACCTCTCAAATAAAGTAAATACTAAGGATGTTGCGATCACGTTTTTTTGCTTCTGATCCGATTCCGAGTCATTTGATTTTAAGAATCTGCTGATGCTGAGTCCCGATTCGATATTTTAGAAATGTATTTAGAAAAAAGGAGACAGTTTGCAGTGCACACATTACACGTGTTTATTACACTCTCTTTGCTGTTCATTTAGAAATGCATCCAAAATACAGACATTTTCTCTCTTTTGAGGTGCAGCTACTTTTAAAAAAGGCTTTTAAATGAACGAATGAACGAACGAACGAACTGTGTGATAATGTGTTTACCACTTGCTCCTATTGTAAACGAATTGGCTCTGGTTAGCTCTGTGTTAGCTAACTGCTACATGCTATGGTGTGTGAATTCCCGGGCTATCTTAAGTTTTGGGACTTATAGCGTTGTTGTCAGTGAAACAAGAAGACTGATGTACAGGAACTTGTTGAATTTAAAACTAAGCTATTGTTTTTTCATCAGAAAATGTCTTTCTTAGGATGAATTTAAAAAGTAATGTTTGTTGTTTTATACGGTTAAATTCGATTTTTCTCGCCAATTCCAATTTCCTAAAAATCACGTGATTGGACCCGATTTTCGATCATGTGATCGGATCAGAGTATTCCTAGTTAATACAGCCTAAATATTAAAGGATGATATGCTGCATACAATATTATCCTTTATAGGAGTATATTATTAACATTTAAATATACTTATATGTACCCCAAAGGCGCATAAGGGGAAATAATATGGTAAAAAATAGTTTTATTATTATTATTATTTATAATTTGATGTCATGTGAAATCTGAAATTTGCACAATTGAAATGAACTGAAATGTTTTGAAACACTTCATAAAACAATGATTATATTTACACAATACAAGCACGCTCTAATGTGTCAGAAAATGCTTCTTTTTTTTTTTAACCACAAGTGCTAACAGGTAAAATCACTTTTTAGAAAAACATCTGGCAATTTAGGGTTAAGATGCTTTAAATTCAGGTTTTATGCCGTATTTAATTTGGCTGTTAGCATCATTGACGTCCACCAGGTGGCAGCAGAGTCTATCTAGTGTAAACAGTAAAGAACCTGTCTGATAAAACAGATATCTGGTAAAGGTAAAGAACCTGCCTGATATATATGTCGATGGATAAAACCTGTTATTTGTAACTTTCTTTACCAAGACCCAAAAGAAACCAGAAACAAACATAAAATGGGTCAGATTGTCATTTTAGAGCCGAAACTCATTTATAATCTACTTCTTTGTGTTTGCTGCTGTTTTTCTCTGTTTGCTCCTGCAGGTCTGTGGAACCTGGTGTCACTGTTCTCCAACCTTTGCCTTTTTGTCCTGATGCCGTTTGCATATTTCTTTTTGGAGTCCGAGGGATTTGCTGGATCAAAAAAGGTACCGTTTGTCTTTATCGCCATAGAAAAAGTTTAATTTATATTTTTATTTTATTTTTTACATCAAATATATTCATGAAAATATTGTTGGGAGGCTTCTAGGCTTCCAAAGTCCAATATCAATAAATAATTTTGAAAAATCACCATAAAGATGATGCTACCATGTAGTGGGCAAACCGGTCTAAAAATTGAAATCATAAGAGAAAATATTTGAAAATGGTTTTTTTAGTTGATATTCATGCAAACATATTTTTTCCTCTCAACAACCAGCAGCAGGTGTCTGGTCCATGCCCTCTCCTCCACTCACGCCACCGACTGTAACAGAAAGCTCATTAACCACGAAAGTCTGAATCTGGTCTTCGCTCAGCACCACATCCTGACAAACCTTTTCAATGAGGCCATCGGCTGCAAACGCTTCAACGCCGCTGCATCGGCCCCACTGATTTAAAGCCTGATTCCTTGTCACCCCCCCTCTCCTGCCTCCTAAAATAAAACTTCAAAAGCGCAGGCTAATAATCGAGTTGTAAGGCTCAGCGAACTTCCTCATTTAATTGATTACCCCCCTCCCCCCTTCCCTCCCCAAAAATAAAAAGGCTAGGGGCTCGTGTCCCAAAAGTCCATAAAGTTGCAGAAACATGACAGGACAATAGAGCCTTGCAGAACAGAGCGGGGACAGATTTACTTCTAATACTCCTCTATCCTGTGTCACAGTTTGAGACCTTTCTGGTTTATGTCCCTCCTGGCCAAAGCACATAAAAATTAGCCCGATACTGTAGTGTAACGCCAGCTTTCTTCCTCCCCGACCCACTAATTTGTTTCGTTTGGATTTCCTCAGCGGACAGCAGGTCCTGATGTACAGGAAGCAGGGCGAGGGCCTCTCTCACGTCTCTTTTTTTCTGTCCTTTCATTGTAGAAAGACTGTTTTCTGCAACAAAGCTTCCATAAATTTCCTCAGAGGAAGCACTGTTCAGTGTTGAGCTGCACTTCTAGGTATATATTGTCTTAAAGAAGGGAGGGGGAAGGAGGGAGGATGACAGTCCAGTTTCACCCCCTCTAAAAAAAACCGAGCTGCTTGAAAAGGAAATAGTGTGGCTGACAGCGAGAAGAGTGTAAAACTCAGATGTAAGATTTTATAATGTGATTTTAGCCTTTCATCCAATAATAGCATTTAGACGGAGATGTCATTAGGGTTTATGTGGCATGTTAACCTCCTCGGCTTACTCCGTAGCGCTGCGAGCTCCCTTCGGCTGCGGAAATGAAGTAAATGATGAACTTCACTACCCACGTTGTAAGTCAGCCTTTTCATGTGGCCGTGTTTACGTTTGACGATGTACTAAAATACGCCAACAGAATAAGGATGTAACTGTGGATGCTCTTTTTTTTTAATGTTTTTTTTAAATGTTCAACTCTTTAGAAGCTCTGTCACCCGAGTGATTAACAGTTTAACAAATTGTTCAAATTGTGGATGAATCGGAGGGACTAAGGGGTCGTGATGTCAGATGTTATGATCTAGCCTTTTAGTTGCTGCTGTAAAACGTCTCCCACTTTATGGCTGTGTTCTCAAATGTTTGCTTGAAAGCTGCATCGCCTCAGTCGCTAAAGCTTGTTATTAGATTACGATCAGGCTTAAAGCTCTGGTGTGCTGTTTATATTTATTTATTTAACTTGTATTTTATGAAGATCTAAACCGCTTAAGACGTAACATCTCATTTTCAAGCAAGTCCTCAAAATCGGCAAAGTAGCTAATAAGATGGCTAAATCATTAAAAATTCATGATTACATTTAGGAATCAGAATGTCTCATTGGCTAGCTTAAATTGCTACTTGTTAAGATTTTTGCTGGTTCGTTCACAACAGTGGACAACAAAGTCCTGCTTCAGAAAATGGGATCATATAAAGTGATTTTACAAGCTTTATATGCTAGTTAAGTCAATTAAAAGTTTATTGTTTTCTTTTTGTTTCTAGTCTGAAGCAATAACTGATTTTATTTTGTAACTGAAGTTGGGTTGCTAGAAAAATAAAGCACCTTCCTCACAAAGTTTTTCCTAAGACCTGAATTTAGCGAGCGTCTTTTTGGCCCTAACCGGTATTGAAATGTTTTTGATCCTGAAACGAGTTGGAACGAGTTTGACCCCATGACTGACCCAGCAGAGGGCCAACAGGTTTCATCTGGTAGTTAAAGAAACTCCTCATCAATCTCATCCTAAGCCCTAACCCGCCGATGATGAGAAGTGTGTTTATTGTGGAGGAGGAGGAGGGGGAGGCGGGGGGAGAAAACGTCTCGCCGAGGAACCCGTTTGGTGTTACTAAGATACTCGTCTTTGTTGGAGCTCCACAATGGGGGCTTGGATATTTATTTCAAATCTCCTGCACATGCAGACATTTTTCCCAGGCCTTCTTTCTGCCAGGGCCAGCCGGAGAATATAAAGTGGTGTTTACATACCTTCCTTTAAGGTCACAGTGTTACCCTAAAGCTGCCTGTTACAAGGTTCGTCGCCACAGCAACATATTAGCTCAGAACGGGAATTTTAAAAAGGACAAACAAGATTTTCCTGTCCTTTCATGACTCAGTTTTTGTTCTTGAAGACCAAGTGAAAAGTTGTGAAACTCGACTGATTTCTGGACCAAATTCTTAGTCGTTTTTGCTTAAAACGAGACATCAGTCACTCAAATTGTATTAAAAACTTTGGTTTTAAAACTGGAGGAAGTGGATTACTCATATCTGATTCCTGCTTGTTTGATAAAAAATAGAATATTGTACATTTATAAATGGTTTAATGACTCGTTCTGATATTAAAAGCTGATACTACAACAGTTAAGGAAATCTGATAAAACAAACTCTTTCCTCCTGTAAACTCATGTGGAGTCCTTAATCTTTAAGGGAAACAGAGCTGTCACCTTCAGAGACCTGGCTTACTGCAGTTAGGAATATATGATTTAACCTGATATTTTTTCATTTTCCTTGCTCCCAAGTAATTAAGAAGTCTAAAGAGTCTTTAGAAGTAAATTGCACAGCTTTACAGGGGAGGGTCCCTCTTTTCTGCTTTCTGTCTCTGACACAGTCGTTGCACTGCGGCTGGCCGTCCGAAGGACACGCTAATAAGGTCCCTGAGCATCTGGCATGTCTTTAGCAGAGCGGACAGTCCTTTCGCAAAGGAGTGAAAAGGGCCCTGCCCCCTTCCGCACTTATTACGCCTGTCGGGCCACGTTGCACGCTTCCCTGACAGTCGGCAGAAGGATGGTGCGCGGGATGATCTCTGCCACCACCTGCTGACCTGCTAAGGATTGATGAGAGCAGCTAGGAAGCTCCAGAGCAACTCTGTTCCTTGTTTTATTTTGTGTGTGACTTTTAAATTCACCATTTAGAGGAAAACACAAACACTGAATCAGTTTACCCACATCTCACCTGAATGAATGCAGAGTTGGATTTAAAACGCCCGCTTGTGCGTGTGTGCTTGGCCGTGCATGCATATTTTCATGCATGAGCGTTTGATGGTACATATTTTCCACTCCACCTTTTTCTTAGAAGTCCCCGGACTTGTAAGAGCAAATCTGCAGTTAAGCAGCCCCTCTCTCGATGTCGATGCAGGATCAGGGGATGCTAAATATTTTAGAGCTGCTATATTTAGAGGTAGTTACACATTTAGAATAGCAAGAATAGAAATGTTCAGCGGGCACCCTGGATGCCGAAGCACAGGTTTTATTTCCCTTTTTTCCCAGCCTTCACCAGCTGACGGCTTCATCTTTATTCACGGTTGGTGATGAATCGTCTCAGCTTTTTTCTATTTATAAAACCTACTCTTTTTACCTTTTGTGATCAGGAACAAAGCCTGCTTCTTCCCTTCTGCTTTTAAGTGCAGACCAAACTTTAAGTATGCAGTGTCAGTTATTTGTCTTGTTGGGTATAATCCTGTCTGACACAGCGGATTGTTCCTCCAGCAAGCTAATGTAAATGAGGTGATGAGCACTGCCTTTGCCCTAAATGGTCTGAATGTGGAATGATTTGAGTCTTATAAATGATTGAAAGCCCTATCTAAAGGGAATATACCTTCAGCATGGCATGGGCAGCTTGAGTGGACACATGTCCTACCCGTCTACTCAGCGTGTTCTGATGTATCCTTAAGAGTGCACGTGTGGGACATGGCTGAAGTCCCTGAAAGCATTCCTCTCTCACCTCTCCGAACTCTGGGGAATGAGATCTGCTTAGACGTTGACTTCTCTCTTCTGCTGTCTGCTGTCATCATTCTTCTGTATTCTTCTTCGTTTGATTTCTTGGTTTTTATTTTCATTCCTATGTACCTGAGCAGCTGATTCATTAGTGTACCTGTCTGACTAGTGTGTGAATTTCTATGATGTATTTATGAATAATGCTCACCCAAGTATGTCGAGGTTTTCTATACATGCTGAGTAAAGGTCCCCGTACACTCGCCTGTAAAGTTGCTGCAGTGTCCTTAGTGGCCACATTGGGGTGCTCTAGATCCTGCCCATTTCTTTTGTTGTGCTAGAAAATTCTACTCTGATGCTTTTCCAGAAGAACACTGTAAGTGGAAATGAGAGGCATGTAATTGCTAAATAATGGCATGGGGATTCTACAGGGTTTGATGTGAATAAGCCCTTGTTTGTATAGTTTATTAACGTTGGAGGCACGGACTAAGATGTAGACGTCAACTCAGTGACACAACTTGTAGTGCAGATATCAAAGGACAGGTGTAATAAAACTGTGTAATGAAGAAAATTGTATTATTTAAATCTAAATACATTTCCATGTTATGACTTTGATTCGTGAGGAAGAAGAGGAACATGTAAGGAACACCTCCCACCCCTTTCATGTACTTGTTGGCAAATACTGGCCAGCAACCACAACATCATTATGTTAGCTGGTAACAAATTGCTCACATGCACCCAATTTAAGCAACTCTCAGAAAGCAGAGCACCCTTGTTATCCCCTTGCTTGTTTGCCTACCTGACTTGTGTATGGGAGCACCAATCTATCTGAGACCAGAGTGTGTCTCCAGTAAAGGAGGGAGGGAGGGTGTGGAAGCTGTGAGAACAGGTAGAACAGGGACTTTATTAACCACTCAGCAGTTTGTGACCCGGAAAACCCAAATTACCCAAAAACTCTCTCGCCTGCACGACCTGGGACATGACCACAGCACTAATCGGCCCCATATGGGAGGTCTGCTCTTGATCGCAGACAGTAGCTATATAGCCCTTTACAAGCACCCCCCCCCACACACACACACACCTCCCCTTTTTAATTTCACCGCTGCCTCTATCAGCCTCTGTTAGAGCCATTTTATAGACTACAATATGTGTGTATAAAAGAGGCATTTCACACAGAAATCCATGGGAGCTTTTATGTGATGTTTGTGTAGCGTTAGTGGGAGGCAGGATGGACGGGGAATGGTGATTTCCCTTAAAGTGAAACTGTCGACTGCTTCAAATTTGTTCAGGACCAACTGTGAACAGCATTTTCAGAGAAGTTTTGTAGCAAAGGTGATCTCTTTTCTTTCTTGTTGAAAGTTTAAGTATGTTAAAAAATAGTCGTACAAGATATTTCCTCTCAAAACAGTCACAGACTCATAGTAGGTCAAAGCAGTGAAGTATCTGAGTTATGTCTTGCTAAAGTGTTGCATGCACCAATTTGATGTGATTTTAGGGGTTGGATGGAAAAGGGGATGGTGGACAAAGTCATTGAATTAAAGCAAGTGAAAATCAGCAAAAAGTAGTTTTTCATTCCATATAAAACATTTCTGAATCAGGGGCGTGTCCAGGAGCCACCCCACCGAGTTCCAATTACACTGACTTTACATTGTCCACAAAAAGCTTGTGTACTTTTCACGTTGGTTCCTATCCATGGTCAGCAGAACATTTCTGGATTATTTATTGATTTGATTTTCATATTGACATAAATAGTATTTAGAGTTCTGGTCCCAGTCGTACTCCACTCCAGTTGGTGGCAGTGATACACCAATTAGAGTGGGTACTAGGGGTGGGCAATATCAACGATATAAGGTAGAAACAATGTAAAATTGGGTTATGATAAGTTTTTGGCTGTACCGCGATATCGCGATAACACATGATGTCACTAAGATGTGCACCCGCGCCAACATTGGAACAGCAGAATGGCAGTGACTTCAAGCATGTAGCTGGAGGAGGAGGAGCATTCTACACTTTTTGGACATCTTTATTCTGCTGCAATATATTTTCCATATGAGGATTTTTTAAAGCATGTCATTTTGACATATATAAACAAAAGAAAAAATATATTGCAGTATATATCGCAATTGCACATGTCTCAGACTATATCGCAATATAGATATGAGGCCATATCGCCCAGCCCTAGTGGGTACCACTAAATAGTTTAAAGGAGGAGGAGAAGAAAATAATAGAGAAAAATGTTCATGGCACAATGTGAAACATCCAAATTCAGTAGAATGCAAAAACAAAAAAAAATAATAATAATAATAATTTTGTTAGTGACGACTAGGGATGTAACAAAATATTGATATGGCAATATATCGTGATTTTTTTCTGCGATATATCAATATTCAAGAGCCTTGTATTGAATTCTTGGAAGAATGTACATGCAAACATTTGTGTATTTTCTTTTCTTTTGGTGCAATTCAAATGCCGACAACTAGTTGGCAGCAGTGTGCAATGTGTTTTGTTTCCACTATTGAAATGTAAATGCCTCTATTATGGTTCAGATACCTCACGTTAAACATGTTACTTATCGATTTGGGCTGTTTATTGAATTTTCCTACAATAAATTCAGTCTAAAAAAATCTCTAATATCGTCTGGCTGAATGTATCACAATATATCGTGACTAGGGCTGGGCAGTAAATCGAAAATGTATCTTTATCGAAATTTCTGACTCTTATTGAGATCATTTTGATAATAAAAAAATGAAAAGATGGGAGTAGGTTGGCAACGTTCATGTCCCTTTTAAGAAGCTGTACCACCTTGAGTCACGTGACAGCTCCATCTAGTGGACAACTTTTGTTTTCTGCGCATACCTGTAGTTATCGTCCATTTATCATTATCGAGGTGAAATCATTAAAATATCGTGATATTAATTTTAGGCCATATCGCCCAGCCCTAATCGTGACATATCGTAACGAACCCCCCCCCCCCCCCCCCCCCCCCCCCCCGGGTCAAAAACATGCATAACCATTAGTGCCACCCATGAATAAACAAGTGCCCACCTCATTTTAAAAGGCCTGGGCATTCTACTGCTATGAAGTCAGGTGATTGTAGCCGTTAAGTATCATATACGTTAATGATCTTATCATTCACGCATTTTATTTAGAAAAGTAATTATGTTGTGCCCATGATAGCATCAAACTGATTGTGCTGAAATTAGAAGCATGAAGAGCAAAAAGACAAAGAAGTGAGTCTAATTCAGATTGTAACTTTTTGTTTCCTACCAGGGCATAAAGGCACGTATTCTGGAGACGTTTGTGATGCTCTTCCTGCTGGCTTTGCTCATTCTTGGCATAGTGTGGGTGGCATCAGCCCTAATCGACAATGATGCAGCCAGTATGGAGTCCCTGTATGGTATGTGGTCTGAAATGTTCACCCTTATTTGCATTTGCATCAGTTTAGGCTAAAACATCAGTTTGATTGTTGTGTTTGGTCACTTAATCTAAACCTAATTCTAGATTCCATCATCTCGTTGGCTTTTACAGAAGTTATATCCAGGCCATGTACCCATTTCATCTACAGCTTTACCGTTTCTAAAAGTCTTTGGTCAAGACATCAAACTCTTACTGCCACCAACAAACAATGTTTTGTTTTTTCTTAGAACTGCACAAGAAATACTGAAGCACTGTCAAAAATATGAAATCCACCCAAGAGCTTGCAAATATAACTCGTCCTTTTCCGCAGATCTTTGGGAATTCTACCTGCCATACCTTTACTCTTGTATATCTCTGCTAGGAGGCCTGCTTTTACTCAGTAAGCTGATTTATTCCAAGCATATTAAAACAATCTGATTACCAACACTCGCTACGCTTAAGCACAGCTGTTATTCATAATGTATTCTGTCTTTTATGTAGTGTGTACTCCTGTAGGATTATCCAGGATGTTCACTGTAATGGGCCAGTTACTCGTCAAACCAACGGTACGTAATTCTCATAAACATGTCGTATATAAGCTGAAGTTAAGGTCCTCAGCAACAGATCTTAACTCAGTCCAAACTGCTTTTCCTGAAGCTTTTTAGGTGTCCATTGTAATGCAGAACAGAGGACTACAAATTCATCACCTACTCATCCTCCCATTTGCCATTGCAGTCCCACTTTGGACCTAATTATAACCCATTTCATCTTTTCCTTCTCTGCCCCCTCCCCGTTAGATCCTAGAGGACCTAGATGAGCAGATTTACTGCATCCATTTGCAGGAGGAAGCCCTTCAGAGGAGATTAAACGGTATGTCTGTGAGAGGCGTGTTGGCACATTATAGGCAAGGGTAGAAGTTGACTGCACTATTGGGTGTGACAGAGCAGGCCACGCTGGAATCAATTAGCATTGAAATTTCAGCTTGGCTGACACGGACATTGACTAACAATTCACACACACACACTCAACACTGGCTTTTTCCTAACACCGTGTCACTCTTGTAACTTTTCGCTAAAGGTCAACGCTAACGCGGTGGCCCTCTGGTTTCAGTTTAGGACGATTTTCAGAAGGAGCCATTTAGGACACTCCAGAGCTACTGTCACTGCTGCTGAAGTGGCTGCCTCATTTAACATCTGGCCTAGAGTGTTATCCCAGTTAATAGGTAGGAAATTAAATCTTTTTATGGAATTTATGGCGTGCTGCGGTTGACATTAAGGAGCAGTTTTTCAGTGATCTCTGAAGAGCACCCTGAGACTTTTCTTCATGCTTTGTATGCCCAGAGAAAGTTTAAAGAGTTGAAGAATGGTAAAAATGTTATTTTCCTAGCCTGCATTTCCGTCTCATGTCCAGCCCTCTGTGTTCCCCAAAATCCTTTTTTGACGTTGAATTATCTCAAAAAGCAGGAAGTTGGGTTCCTAAACCTACTTTAATATTAACTCAAGCACGCAACCGAGTGTACAGATGTGAGTCAATGAAGAGGACAAGCGTCCTTTCAATCCAGGAAGGCAAAAGAGATCCCTCCCTGATAGCGCATGTTTTGGAACGCACCGCCTGCCTTCTCCATAGACGGTCACCAATGCGTACGGTCTCTTCAGGCTCATTCCACGTTGCCCTGCTTTGAACCAACTCATAGAATAATTTTAATCTTTTCCTTATCGTCTCCAGGACTGTTTGATCGTTACAAGTCACTGTGATGGGAAAAATAAAATAACTGTGGTCACCACATGTCTGAGTGTTGACTGAGGCCACACTGCAGTTCGTTTTTCTTAGTAAAGAGGGAGTTTAGAGGTGACGGAGGATTTTGTTGAGTGGAAGACAAACTTCGGCTTATCAGACATGAGAATGTTTTTGTGCACATACTCTACGCTTTGCACATGCAAATGCTTGTTGTCCCTGCTCTCATGTTGGTGAAACTGGAGGCTGGAGTGGCGTTCCTTTGATCTCAGAATTAAGTAGGAAACAGTTCAGGAACAGTTCACAGGACACACTTCAGAGACGGCGATGTTTTCTTGCTTCACCTGTGTCCACTCCACATCAAGCCTTTCTAATAGATTGTCCTCTGGCCTAGTTTGTGTTTAATAGACGTGGACCGTTGAGCATTCAGGTTTATTTTCATGACCGAACCTTTGTTCTCCTCCTACAGGCAGCTGTCCATTTGCAGTGTTTACAGTTTAAATTGTGTGGATCAGTACGCCATGGTCTAAACAGCCTTAGTAGCCATATGTGTCTTAATGAAGGGAAAACCGTAGGAGACATGTCTGCAGACACCATACCATTTTATTTAATTACAAAATCTGTGATAAAATAAAATTATTTGGTTATCTGGTGAGCATACAAATGGTTTAATTTGGATAATAATGGAAGAAATTGACCTACGATGGCACAGGAGTTAAGCTCGCCCCGTAATTGGAAGGTTGCAGGTTCAAGCCCCGCTCAGTCTGTCGCTGTCATTGTGTCCTTGAGCAAGACTCTTAACCCAGCTTGCCTGCTGGTGGTGTTCGGGGGGACCGGTGGCACCTGTGTACAGCAGACTCACCTCTTGTCAGTGTGCCCCAGGGCAGCTGTGGCTACAGTGTAGCTCATCACCACCAGGGTGTGAACGTGTGTGTGAATGACTGTTGTAAAGCACCTGGAGGGGTTCCAGGACTATAGAAGGCGCTATATCAAACAGGCCATTTTACCATAAGTGTTTTTTTTTTATCACAACTCATAATTATTTCTTATTGAAAGTGTTTGGCTATTGTTCTGCTATCAACTTTACAAAATCAGGTTTACTGGCAGGTTGTAAACAGTTTAACAAAACAGCATGTTAATTAGAAACACCGTATTGCTGTTTGCTTTCCATAATCATAATTAGGTGAAATTTTGAATGACATTGTTGACATACATAGATTCAGTTTATGGTAAAACCATTTCAGTTGGTGAAATGTGGTTAAATCATAAAACTTTGATTTCAGAAAAAAAAGTGGGATTCGGGTATAAATTTTAATTAAACACAATCAAAAGAATTTCACAGGACCCTACATACAGGTTGTAAGAGAGAAGCAGCTGAAACAGCCATGTCATAGCAGCTTATTATTTAATTATTTAAGCAAGAATCTGCTTTTGTCAAAAATATTTCTAGTTTTTAAAATGTCTAACTTTGTGTTGTGAAATAAAGATGTCAGATAAACAATGACTGTATATTCTTCAGACAGAAAAACACATATGACCAAAAATGAATTTTAAACTGGGATATCAGAGAAAATGACAAATCTTTGAACTTTGATTTTAAAATGGCTGCACTGGCTTCCTAATGTGACTTTTTCTCAATAAAAAAGTAACATCCTTCCCTCAGTTTGTAGTGACCAGTAAGTTGGTTTACCTTGAACACCTTTGAAAGTCCTGCAGCACAAGTACATAATTATATTCTGCTGTAAAGGCAAAGTGAAGCCCTCCCGTTTTCAGACCGTCCCCATGAAGACCCTGATGTGCTGAAAACAGAACAGCACAGAACTCATCCAGATGCTCTGCGGCACGATGACCTTGCTTCTGCCTCTGCCGTCTCAGCGTGGTGTTTAGCATATTTGTGGATGACGTAATTTTTTGACTGGATGAGGTTGGAGAGGATATGTTGAATTACTCTGAGCTCTCCTGGCTGCCAGAATACTAACTCAGCATCTCTGCCTCACTGTAACTCAGTCTGTTACTTGACGGTGCCAGCAGAGGGAGAAGAAGGATATATGTAACTTCAGAAAGGAATGATGTCATTGAGGATACTGCAGTTGAAATTCTCACTGTTTCTCTTTGCTGCTTGAACAACTTCTGATATAGTACTTTGTTTAAAAAGGAGTTTTCGTTTTTGGAGATTATTAAAGGTCTTGTTTACTGAGAAACGTATAATACTTGTTCCTTTTGAAATTTGATTGGTCTCTCAAAGTTGCATGTGCATGCTGAATGTGAAAATTTGATTCAACCACGATCGCTTGTATTAGCCGCAGAAAGAAACGTCCCTTCTACGTCACTGAGAAAATTAACAGCCATGGACTCGCTGACCGCTGAAGGCTGTGCGGATCAAGCCGGTAGGAGAGAGCAGAGCGTGTCTCGGCTAGTAGAAGCCAGGGTTTGGACTATAGGGGAGCTAGGGGGAGCCTGGCTCCCCAAAAGGGTGATGGACTCACCTGGAAGCCTGTAACTGATACACCCAGGGGGAGCCCAAAATATGAACCTGTCACCCCCCCCCCCCCCACCCCCACCCCCACACACACACACACTCTCTCCGCTTCAGGCATTGTACTAAAAGTGATCAGATGGATTTATCTTGGACATAACTTGCTTTTTATTGTGATTGAAGCCACGATAAAACATTTTTAACAAGCCTCTCCTAAAGGTTTCTGTCCCCAACAGTCCATGCGCAGTCTCTGGTGATCGGAGGTTCAGCTTTAATGGACAGCTGCAGCGCTCCAGTTTGCCGTTTCAGCTGATTTTGTTCAAAAAGCAAAACTTACGGCACACGTTTACTTTCATTTTCAATATAGTTGTCGGCCAGAGCTTGCCATTAACTCCCTACGTCATCATGACGCCTCCCTCTTTTGCGCCAAGGCACAATCGCTGTTTATAGGATTGACAATCACCACAATATTATTACCAAGCGAGGCGGAATGAATGCTGCAAAATTTGCGCAATGCCATGACGGCGTGGCACGTTTATACAACGCACTGTTGCGGTAATATTACGCAGATTTGCTGGCGTGTCTTGTAAAAAGGGCTACACACACACACACACACACACACACACACACACACACACACACACACACACACACACACACACACACACACACACACACACACACACACAGAGTTTTAGAGGTGGCAGTCTGACGAATGACTTCTCGTGTAACTTGTAGAAATAATACAGAAACTGAAGTGATGTTGCTGTTAGCCAGTCAGAGGTCATACCTTTGCAAATCGTGAATAACAATGAGTAAAACTCCAAAAGCTGCCGTTTCCACCTCCTCACTCCTCTGAAAAACTTCTACTCCCAGAAACAGGAGTGCGAGAGATTCTTTTACACAGAAAACTACTGACAAGACATTCATTTATACCGAAGACTACAGCAGATTTATGGAAATAAACTGGTGAATTAAACCTTTAAGAACACTGATTTATGCCTCCATGTGACATCTGAAGCTGTGTTTTGATGTACTTTGTGAAAAGGCGATAAGTTAGTTACCTCATGGCTGAGCAGGTTTGGCTTCCCCTGAGGCTAAGTACTTAGTTCATATTTGAAGATGAAGCGCCAACTTGAACTGTCCTTGACACTTCCTGTTGAGTTGTGACTGCATTTGCTTGGAGGGTTCAAACTTTCCCCTGTTCAAACTCTAGGACAGCTTCCGTGTCTGTGAAGCCTTTGACATACAGTTTTAGCTTGCTGTCTGTTCATCTCACCTCTTTAACTTATTAAACTCGCCCAGACAGGGTGTGTCTTAATGACAGAGGAAAGAAAAAGGCCCGATCAAAGTGATTGGTCTTTCACTCGTGTAACGGAGATGAAAGATGGTATTTTTATTGCACGCTAGTAACGGTGTAACACTGAACTAATTGGTTTTGATCTGCCAATCACCTAAGGGGATGCAAATGGATACTCCGACTTGGGCTTCACAGGGCCTCTGTACTAGTGTGTCAAGCTGGAAGGAAAACAGAGTAAACTTCATAAATTAGCTATAAATGAGCTGGCCTTGTGGTTTTCCCGGAGAATCCCTTGCTGTCTTATCCAGCCCTCTCTACTAGTCGTGGCATGTGCTAGACAGCTCCTGACTCAAGAGATTATTTTGACTTTGAATTCTCATTGTAGAAATTTGAAGTCTTGTGTATTGAACAGGATTACTTGTTTTGATGGGATTGTCTAATAAAGATAACAATACCATGTTAAGACAAGACAGAAAGACAGAGGTAAACATCCTATTGTATTTACAGTAAAGTAGTTTATAGTTAAGAAGTCTACATACCAGGGCCCTCGTTTATAAACCGTACTTAGGAACAGATCTGTGCCTATTTCATGTGTTGGAGCAATTGTATGCATTGTGTGGTATTTACCATCTTGTGCCTAGAAATGTTCCTAAATATGAGAGAAGCTCTGACCATGCGTACAAACAGCATCCAGTGGTAGAGAGGTGGAACTGCAATACCGAAGGTCTCAGTCGTGTTCCTCATCCTCAAATTATTTTACTCCTAGATATTTTTTGCAATGGCGTGAGCTGTTGGCCGGTCTGATGTCAAAGTTCACTTTCAAGAACATCGACTCCTGGAAAGATAGTTTATAGAGGCGCTCACACTGGCTGATGTCCATTTCATTAAGTGCACTTGATTAGCAGCACCTGGCTGCTTGCTTGTCCTTTTAAAGCCTGTTTGTTTTTTAAGGCAAAACGAGACAGAGCTATTGATTCAATGCAGCTAGTTTCCATATCTTCTGTTGTTTTATCCCTACAGGGTCGTCTTTACACACCTACATCCGAGGAGGCTTTACTCACCAGCTCAACAAAGATTTGGAAAATATTAGAAATCAGAGAAATAAACTGGGTAAGTATTTCATTGTTGTAAAACCTCGGGTTGCGACGATGATGTATGCCAGAGACGCTAGCTTTTTTACATATTGCTGACAGGCTGCTGCTCCCTCTTCATCTGCCTTAATTCTTAATTTGGACTTGGATCTGAACAGCCTGATAATTTTCCATCCATTTTAGGATATTATAAATGAAGCCCGAGGCTTTTGGGGACTGGGGTGGGGGAGGGGAGCACAAAGGCACTTAGGATATTGAACAAGATGCAAACTTTATATTGTAGCAAGCCTTTTAGTGATGTCATTAATTTAGAAGGATGGTGCATATAAAGTGCACTTGGCAAACTTCTCGGGCATCCAGTCTGAATACACTTTGAGCACACAGAGGACTAACGGGGTTGGGAATCGAGAAAGACAATCAATACGGCAGAGACAAGAGGGCAGTCACACACACACAGTGTAAGAGAAGAGTGTACATTTAGGAGACATAGTGCATGTGGTTTACAAGCTGTCAACCGTGTCTACAAACATGACTGATCAGCTGTTGAAATACGAGGTAGATATAAAATTGAAATGTTTCATCTGGCTTGGAAGAAAGTCACATCAGTTGCCCACCACACACATGCATATTAAAACCAAAATATAAATCAAAGAATTAATTTAGTTGCCTTTCTTTTTATCTGGGATTTATTGCTGTTTTCACTAATTAAGAAAATGATGAGTAGAGCAGATTAAAGAGGAAGAGCGTCGGTTAGTAGTGAAAGTTATGAAACAGATATGACCCGGAGCCTGTGTGGTTTGTGAGGAGAGGTGAAGCGAGGTGTGTTGGGTGCACACAATATATTTTACCAAAACAAGCAGTACAAACCCTATAAATAAAGTCAGTGGATTATGGTTTCAGTGTCAATAAATCACAGGTGGAAATTTGTTTGTAATGGAAAAATCATCCTGGAAACGTGTTCCTAAAAAGTTTGTTGTGCTGACGTTATTGAAGATGAATGAGCTGATATTTTGTTGCCTCTTAGAAAGAAGAAAGAAAGCATCGGGATGGGAGAAGAACTTGTTGTATCCTATAGTGATGCTGATCCTCCTTGCAGGAACGGTGAGTGTGCACACTGATTCATCATTGAGGCTTTACACCGAAACAAACATAAAACTGGCTAAAATATCCCCTTAAGGGCAGATTTTTTTTCCTCTTTGCATAACCCATTCTCCAGAAGTAACAACAGCTCCTCAAAACTCTTATCCTCATTGAATCTGGGTGGGAAAACTACTTTTTCTTAATGGCTGTTTGAGACGGCACTGAATAGCCACCTGCAACAATAAATTACAGTGTGGGAATGCTACTTATGTCATCTTTTACTGTCAAATAAGGCTGAGTGGCCATGTGTGAGGCATGGCACGTGCATAAGGCCACCTGCATCGCATTGTTGGAGCGCTTTACGTTTGCAAAATAGTTAATTCAATTCAATTCAAGTTTATTTATATAGCGCCAAATCACGACAAGAGTCGTCTCGAGGCACTTCACGTAGTAAACATTCCAATACAGGTCAGTTCATTAAGCCCATCAGTAAAAAGTTTCCTATATAAAGAACCCAGCAAATTGCATCAAGTCACTGACTGGTGTCAGTGACTTTACAGCAATCCTCATATTAAGCAAGCATTTCGCAACAGCGGAGAGGAAAACTCCCTTTTAACATGTAGAAACCTCCAGAGGATCCTGACTCAGTTTAAAGAGCAAGTCACCCCCTACCAGAGTCTAACTCCACTCCCACTTCATGTTTGAAAAATGCAACAAATGCTGTTGCCAGGCAGACCGAGAGGGCGGAGCCGCTAACAAATACACACACACACAGGCTCACAACGGCATTGTGACATCATAATGTACCAGTTTACATCATAGCATACCTCTTAGCCAATAGCGGTGGCAGATTTAAATTCAAATACAGTGCAGAGTTTTTGCCTGACAACGGCACAACACTGCCAGTTTTAGGCAGAATATTTACATTTTAACTAAGATGCACTGAAGTGCCAAATTATTGACGACACGTGTCTGCAGCACGATTAGACACTCGCTTATTTAGTTTATCAGCAAAAAAAAGTTGATTTGGGGGTGACTTGCTCTTTAAGCAGCCATCCACCACGACTCGCTGGGGATCGAGAAGACAGAGCAGACACACACACACACACACACACACACACACACACAACATATATACCAAGTAGTGTTTCTATGGTTACATTGTGATTTCTTAGTAAATATTCTATTTGGTGAGGTAAACTTTATTGTATTTATCCTAGTGAATCTATAATTAAACAGGTAAACTAGCAGTAGCGCATTCAATGTCAAGGAAAGTAAAGTGTTATCATCAGGAGAGGGAGAATGATTAAATGGTTAGCAACAGCGTTCAAGACGATGGCCCCCACCATGAGGGCACCACAGCTCAGCAGAACATCATTGTAGCTTCTTCTGGGGAGAAAAACAGTTAGAGAAAAAATAAAGTTAACAGCTGAAATAGCAGGAAATAATGCAGTTAAAGAGCTATTCGTAGAAGAAAGCAGTTGAATGTGGAAAGTGGTCAGTATGTCCTCCAGCAGTCTAAGCCTATAGCAGCATAACTACAGAGATAACTCTGGATAACCTAGCCTTTTAGATGGAGGCATGTTGGAGGCAGGGCAAGGGAGAGCCATCTTTACCGACTGTACACTCCACCTCCCTCTACTCCCCCACTTGTCCAGATGTAGGCCAACATCAGATTTTAGCCATAAGCCCTATCAAATAAAAATGTTTTAAGCCTAGTCTTAAAAGTAGACAAGGTGCCTGCCTCACGGACTAAAGCTGGAAGCTGGTTCCACAAGAGAGGAGCCTGATAGCTAAAAGATCTGCCTCCCATCCTATTTTTAGATATTCTGGGAACCACCAGTAAACCTGCAGTTACTGTACTTTAGCACGCCAAAGAATCAGGAAGGCAGCTGCCATTGAAATATATCAGGATTGCAGATTCTTAAAGGCTTTGAAAAATGCTTTTAAAGTTCTAGAACATGGATTTTTTTCCCCACCAAATTCATAAGCAGTGTGTAACGTCAACGCGTTTTACCGCAAGCTTGGCAGCACGTCCCTTCCCATCGGGAGCTTTTCAGATGTGAATTGAAATTTTGCCGGTTAACGAGATAACAAGCGAAGAGAATTTTTTTTTCATGTTTGAATTCTTGTCAAGCCTGCTCCGAACTGCTGAGTTTGGCATGTTCTGGAAGCATCGTGCATAATAAATATGTCCGAAGTGTGTATTCAGCGGAGTGACGGGACTCTACGTTTTTGGGATGCGTCCAAAACACACTAATGGTGACTGTTGAGTCTAATTTATCCTTCTGCGTTGGTACGGATTCACGCAATGCCGTTATCCATCTTTACGGGGGCTCTCCAAAAAGCACACAAGGACGGACAAAGTCGAGTCCGCTTTAATAAACATCCATCGAACAAGACTGAGAGTGCAAGCTTGTGATTGTCCTGGACACCACTTCCTTAAATTCGTCAACAGCACCACCATTGCCCCCTCAAAAAAATAAAAAGGGAGCCCAAGATATCTAAAGGCAGACACAGAGCAGCTTTAAGGATGAAAATTTGAACGTTTTTCACCCGTGACTGGAGGAGTATAATGATACGCAGCAAGCATTTTATTCGTGGACAGAAATTATGGGAAACGTGGGTTTAGAGGTGGCGAGCACATGAAGAGGTGGAGGAGAATGAGGGACTAATTCATTTGTGTTAAAAAGTCTCTGGCTTTAGCTACCCTTTGTGGATGTTACCAGGTACTTACGTGTCTGGTGGAAAGCCAGGTTTAGTTGTAAACGAATCTGTATTTTCTCTTGTGTCTGCAGACAATCTCTGTTTTCATGGTGGCTCTGAATATCCTCTACCTTCTAGTGGATGAGACTGCCATGCCCAAGGGTTCAACAGTAAGTCCTCTATCCAACTGCAGTACATTTCTCTCTCTCTCTCGCTCTCTCTCATCGACACACACACACACACACACACACACACACACACACACACACACACACACACACACACACACACACACACACACACACACACACACACACACACACACACACACACACACACACACACTCAGAATGTAAACTGCAGAGGAGCGTTGCCTATCAGACCTGCCATGTCCTTGGCGGAGACATAAATCAAATTCCGGATATGCTCAGGTGCTTGTCAGAAGAAAGAGCTCGACAGATGTTAATCGGGTTCAAACTGTGCTTCTGGTTTTGTTTTGGAAGTCTATTCAGAGTCATTTCACAGCAGCGCGCAGATTCAATGAGCTTGCTACGTGTCTCGTGTCCACAGTGATTTAATAAGCCGCTTTTCCCTCCTTGCTGCAAAGGCAAGAGAAGGGCTCTCAGAATGTGGAATGGCCTTCAGATTCCCATCTTCACACAACATGCAACGCGTTTTAAGCTCTCCGTGTCTCACCAACGGGTGCATGCGTGTGCACGTGTGTGTGTGTGTGTGCACGTGTGTGTGTGTGTGTGTGTGTGTGTGTGTGTGTGTGTGTGTGAGCGTGTGTGAGCAAGCGTGTGCACTTGTGGTTTTTATTCTTGTCTGAAAAATGGCAACATTATGTATTCTATTTCTCCCACATTAAATTTTGCATCTCACAGCAGCTTACAAGTTATTTTATTGCAAATGTTTTTATATTTTTTTGTTGTTTTTTGGCAAGACGCATCACAGAAAATCCCCCAAATTATGCCTGTCATGTAGCTTAGAGATGTCTTCCCTGATAGTATGGCCCCATTAAATGTTTTACACTTTTGTTGAGCTGGATGGATGCCACACCTCTGATCTGATCTCATACAGCTATGAGGAGGTGGAGGAGGGAAATGACTAGTCCTCTTAAACAGTCAATACTGATATGAAATCCATCCTTCTTTAACCTGCACTCCATCCATCATCCTCTGCCCCTCTGGCACAAAAATCCCCTCTGCCCATAGTCAAGGACAGTGCAGAGATTGTGTTATCAAGGAGGAGAGAGAACATCTGGTTTGATGTCTGGACATGCCACTACACTACCAGTGCAGGGAGAAGCAGACTGTGGGAAAGTCAAATGAGGCCCCGATACTCTAATTGTTTTAGGAAGAGAGCACAATGAAAGTGTCCTGTCAACGTTTGTCTTCCCTTCCAACTAAGCATCCCGCTGCAGTCTTCTACAGACACAGAGTTGTCCCGCTTAGCTTTAAAGAGCAGGAGCCAGCCGAAGGTGCTACACTGGCACAGCTTGAGTCAGCGGACACAGAATGTTACAGCTTCATGAACAAGCACTGAAGGACACTAATTGAATTGTTACTGCAGGTCCTTATCTTTGGTAGCCTTCACAAGTCTACATTGTATTTTTATAAAACGGACAGTTACCACCCCTCTAGATTTCTCAAAGTTGTCCAGTTGTTTTATCCAAGACATTTTTATGCCAGGTCCGAGCGGAGCCTCGGGCCATTTCCTAGTGGCTTTTGCAACTTTCTTTTTACTTGTCAGATTAACAAGAAATATATTGTGAAAGTGAGCTTCTTAAAACATATCAGATATGGATGAACAAGTTTAGGAAAAGACAGAAAAGTGATTTCTCTGATTGGAATTGCGATTTCAAAAATGATTCAATATGACCGAACCACCAAATAGTTCCCGAGCGCAGCCGTGTCTGCAACTCACCGCTTCCCATGGGGATGGGTCAACTACGGAGGACAATTTTCACCACACCAGTGTGTGTGACAACTATGGAACTTTAATCTTCACGATTATCTTTAATCCAAGCCCCATCCCAATGTTAGGAATGTCCAGTAAGACTTATAAACCTGACAGGAAATGACATCATACCATGAAAACACTAATGCAGGGATGAAAACTAAAGGTAACTAGCGCCATGGAAACAAAAATGGAAAAACGAACAAGTACTCCACTCTGTCCGGTCAAGCATTGGGTTCCTGTAACCCCCTACCGTCGCACTTGCTGCTACCTCTGTAACACATTCAAAACCAGGGTAAAACCCCAAATGTGTACAATAGTTGACACAAAAGATCTTGGATAAGTCGGGAGCACTTCAAAATGCAGCAACGTTGACGATCACATGATCATGTTGATTGAGATAACAATTTTGATCAGAAAACAATAGATGTTTCAGATGTAATTTCAAGGGTCAAGCACACAGTCCTGATATCCCTATCCACCATTCATGTATTAGTAAATGACATCAGTTTGTTTAAACTAAATATCAGCTCCACTCTACTCTGGTCCACTCTGCCTGACCCAGCCGGGCTGCATTCTTTTCACATGGGCGGTCTGTGGCCTGTGATGTCATGTGGGCGGGGCCAAATAGTGCGGAGAAGTCTGACCCCCAAATTCCACTACCTCCGCTCCGGTCCGCCCCCGCCTTCCGCAGCTGCTCGCTTCCGAACTCAATTTTTCTTGTTACCCGCTCTACAACGGCTCCGCTCCGGTGCGGAGACCCGAGGAGAGCAAACAAGCATGCGCGGGATTTTCGAGATCTTGCGATACAGTCCGAGCAATAAACGCGGAAGTTAGATCCAAACACCCGTTGTGTGGGAGAAGCATCAAAATGAACTGTTTAATCTGCCCATCATTTGTGTTGAGAGATCAGCAGTGTTTGGATCAACAAAGGGTGACTACTTTGATAGTGGAAACTGTATTTATGGCTTACTTTTGTGCATTTAAACTTCAGCCGCCATTGATAGTTGTTAAAAGTTGTTAAACCTGTACATATGAAACAAAAAACGCCTTTTGTTTATCGATTTATTGTGAAAAACGGAAGTTGTGCTTGCTCCTTTTCCTGTTGGGCGGTTGTGATTTCTGTCCATTTACTGCGGAGGTGCTCCGGCGTCCGGCAAAAATAGGGTCAATTCTATTTTTGCCGGACGCCGGAACAGAGGGCGGCGCACTGCGCCGCACTGCCGGAGCACGGCCGCAGTAGTGGAATTGCTCTGATTGACTACAGCGGGGCCGATTTTGCTCCGGCGTTCGTGTTGGAGCGGAGCGGAGGTAGTGGAATTTGGGGGTGAGGTGTCTCAGTTATTAAACAAAAGCAGCCTGAGCAGTCTTGCTTTTGGAGACTCTGACTCTGATTTTGCATCCTGCTTTGCTTTGCTTTGCTGTGTGTGTGTGTGTGTGTGTGTGTGTGTGTGTGTGTGTGTGTGTGTGTGTGTGTGTGTGTGTGTGTGTGTGTGTGTGCGCGTGCGTGCGTGCGTGCGTGCGTGCATGCGTGTGTGTGTGAGAGAGAGAGAGAGAGAGAGAGAGAGCGCTCCTCACAGCAGTAAGGGGCAGAGAAAAATGGCTTCAGTCAGAAGCTTGTTAACTCCACAGCATCCTGAATGATAATGAATCACTCATGCAGCTGATTCTTTCCACCAATCAGAGGCTCCCCTTAATGGTAGGCATGCTTTTGATCCAGCCAATCAGTCAGCTGTGGGCGTGTCGGCCATGTTCGGCTCCAGGCAGACCTCATTGATTAGAGGGCTGAAAAGACGTTCAGTTGCGCTCAGGAAAATTCAAGGTTCCCTAAATGAGAAAACTCCCAAACCGGTCCAGGCTAGTGGAGCTGATGCTAGTGTGTAAGGGCTATATGTAAGACAGTAGGAAGTCTGCACTGACAGCTGCTTTAAAAAGGCATGAAACAACATGCCATGCTTTCCTTTTTCCCCCTGCAGACTCTTTCAGAAAACTGATCTATCAATGTAACAAAAAAGACCCCCTTGTAGTAAACTGCTACTAAATGCAGCACAGTAATTTGATGTGAAATGAATCCTACAGAGAAACTGTTTGCCTTTGTGATGCTTGTATCTAATTTTGATTTGCGTAATGACTTTAAAAGCTCTATCAGGTATTCTGGGTACTCCAAATCTTTCACATATTCCCTGTGAATTCAGAACTGGTGCCTCATGCAACAAAAGCTAATATTAACCCTTTAACAAAACAGTTTGTTGGAATGTGCCATTCACGTAGACGTTCGTCTTCTTCCTGCTCCAGTTTCAAAAGACCACTGAGGGCGGAGTTAAGACTGGGAGGGATGTTGAGTGTATTTGCTTAAGTATTTGTTTAGTTGTTTTTATGTTTTTGGCATGCTTTCAGCTTGTCCATTCTTCTCACCGTAAGCAATGTGCTGTTTTTGTTTGAACACCTGCTCACATACTGTATGATTGACAGTGATTTGCAAAGCGTCTCTTTCATCTTCTTCCATTCAGTCTTTTGCCCGTTTGGGTCTGTTCTGCACAAGTAGCAAAATTCTTGGTGCCATTCGTATCTACTTTGCAGGACGTGTGCAAATGCACAAGTATTTAGTCATTTAGGCTGTTTATTCTGTGTGATGATGGCAGATTTTTTTTTCTTCCCAGGACAGAGGCATTGGAAACACATCCCTGTCCACTTTTGGCGCGGCTCAGGCAGTGCTGGAGATCATCCTCATGTTGTATCCTTTAAGTGACCTTCTCTTTGTCTGTGGCCAGAGTAGCTTGCTCCCAAACAAAGAGCAACATTACCCAAGCAGCTTTGTTTACCCAGGACATAGTTCAGCCAAACGCCTTCCGGGAAACACGGTGTGTTGTTTCGTCACCTTTTATTATAGCTGAAAGGTGCAGCCTAAGGACACAGAAAAAGTCTGAAGCAAAAATGTTTTTGGTCCTTGATTGATTTGCTGAATAGCTACTTGATGGTGTCTTCTGTCGTTGGCTTCTACAGCCTGCGTGTCTTTGAAAGTCTCACTCCTAGAAAGGATGACACAACCATGACAACGGTAAGTTGGGATGTAAGGACAGAAATTGGGCAGAAGTGGGAGGGGGGTTCATCCATTTCCTTTTATTTTCTATTTTTTTCCCCCTTTCTTCCCTTTTCCACAACTACCTTCTTCTCTGAACTCCTGCGGCTCACTGAAGTTTTCCTAAAGGCCCCTCAATGGCCCTGTCCAATATTTGTTTGTGGGTTGCATAAACACTGACTGAGTGCAAGCTCCTTTCTCATACATCAGAGGGAGAATGAAGGGTTTTTTCGGAGGGGGTGTTGAGGATGTGTGCTCTGTTCAGCCTATAGTGGCACCTATTCACTTGGTAATGAGTTTGGGAGTGGTACAGCTTGTTAACTAGCCATGACGCTTCAGTGAAAGGGCTTGAAAGGACAATGGAAGGAACCTGGTAATGAGCAACTTCAGAGGTACTAATTATGTAATATGTGGAACCAATTTAACATCAAGTGGTGTGCATGTGTGTGGGCGCATCATGACGGAAACTGTCAGGGTGTTTTTTTTTTCCCTTCCACTTTTTGTAGCCGCTTCCAATACAAGCTGTACGTTATGTGCAGTTCTAAAATGTGATGGTTTGGTTTTTATTTTTAGATCATTGGTTGCTGCGTGTCCATCTTGGTGCTGAGTTCAGCCCTTCCAGTAATGTCCAGAACTCTTGGTGAGTATTTTATGTTGTGCTTTTGGTGACTTGTATGCTTTAGGGACATTTTGTAATCCACTCTCTAAACTGTGTTTAATTAGCTCAGCATAAAATGAGGGGGAAAGCTAATATCTCACTGCAGTCATTGGTTTCCAAAATTCCTAAGTATGACCCATAGAGCTGAGTGGAATGGCAAATTCAGTTTTTGGTAATTGGCTGTAATTTTTTTATATACAAGACCCTTCTTATCCAAATTATCATCTAATAAGAAAATAGTTACTGCACCAGATTGACTTTAATTATCCCAGTTTGCTGTTATAAGGACTACGCGTTTCTTTTTCCATGTCCAGACACAGGTAAATGGTTACTGTAACTCTAAGTATGGTCTGTAATTTCCCCTGTACATGGCGGGTATGGCGTTGCTGAAATATGTACCGTCCACCAGGATCCAAAGTTTTCACCATCGTCTTGAAGCCATCTTTCTCTAAATAGTGCATTCTAGGGCTTTACAATCCCCAAAGGTGCTATACAGCACAACCAGTCATTCACACATGCACATTCACACGTTGTTGGTAATGAGCTACAATGTAGCCACAGCTGCCCTGGGGCCATTGTCCCCTCCGATCACCACCAGCAGGAAAGCAGGATTAAGTGTCTTGCCCAAGGACACAACAACTGCAACAGATGGGTCTTGAACCTGTAACCCTCCAGTTACGGTGTGGGCACTTAACCCCTCCGCAACAGTTGCCCCTATATCCCACTATATCTTCGACGAGGTGGAATGTGATTGCATTTGTTATCTTGATCCACCGGCTATTTCATATGCAGTTCCTTTAGCGATAGCATCTTCTGTCTGACTGCTACTTGCAGACGTAGAGGGTGTGGATCTTAGCTTAAGACATCCTTACTCTAAAATGCGTTTTCAGCTGAGATAGTGAAGCAAGTTGCTGGTGGTACCACCACCGGCTACCTCTTTTGCTCGACAGCATTTGAAAAGAATCGTTGTTTGGCTCACATCCGATGTTTTAAAACCAAAGAACTTCCAAATCTCTGATATGGCTGCTGTTCGGAATTATTGCCTCTGGGTCAACAATGAGCACTTTGCTTTGACAACCCTGGCAGCCATTCTCTGTTAAAAATATATATTTCCAAACAAGGTGGTGTTCATGTCTAGCTGTGAAATCAGTCCCTGCTGAAACACTCGCTGACTGCAGTCACCAGTATAGTGGTATATGAAAATTTTATACCATAACAAAAATGATTGTTTGTATGAGCCAATATACCACACTGAGCCATGAATACATTTTCATCCAAATGAATCTCTGTGGATGACTGGAGCCCTCCTTAATTTAGGCTTTAGGAGTCAGAAATTGTGAGAAATGTGAGACAACTTGAGGAGTTAGTGCTGAAATTGTATAAAAACGAGGGGAAATTTCAAGTTACAAATGTTTTCATCATATGACCCAAGTGACTTGGCCAGGTATAAAACCTGGTATGAAAGTGCTGATCAATAGCTACGTTTACATGTGCCAAAGTTCCCCTATCAGATTCAAATCTTGGTTGATAGGAAATCCCAAATCTCTGTTTACATGGACACTAACTGAAATGATCTGATCATGCCATGAGTATGCATACACCAAGCATTCAATCAGATTAAATAGGTTGAGCATGCGCAGAGTTGTCTTTCTTAGGAAAAAAAATTGCAAACCAATGTCATTTTGTCCACATGTCTTTCCCCTCGCATTTAATTTTCTAGCTTTGTCTTTTCATTTATGTTTTTAGCCCCATTGTAGACTTCCTTTGCATTTTTACCTTTATGTTTTTTTTAACTGATTGGTTTGACTTAGGGTTAGGGTTCAGCAGTATGTAATGCTACTGATCACCTGCTCACAGTTAGGATACCATCCTCCAACTTGTTCTGAGCGCCTGCAATGTTGCACACATGCAACACATGCAAAGTGGGCATTATTTTACTCCAGCAATCCGAATGGCTGTGTACATGGACATCAATCGGAATGATGATCAGACAAAACCACCTCTCCCAATAGCTACATTTACATAAGCACAGGTAATCGGAATGAATGCCCTTCCAGATCAGAAATTCTTCATGTAAACATGTCATTCGGAATGTTCTGATCCGATGAGGCCCGGCCCGATTGGAATGAAATTTCTTTCCGATTGAGAGAGGTGGTTTTATTCGATCATCATTCCGATTGACGTCCATGTGCATACCCATTGGGGTGCCCACTGCGCATGTGTGCAACTTCGGCGTGACGTCTTTCTGTTTTTGCAGAAGCTCAGGACAAGTCAAAAACATGAGAGGAGGTAAACAGAAGTGGTCAGTTTACTATAAACGCTACGAGATCTCAATATTATTGAACTTCTCGATGGCCGAAAGGCTAGAAATGCCGAGTTATACACTCAAGTGCATCTAAAGAGACAGGATGTGAGAATTCACCGAAGTATTGACCAAATAAAAAACTGCTGGAGACATGAGTCAACGGACAAAGCTAGAAAATAAAACCTGTGTGAAAAGACGTGCGGACAAAATGGCGTTCGTTTACATTGTTGTTTCCGGGAAAAACAACTCTGAGCATGCTCATCCTATTTAATCTGATTGAATGCTTGGTGCATGCATACTCGCAGCATGATCAGATCACTTAAGTTAGCGTCCATTTAAACAAAGATTTGGGATTTCCGATCTTCCGAAGAGGAGATTTGAATCGGAATCGCCGCATGGTCATTCTGATTGGTCCGTATCTGACCAAAATATTCTGATTAACATGCTTGCATGAAGAATTTTTAATCTGATTACTTGTGCCCATGTAAATATTGCTAGTGATATTCAACTGGAAATTTTCATACTTAATTGCAACTGTGTCTCCAGCAGTATCCCAGAGACAATAGATTAGAGCTCTTCAAGATCCACATGCGAGAACCTACTTAAGGTTTCTGTTTTTGATGAATCACAGTTCAGTTGAGAAAACCTAAACTTTTAAAGCCACTGTCAACATTTTTACCTGCGAAAGTCCTTAACCCTTTGCACCCTTTGAATCCTTTTGATCGTCTGAAACAAAGCACCGAGATTTAGATTTAACTGAATTTTAAGACTTGATTAACAATCTGAGTGATGTCACCTAAATGAAAATAATAAATCTAAGTAACAGTTCCTGTTCCATGGCCATTTTTATTTTTGCCACCAACGACATGGTTGAATTTCCCACAGCGACATTAAAAGAGAGTGCAGGTATAAAGGGTGAAAATCATGAGTGGCGCCGTCATAATGGCACTAATAAACATGCCGAGTGTGGAGCCCAGCTGTTTAAATAGCACTCTTCTGAGTGTGTGTGTGTGTGTGTGTGTGTTTGTGGGACCAACATGGGAACGGGACAGAGCAAGTATACAGTGAGTCACTGGGAGCTTTAGAAAATATCAACAGGTTCTGCTTTGTGACACTGAATAAATGAAAGGAGTTGGAGAATAAAAAGACTTCAGTAAAAGAAATGAAAGATGTTGAAAATGAGTGATGAAGTGAGATGTTAAAAGACAAGCAAACGTTTTGTGTTTATATGAGGTGATCTGTGCAGTATTATTGCTAGTTGGGGAATCGTGGTGATTATGGAACCGTAGAACAACAAGCTTTGTTTATTATTTACCTCTCTTGCCAGAGCAGTGACAAATGATCTGTTTCCATCAGACACTTATTTTATCTTCTGCAACAGATATTGTTTGGAGAATTCTGTTTGTTTTTTATGTGTCTGATAAACTTTAGACAAACTAATTCAAGATGGCCACTACAGCTTAAGAAAGAATTTAGAACTCCATCATTTTTCAATGTTACATCATTTAAATGTAAAACTCTGGCATGAAAGGAGGTTTGCTGGGTCATCTTGTGTCTTGTTTAAAACTACTGTCCAGTCCCATGCTTTTGTTAAAGTTGCAATAGCCAATCTGCAAAACAAGCTAGCTTTTAAACACAAACACGGAACTCTGACCCCCCCCCCCATCGGCTATCATAACGGATACCTGAACCCGCATTGCCCGAGTACACGAAAAGGCTCTAAACTCCAGTCGCCATTTTCGAGGTCAGAACGTCTTTTATTGTCAACTCCAAATTGTTTTTTTTAAATACTTCTTTAAGGGGGGTGGACTCTGGTAGTTTGTCCTAAAGTTAAAGCGGTAGCAGCCGGCTGTTTCTCCTCTGGTATTATTGAGGGAGAAACCTCTCACACCAGTAGATCTGTTGCAAAAAGCTCCAATGCGTAATGGGGGAGGACCAAGGGAAGTGTTGGTCCTGTGAGACAGACAACAACCAGATGGTCTAATCATTGGTTTTGGTCTGAACCATGTTATTGGTGGAGGTTTTCAGACAACATGCAACACAGTCACTTCATTAATTTTTTTTTACCTTCACAATATATCTAAAGCTATGCTATTTTAGAACTTTGTTAAGAGGCGTGAAAATAATGTTTTAAGCTACCATCTCAGTAGCCTAGCAGTAGCGTTCATCCTGGGACTGGGAGATCGAGGTTCAAAACTGGTCAGGTCATACTAAAAACTTTAAAAAATGGGACCAATACCTTCCAGCTTGACACGCTTTGACGGGTTAGATTGGGGTTAAACCACAAAATAGTTCCCGGGCACAGCTTACCGCTCCACGGGGATGAGTCAAATGCAGAGATGTAATTTCACCAGTTTGTGATGATGACTAATGGGCTTTAACTTGACTTTGTTTTGCTGATTTGCCATTGTAGCTTAAATCAACCAGTTTTTTTTTTGTTTTTTTTTTTCAAAGTTTCTCACTCAAATCGTAAATGATCTAAACACTGCCTTACAAAGCACATGTGTAATTTATGGGTGGGTGCTGAGTCGTATGCTAATGTCTGCAGGTCCATAATTTAGCTTCTGATTAGATTTTCTTAAATTGCCAAACCAAGATCAAAACTTTTGGTATCAGAAACAAATTTGGCCGGACCACAGCGTCTTAACTGTATTGACTGAGGTCTCAGTCATTTTTCTCCCAGCCTCTTCAAAGGCAATTTTGTTAAAGGTTTGTGATGCTAGCCAAACTGCTTACAGTGGCTGCAAATACATCTCTCCCAGACACCGGATCGATAGCTCAATCTAATTGACGGTAAATGCTGTGAAGATGTTACTGGGGAAGTAGTGTCCAGAGACCAGGGCTTCTTCAGTCTGACACTTATGAATATGACATCCGCATGCAGATGATGGAAAGGGCTAGAAATGAAGCTGCTGTGATTCATGGCTGTCATGTGCAATTTATGATGAATTCTAATAAAAAAACTAATTAACAACGTCAAACTTTATTATATAATCTTGCTGAATTATCACATCAGATAGATCTTTTTTATTGATCCTTACTCGTGACTGATATTTGATGGCATAACCAGCGTGTTCTGGAGTGCCGGAACATGAGCATTAATAGAATGATTGAGTGTTAACATAATAAGATTTTTATGGCTTTGGGAACAAGTGATCAGCTCAGAAAGATGATTTGGAAATGGTCTGGTAGATGGAGCTAAAAGGAACCTCAAAATGCTCCTTTATAATATTCATTTGTCAACCTTTTATACTCCACTAGAATAATTTCTCTAATTATCTAAAAAAAATGAATGTGCTTATTTGTGTTTTAGCAATGTTGGTGATCTAAGTAATAAAATCACTTCAGCTTGTATGTTTTGGAGTTTATTCCTTCTTAAAATTGTTACAGGAACTTCTCTCCCATTATTGTTTTAATCAGTTTAATAAGTTGGGGTTAGAGTTAGGGTCAAGGGGGAAACTCCATCTGCCAAAAGTGAAGCCAAGGCGGAAGTGACAAAAATTGCAGTTCCCCCCTTGATCACTAGGGGCTGGATCTAGAAAACAGTAAATTCCCATTGACTCATGTTAAAATGCTAACTTCACAACAGAAGTAAACTTGTTTACAGCCTGGTACAAATAGGTCAAGTTTACCATCGTGACAACTAGGGGGGTGAATTTTTTTGTAACTCATCCATTGAGATGCAAGTAAAGCTAAAATTTATGAATAATTAGGGGTGTGTCACTATGATTGATAGGTGTCCAATTAGCCATAAGTGCTAAAAGCGCCTGCCAACTGCAGTTAGCTTCAGTTTACTCAGTTAGCTTGTAGCTACATCAGCTCAGAGTTTGATGGGTGTCAGTAATCTGCCCCCTCCCTCACAGCCTCACTCTCAGCTGCAGTTTTGTATTTTCCCTGAGTGACGAGACGCATGACACAGTCAAGATGGCGGTGGTGGGCACCACCCACTTGGCTTCAGTTCTGCTCTTCAGGACCTACAGGTGACGGTTAGGGTCCGTCCATTATACATACAGTCGGTGGTTGGGGTTATCGTGTATTCGAAATGAAGATTCATCGTAATGGTTGTGTCTTTGTCCTTTCCAGGTATCACCAGGTTCGATCTTTTGGGAGACTTTGGGAGATTTAACTGGCTGGGAAACTTTTACATTGTGCTTTCTTACAACTTGCTTTTTGCCATTGTGACGACTCTTTGTCTTGTGAGAAAATTTACCTCGGCGGTGCGGGAAGAGCTCCTAAAGGCTCTAGGTAAATATCTCCTAAGGTTGTTCACAGTTGTCTCTGACCAAAACCTTTTAACCATACAATCAATCAAAAGTCCTTCCATATGTCTGACAGGTAGTACTGCCCAGTTTCAGTTGTTCCTGAATGTTTGCTACTCGGGGTGGGATGGGGTTAGAAAATGTCAGAGACCCAGAAAAGGAGGGGACAGGACATCAATACCTCTGTCTAAATGAAAGTCTGAAGGTTTTTAAATGAGATTTTTTTTCCTCCACCTTATCTCCCACTGCCCAGGTCTGGATAAATTGCAACTGTCAAGCAGCCCCACAGACCCTGAATCTGGGAAGCTCTCAGCCAACGGGCATCAGAAAACTCTGTAAAAATGGGACGACAGATCAAGACCCGCATTATCAGAGCCAAAGGAAGATTTGGACAGTACTGCCTGACTGCTGAAAGGTGAAAAGGAGAGGAAAGAACTTAATAAACCCAGGCAGTGTCTGTTTGACTGTTGCTGCAAAAGGAGGCTGAGAGCAATTTAGCTTCGTGACATTCCATCCTCTGCGTCTCTGATGGAAGCTGGGACGGAGCCAGGTCTGAGACCGAGGAGTGAAAGAGACTGGCATTGCTGCAGTGACCTTGATGCTAACCTCAACAGCGACTGTGACTGTAAACTACCCATCTCTCGCTTCAGGGGCATTCCTCCCGCCAGTGTCGTCATCTAGATTTCTTCCACAACCTTTAAACCATTGCACTAGATAAAAGCAGACCTCTGCCTGACTTCTCTGTGTCAAAGTCTTAAATTAGGCTTCAATACAACTCACCAACTAAATGTAAAAAAAATCTTTAAATGTCAGGTTTTTCTTTCCTTTTATCTGTTAACTCACACTAAATAGTCTGTTTTCTGATTGTTTTGTGAATAGATGCAGGCATTATAGGGTTTGTCATTTTTTCATTTAAGCTGAAATTAAGAAAAGAAAAATGTGGCATGTGAATTTGTCTTTTATTCACATTTATTAAAGCCAGTGCAGAAGGATGCACTATATTATTGCAGATTACATCAAATGCTTTGTTGCTGTCAATCTAAATGACAGGCGTCAGATTTTAGCACTCCTCCTGCCGTTTGTCTTTTTTCTTTTTTTCTGCTTTATGCAAAGTACGCTTTATCAGCAATGTCATTAGTTTGTAGAAAAAAGGTCGATGTCCTTCCCTGTAGATTTAACTTAGGTGATTCTAGTGAGGTTTTTGCCACTTTGGTCCCTCTGATCAGAATAATTCAGTGAATTTGAGGGAATTTGGGATTTTATTTTTCCAAGTATTTTATCGTGCACATCTAGAGGTCAACACAGTTTTGCTTATTCCACAAAAAATTAAAGGCACAAAAAGTTGTCAGTTTGTAAATGTTGTATTTAAGTGTATATAAGTTGTTTCATTTTTTTAAATAACTTTGATGTAAACATTTGGCTCATTGGGTCTGGCTGAGGGTCTGACTCACTAAGGATTTATGTGTGTTTGCATGGCGGTGTGTGTGGATCTTGGTCACCTGATGAAGGATTGTGGGTAGGTGGTTTCTGCATTTTCTTCCGAGGCTTTGGAGGCGACTCTAGCTTCAGCACAGATAGGTTGTTGGTCACACTTAATCTGTTTTTTTTTTCTCACAGAAACTCATCAACTTTGAAAATTAGGGGAAAAAAACTTAGAGGTTCTTTTAAAAAAATGCAGAACAGGTGCTGTGAACATTATTAGATTTTCAAACTTTTTCTCTACTAAAAAGCCAATTTTTATGCACTTCTGTCCTTTTTAATGCAACAACAAAGCTGCAAAAACAACAATCTTCCACGTGTTCACGAAACTTCCCCCCCCTCAAGGCAGCAAGACAAATAAAACATGGAGAACCCTTAAAACCAGATGGGAGAAAGACTTGGTGACTCAGGCCCGTTTTCATGTTGCATTATTGCGTATTTTTCTACACTGACCTTTTGTTTGTTTCAGAACCACCTTTGATGCCTTACACAACAAGCATCTCGTAGGTTTCACGTTCGAAACGTTCGTAGTTTCACTGTGATTCTGTCTTAAGTTTCTATTTTAAAACCAGGTGGATCAATGTTATCCAACTGCTCCACTTTTGAGACGTGAATTTGTTTGAGCAGTTGCTAGCAATATGCATCTTTTTTTAGTCATCACTTTTAACTGAGCTTTTCGTGATACCAAAAACTGCAAAATTTTTCTGGAGGCAAAATGTTTTTCGACAACTCTCTGCAGGTTAAGTTTAGAGTTAACAGAAAAGTATGCCACAGAATTTAACACAGGCGCTGTATTCAATCAGACTTCATTTAAAATATTTATTACAATCTCAAATGATGTTCAGGGTGATAATACTTGATCTGAAGATGCTCTAAGAGCAGAAGCAAGACCACCCTGAACTAATTACTGTGAAAGGAAAGAACGTGGGAAAAAGTGATAAAACTATCATTGCCAAATGAGTCAGTTAAATATATCCATGGATATTAAGTTAGTTGAATAAATTAAACTAGTTAAAAAATAAACAATGTTCCACTCCGCAGCTTAGTTTCTGGTTGGCATTGCAGTACCTCTATGTTGTGTGTGTAGGACAGGATGCTCGAAGCTTTTATTTCCCTGCATGTATTTTTTAGTACATGTTTCGTGAATGTAATTTTTTTCTACAATTTCTCAGTTTGATAATTTTTTTGTGTGTGTGTTATTTTTGATGTATGTGTGTATGGAAATAAAAAGAAGAAAGGCTTTTTTTTAAGCGTGTTTGTGCCTGTAGCATTTGGGTCTTTACGGGTCACTGGGAATAAGAAAGGAAAGTCTGGATTTCTTGGGATTGGTGTCACATTCTATCACCAACCAAACTTTTAGTGGTTCTTGCATTTAAAGCCACATTTACCTTGCTGTTGGATATAAGCAGCTTGGGATGTCTATTGTAGCACACCTGCCTGTGCTGTCTCCAACCTGCTTTCCTGTGTGAATTGGTAATGTAAAGGCGCGGGAGACTGGGTTTGTTCTGCAAGAAGGTGGTTCAACACATCGTAAGCTTAGACACGTCACGTCAACTTCATGTCCCAACCCACTTCAACAGTGTCAGCATACAAATGTGTGTAGCAGTGATGCTAACTGCTGATCAATGCAAACCTAAGCTACTGTTAATGCTAGCCTGACATACTGCTAATGATTGCCTGATCTGCTACCAATGCTAGCCCAAGCTACTACTAATGTCCTAATTGGATTAGAGTCAATCAACAAAGACGAATGTTGGAGCACCACCCACACTCCAGGATGTACTGGGAATATCCAGACTATGAATAAATAGATCTACAACTTGTGGTTTATGTCCTCTTCCATCTTTTATCAGGACTCCTGGGCAATTGTGAGCCCCAACAAAGGTTCACATGCTACACAGAGGCTCAAAGAACAGTTCCCTTTGTAAAAATCCTATCTACCTTTAAAATTGCATCCTCCACTAAAGCCTCTTTATTTTTTACATCTAAATGAAAAATAACCATTTACTGCTTTGTTTTGAAATGCTAACCCATGGTCTTGAACAGACAAACTTTTTATGATGCACAGTGGAGATGAAGGCCAGTGTTCTGTTGTAAGAGCCTCGAGGGCCTCTAAGCAGAAATGATGGAATAGTTGGGAACAGTACAGGTAAACAGACAAACTTATCAAGAAAAAGGCCAAAATGATCAAGTTAAAAGCAATTGAGAGCCATTGAAAACATTTTTTAAATGAAGCAAAAATTATTTTATAGTGAGTTACTTTTTTGTGCTGCTCAAAAAATGCTCTAAGTCCGAGACCATGGTCTTGAATAGGAAAAGGGTAGAATCCAGTTCAGGGACGAGGTACTGCCCCACGTGGAGGAATTTAGGTACCTTGATGTTTTGTTCATGAGTGAGGGAAAGATGGAGCACAAGATCGATAGGCGGATTGGTGCTGTGACTACAGTAATGCGGGAGTTGTACCGGTCTGTTGTGGTGAAGAGTGCTGAGCAGGAAGGCGAAGCTCTCATTTACTGGTCGATCTACATTCCTACCCTCACCGATTGTCAGGAGCTTTGGTTAGTGACTAAAAGAATCATGGATACAAGCAGCTGAAATTAGTTTTCTCCAAAGGGAGTCTGGGCTCTCCCTTAGAGATAGGGTGAGAAACTTGGTTTTGGGAGGGGATCAGAGTAGATCTGCTGCTCCTCCACATTGAGATGAGCCATTTGAGGTGGCTCAGGCATCTGGTTAGGATGCCCCTTTGAAGCCTCCCTGGTGATGTTTTCTGGGCACGTCCAGCCGGGAGGAGACCTAAAGGAAGACCCAGGACACGTGGAGAGACTATGTCTCTCAGCTGGCCAGGAACGCCTTGGGATTCCTCCGGAGGAGCTGGCCCAAGTGGAGAGAGAAATCTGGGCCTCTCTCTGCTTAGGCTGCTGCCCCTGCGACCCGACCCCAGATAAGCGGACGATAATGGATGGAAGCATGGAAAAAGGCCCAAACTAGACAGATTTATAACATTCTAAAGAGATACAATTTTAAAGTTTTGATCTTCATCAACAGCCTGCTGGAAAGAGAAAACATCACCATTCTAGAATTGCTGATGCAGGCCACATAAAATCACTCTGAGAGCCACACATGGCCCACAGGCTGCACTTTGGGCATGCCTGGTCTAGGATGTTGGTGGTGGGTTCTGCCAGGTTCTGCTGACAGGTAGACAGACACCTCTGTGTACAACCTGTTGGAATTTGACAAAAGGTTAATTATTCCTCAATAATTAGTTCGAAAGAAACTGGGAGTGAAGTGATGCACGCCTTTAACAGATTTATGACCATGATGCAATAATGGAGACATCCCACACTCAACCAGTTTGATTATGGAAACAGTGGAACTGTCTGTCGGCACCACTCCGCGGGCTAAAACAGGCATGAGGTGATAATATGTGTATCAGTGATCCTTAGAAAAACAAAGCAGTCCAGACCTTCTACATTTAAAGGCCGACATGTCCCACTGTTAAAGGTTTCATAACGAGCTGCACTCCGCTTTATAGAGTTTGCACCTTGAAAAAGGGTGCAAGATACGTGTTGAAAGCATATTCACTGTTTGATGCTTCACGTCAAGGCTGAGCCACTCCTGCCTAGTGCCCAACCTTTTCACACCAGATAAAAAAGAAAATCTTTTTTGGAGCACCCCCCATCCCCAGTGAAAAACAGCACACTGTCTGTAAAGAAAGCCAACAATGGAGCCTTATGGAAAAGCAAATGTCTTTTCAGCTCCTCAGTGCCAGTCCCAGCAATGAAAAGCCCGCTGTGTTGTATCAGACTTACTCATGTTTTCAGTATACAGAGGATTACAACCCTCACACGTTCATATTCACATTGTAAAATGAACGATTACGTTACATAGCGACTTGTGCTGCATGTTACAATGTGTCAAAGAGGAAAAGGCAGAAGACGCCAAATGTTGCAAACCTGGTTCATCAGTCGGTCCCAGTTTGCCTCCTGAGTTTTCATGATGCCTCTCCTCCTCAGCGGCTGGAGGACTCGTCTGCAGGATGACAGTGAGTGGTCGATGCCACTCAGAAAAGCCTCAGTGTCAGTGTGACAGGATTGGACTAAACTGTCATTCAGTTCCTGCAACCAATTAGAAAAATGTTTTGGCGACACAAAAGAATGCAAATTCTTCATTCAGATGCATAATAGAGTTTTCTGTAAAGGTTTTAATTGTGTGCGTGTGTGTGTGTGTGTGTGTGTGTGTGCATGTGTAAGTGTGTGTGTGGGTGTGTGTGCGCGCATGCATGCGTAGGTGTGTGTGTGTGTGTGTGTGTTGCAACATCTGAAGTATGCTGACAAGAGTAGTTGTTAAACAGCCAAGATCAGTACAGTCACTCACAGCAACATAATGATGATGATGATGATTATGATTATGTTAATGATGATGAGAAAAATATTAATGATGATGATGATGATTATATTAATGATGATGATAATTATTATATTATTATTAATGATGATGATGATGATGAGAAAAATATTAATGATGATGATGATGATCATGATTATATTAATGATGATGATAATGATTATATTATTATTAATGATGATGATGATGATGAGAAAAATATTAATGATGAT